TAACAATACCATAATTTATGATGTTGGAGTTTATCTGATGATGTGATGGAGCAACAATACCCGAACAGTTCCAATATCCACCGGGCATTGAAACTCTTTTTAGTGCTAGTTACGAGGCTAGTTTACAGGCTAGGCTAGTATCTACACATTAAGTCTTTGAAGGCATCGCTCTCCTCTCCTCTGTGCTATCATATACAAGAGCAAGTGTAACGGCAGTCTGGTCATACAAAAATTTTGTTCGATCATGGATTGCAAAAAGGACTCATACAGTGTTATGAATGTTCATTCCGCCTTATCTCTTGATAAATACATTAAACTCATATTAAGCTGTAGTATAGCACACGTGTTATCTATTGTAACTAACTAACTAGTCACAAAGCGATTGTAACATACATACTATTTTACTGGTACTAGTAGAGTAGAGTAATCATTTCTATTATATATATTTTTCTCTTTATTTCAGACAAGAGAGTTTTGTACAAAAAACCGGTCAAGTGCGAGTCAAACTAGATTTAAATTCATAATAAATATAAATTAATTATTAATTTAGAATAATTTATTAGGCTTAGTATTAGAATCAAAATACGCAGTACCTAGTCCCCTAGTTGTTTTAGATCTATCGGGGTAAATTACATAATGCTCACGATATTTATCGTACAATGCCTGTAGAACTGCCTGATGTAAATTATAACCTAAGTACTGAGACTTTGATCCCTCCACTGAGTCCAACTTACTATTAACGACATTTTTAATATTGATATTAGACATCCAGGTATCTGGTTTATACATTTCAAGAGGATGAGATGAAGAAATTTCGTTGTGTTGCACATCATTAAAACATACAGCCAACAATGGTTTCTTTTTTTGAGCCCAAAATCTTTTACCTAATAGTCTTTTAAGTTCTAATTACAATTAACAATTAATATTAAATAAACTTTATTATTATTATTATTATTATTACCTGCCTGACCTGCCTTACCTGAATAAATCCTTATGCAGCGCAATTTTAGTGACATGAATCTCGAAACACTCCGACGAGATGCTGCTGGAATCGATTGGAGTTTGCTGGTAGAAATGAATTCCATCGATGAAAAAATCAATTTATTTAATGCTAAGCTAACCAGCCTTTACGATATACATGCGCCGGTCAGGGCTGTCAGGCTTAAACATTTACCCTCACCTTGGCTAACAGACGATATAAAAGCTTTAATAGCTAAAAAAGCTGTAGCCAAAAGTAAGTTTAAATCTCGGCCAACACCTATAAACCGAGAAAAATATATTACCATCCGAAATCTCTGCAGTAAGGCTTGTAGGAAATCACAACGCCAATACATTCACAATTCGGTCGAGAACGGAGACCCGGCAAAATTTGGAAGTTTCTCAAAAAATTGGGAGTTGGTAAGTCATATTCACATTCTGATTCCAACCAAATCGACATCGAGTTGCTAAATCAACATTTCTCTTCTTCGGTTCAATTTAACCAGACCAGTAAGGCAAATACCTTACAATATCTTTCCACGCTTCCAGCTCCTAATTACCCACCGTTCTGTTTTAATCAATTAACTGCTTGTGGTGTTAAAGAGTGTATTATGTCCATAAATTCCAATGCTGTTGGAAACGATTGCATAAGCCGTAACATGATCCAACCAATTCTTGATGAACTATTACCTACAATATGCCATATCCTAAATTACTCCCTTTTTGCCAGTACTTTTCCGGAGGCATGGAAAGAAGCACTACTTATCCCACTACCTAAAAAGAAGAATCCCGCATCCTTCTCCGAGTATCGCCCCATTTCCATATTGCCCTTCCTTTCAAAAGTCCTTGAACGTCTTGTTCACATCCAGTTAAATTCATTCCTTAATAAAAACCAACTCCTAAGTCCTCTCCAGTCAGGTTTTCGTGCGGGTCATAGTACGGCAAGTGCGTTGATCAATGTTACTGACGACATCAGGCTTGGAATGGAAAATAAAAAACTCACAGTTCTTTCCTTACTGGACTTTAGCAATGCTTTTAATAGTGTAGATTTCCACATCTTGCTGGCCATATTGCGCTCTATTAACATATCTCCAACAGTAACTGATTGGTTTCAAAGTTACCTGTTTGGTCGAAGGCAGCGTGTGCGCCTTGAAGAATCTTTTTCATCTTGGTGTAAAACGTCTGCTGGCGTCCCACAGGGTGGCGTTTTATCTCCTCTACTTTTCACTATATTTATAAACTCTATCACTAAGTCATTAGCCTCATCCTACCACCTTTATGCAGATGATTTTCAAATATATACACAAGCACCGTTACATCAATTATCTGAAGCCTTTTCAACTATTAGTCTAGACCTGGCGCGCGTGTGTGACTGGAGCAATGAGTATGGAGTTGTAGTGAATCCGTCTAAGACCCAACTTATTGTTGTGGGCAGTCCCGGGATGGTATCAAGAATAGACTGGTCACAATTACCGAATATAATGTTCAACGGTACTGCACTACCAATGAGTACTTGTGTTACAAATCTAGGGATTTACATTGATAATACCTTATCCTGGGGCCCCCAATTGCGAGAGGTCAGTCGAAAACTGTTTGCATCGGCGGGATCCTTGCGAAGACTACGCAATTTTCTCCCAACGGCAACTAAAATTGCGCTTGCACAATCCCTCCTCCTTCCTATACTCGACTATGCTGATGTCAGTTATCTCGATATCACGGAGGAGCAACTAGATAAACTTGAGCGCCTTCAAAACTTTTGTATAAGATTTATATTTGGATTGCGCAAATATGATCATGTATCTGAATATCGCAATCAGCTTAAGTGGCTCCCAATTCGCCTTCGACGGAATGCTCATATTCTTTCCTTTCTTTATAGTATTATATTTCATCCGTTTACTCCAACTTATTTAAAGGAACGATTTGTTTTCCTTGGTGACACACATTCGAGGACCCTGAGGTCATCTGAATCTCTGGAACTGGCAGTACCATCTCACTGTACCACGTTTTACGATAAGTCGTTTACTGTACAGGCTGTCCGACTATGGAATGCTTTGCCAATGCCTATAAAACGTGCAAAAACTTTACCTACCTTTAAAAAAATGGTCAAAGAACACTACCTGTCATTTTAATTTATTATTTACATAACATATCCTATCTGCTGTATTCCTCTGCAAATGAATGGTAGAGTTTATGTATTTGTTTATGTATTATATAATCCTTATAGTTAGTATTTACTTGTATTTATATAAGTAGGTATTGCTGGGACTGACTGCTGTATACAATTGACACTACTTTGTTTTGTAATTGTCAAAGGAATGCTGTTGTGCTGTATAAATATTATTCTTTTTGTTTTTAGTTTCCTTTACACTTTTTCTCACCAAATCTGCCCATGAAATTACCTATTTACAGTCTATTTGTCCATCCAAAGGTTGCCTGTAAGATATTGCTTTTTAGCGATAAGGCCGCCATTTGTACATGGTCATTAACCTTGAATACTATTGTATGTATAATATCCTGAATTGGTGTACAATAAAGATTATTCTATTCTATTCTATTATTATTATATGAATAAGAATTAATCTTTAAGCAATATGTCTACAGCCTCTTTATTTTCATTGGCGGAATGCCCATTTCGCTTTCCATAGTATGAATTGGGTTTGACTTAATAAATCCACCCACAAATCTAAGAGCTTGATTTTGTAGCCTGTCTATCTTTAGTGGTTGACAGTTAGCAGCATTATCGTACAAATAACTACCATAATCCAGTCGACTGCGGATAAGGGCGAAATATATTCTGCGAAGGTGCAAATGGTATACCCCTCAACCACTTTTTGTTAAAACCCTTAAAGGACTCAAAAACTTAAGTGCTCTCTCACACATCTCATTTTTATGTGCCGTCTGATTGTCTATCTAAGAGGCCTGTCAAGCTAGAACCCCAAATATTTATAACAGCTAACCGGGGCTAATAAGCTATCTTCAATATAAATTTGAATGCTCTCCTATCTGCGAGCTCAGCTAAATATACAATATCTAGACTTCTAGCTGTTCTACTAAATTAACAAAAACATTTAAAGTTACGTTACGTTTAGCAAACTGAACAAAATCATTCGCGTATTGACAAATGAATACTTGATAAATATTTTGGCATATCCCAATGGTAACAATGTTACAATTTCACCCCCTGGTGCCTCAATCGTGGTCAACTCGCTCCTCGTACCGGTTCAGGCAAAAATGAAATATATGGGATGATCCTCGACGGGAGGTGGCTGTTCGACGAGCAGCACTTCCGACAGCTTGCTCTAAAGCTGGTCGCCGCTGCGTCTGCCCTTGGGCAACTTTTGCCCAATCTGCGAAACGAGACGGCTGTACACAGGGGTTTTCCGATCAATGGCACTGTACGGTGTACCAATGTGGGCGGTGGCTCTGACCGGCGCCCTCAGAGGATATTGGCGGTTAGAGCCATACGCGGTTACCGTACCGTTTCGATCATCCATCTCTAGACTGACCTGGCAAGGATTGCTTAACTTTACAATGTGTTAACCTACTCGGTTACCACTTGGCCACGAGCCCGTCGTATGAGTTACGACGGGTAAACCTTAATTCAAATTTTTAATGCAAGACCTCGAGCTTGTAATAACAAATTTAAATGTTGATGAGTTAAAGAGAAAATAATAAGCATCACAGAAAAAAGGATCAATAAAACGATTTTTTGATATATGCTAGTAGGTTTAATGATTAAAAAATAATATATTTATTAAAAGTATTCAGGTTCAACAGTATAAATGCATACTTACTCCAAAACTTAAAAGGTTTCAACACATTTTGGTAAAAAAAATCGGTCTGAAGATGTGCCTAAAGTTTTGCACGACATAATTATATCCGTAGAATATGACACAGCTCGCTATTTGATAAGACAGGGTTCATTCTCAGAACTTGGTAGAAAAAAACATTTCACCTCCGAGGTAATCAAATAATTATACTCTTTAGTTAAATAGGTCCCAAAACATGAAATTATTAATAAACTACCCATTTAGAAGTAATAAGAAATTAATGGCGATAACACAGAGGGATCGTTTTGGAAGCGTCCTTTCACAGTGGTTGCCTGATGCTAGAGTAACGCTTGGCATAGGCCCGAGCGGCTCTACACTTTGTAGCAGTAACGTGTCCATCGCAGCATATGTTTCATGAACCACGCGCTGAAAGGAAATAATAAAACGTAATTGAAAGTAAAATGCGCATTAAGTACTCATTTAGAGATTCTGACTATAATCATGATGAATATAACTCTACATATTTTATTCCGCAATTCATTATCCGCTTGTAGATTATACATAATTTCTGAATCGCTTGGGTAAGTCTTGCTACCTCAACAATCAAACTTACAACTACCTTCAAGAATCTTTATTTCTTCAAAGTTAAAATAGGATGTTATTAATTGTTTATTGTCTATCTCCGAAGGCTTTCATTGGATTCTAATGTGGTTTAGATTTATAGAAAGTTGTGGTCACACTTTAACAGCGTTTTGTAGACATCAAATTGTTCATTTAGCTTAAAATTTGATTTTGAATTGCTTAAAAAATATTGTCCTAATATTGATGAACATTTCTAAGAAACATATTATAACGAAGTTTATGGTCAATTTCAACGGTTTTTTACATGGACATTTTCAGAAAAATCTGGGCTTTTGATGTGATTAGATGTCGATCATCATTGGTGTTATATACGGGTAGTTTCATTCAATATCAGTGCAATCTAGTAGGCAAATCTTAGTTGCTTAGTTGGAACAGTTAAAAATTCAAGAATATATAAATTAATAATTATATGATTGTTTAATTAAGTACGAAAGAGTGAAAACAAAGCTGATTTTGCACAATATGTAATGCAATTTATACGACGCACTTAAGAACTATGTCAAAGATACGTTATCATATAATGGCATTGTTATGCCAATAGTATGCAAAAAATCAATGAAAGAACTGTAAAGGACACACGTTTTGGTGATTAAATAGGATCATATAAATTGTTTTGTTTAATTTTTGCTTGAAAAAATTTCAGTTACCATAAAAATTTATGAACAAATACAAACTTCATTTTCAATTTGACAGCTATTTTTCTGTTGACTACTGACTTGACTACATTTGAATTACTATGTCTAACATAGTGGTAAAACAAGAAATTTAAGTGAGTAAATATTTTTTTAATCAACTTAACATGGATCATTAAATTTTGTTTAAAACACCAAAAGCGTGGATCTTAATATGAAAAACTTATTGGGACTCATGATGCAGGCTTGTGCCTTAGACCACAGGATAATCTTCGTTATCATACAATGGAGTAGACTGTCAAGTCAATTCAGGATATTTTTGTTAAACGAAACTAATATTCAATAAAATAGGTCTGTAACACAGGGCTTTCCTAGAAGTAGTAACACAGCACGAGGAGATCATTGTAGTCACGAGAATACAATGAACTGACTTACTTTACAAATTAGTTCCTTGAAGTGCATGGACTGGAAGAGAACGACTATAATATGAGCACAATAAAAATAAAAGAGTGGAATATTCAACATTTACCTTCGGGCTATCTTTATGAGACCCAGAGCAAGTCAGTGTTTTCGAGTTTATACTAGGATTATGACGAATGCGAAACACATTATAACAGACGCCTCTGTTCATACCTCCCTAAAGTTATTTAGTAGTAAGTAAACTATTTCGAAATACCTCTGTTATTAGTTTTGACCTGTATGCGTCCGAAGGTCTGTACATCATGATAGTGTACGTACTATCTATTCCCAAATGTCCATCCACCCAATCTTCTATACCGCCTGCATACAAGGCTGCAAAGTAAAGTCATAAAAAAAATGAAAAGGAGTTATTTTAAAGTAAACTATATTGGTTTTTTATCTACTCATGAAAATATATCTTTTCACTTTTGGCTTAATCTAGATTATCCTATCTAAGTGCTATGCCATGATCCAGATAATGCTTTTTCTGCTTTTTTCTGTCTGTTTACGTCATCAAGTCAGTAAGAAATCAAACTAACTAACATGAAATTATAATACATATATAGTATAGTGGCAATTTGCTGCCACTTATCGATTGAATTGATTGATTAAATTTGTGTATATTTTTTTAATTTATAATTATAAATTAAAAAAAATATTATTATAAATTAAAAAAATGACTTGATGACGTAAACAGACAGAAAAAAGCAGAAAAAGCATTATCTGGATCATGGCATACCACTTAGATAGGATAATCGGGATTCAATTAAAACACTTTTTTTTTCTATTTATTTTTAAATGGACATAGTAAGACATTTGATTTAAGAACAAAACCAATAATCGCTATTTCTTATAATATGCAATTTAAAAAAATCTGAAAGAAGGATTTAATATTGAAATACTCATTACAAACAGCGTGAAATGTCATCAAATGCCCAAAGAATGAGAGGCACAATATTACTATGGCGACTTGCTAATCATTTAAATATACCAAAAAAAAAGATCAATGACACAACAATAATAACATATTTTTTTTATTTAAGAGAGGAAGGAAGGAAATACCGCAAACAATAACTTGTTCCACAGATGTGTGCTAGGCAAAAAGTGACTTGACAAGCGCACAGTAGTAGAGCGCCAATTATCCAGATAAAAAAGTCCGTGTGGTGACGAATTAAGAATACGGAATGACAGCACTCCTATTCATCCCGTGGGTGTCGTAAGAGCCGACTAAGGGAGCAAACTACGCAGGACAACAGCACTGCAAAGAGAAGGAAAACTTGAAACAAACCCTATGTCAACCCGTCTGGCCAGCGTGGTACAGTAGGCCAAAACCTCCTTTCTGAGGAGAGGCCTATGTTTGGCAGTGGACTGTTATAGACTGTTGATAATGATTGATGTTGATGATATCCAGATGACGGGGATGAAAATTTTGTCGTGTGGAAGGATGGCAGCAAGTTGTGGCCGGTACTAGTCCGAACAATTATACAATAGAGAATGCAGAGTAAAGCTACATCTCTACGTAACGCTAAGGGATGGAGCCGATCGGAGATCTTTGGGCTATCGATTCGCTCGATTCGAGTCGCTCTTCCTTGGATGCGGTCCATAGGGAAAAGCTGGTACTGAGGTGCCCCTGCATAGAGATGCGAACAGTATTCCATATGCAGCCGCAGACTTGCGCCTTATAGAGCTGAAGGCGCTGGGCCGGAGTGAAATTTTGCCTCAATCTGTTCAATACGCCGAGCTTTTTTGGGGCCAATTTGACCTTACCCTATAAGTGACCCCCAAACTGGACTTTGCTCGATATGTCGATGTCTGATACTGGCTGAGGCAGTTACGGAGGTGCTCTCAAACTGAGGTGATACGACAAACGGTATCTTCTTCGCGGTGAACCCGCAACCCGTGTTCTTTTTGGATTACAGGTGAAGGAGATTTAGTCGACCCCAATCTGATACCTCCGCTAAGGAAGTTTCAATTTCAGACACAAGTTTTTTCGACTCTCAATGACGTTTTCCCGAGATATTTCTCGGGAAAACGTCATTAATAACTAATACTACTAATACTAATACTTCTAATACTTCTGTCCACAAGGAAACTGGTGACCGAGTTACATAATTTATCGGAAAGCCAATAAGATGGAAGTTTCGAGAGAAGCACCTTATGCCACTAACTGCACAAGCCTTTCCCTCGGTCTCGATCGCCTGTGCCCACCGGTGTGTTAGCAAGACGAGAAGATCACCAGCTAAGCGACCCTGACGAAAACTCTCCTTGGCATCATAGGCCAATGAAATAGCTCCCACATGCAGGGGTTGAAGGGATTGGCTACACAAATTTTCCTGTACAAACTTGGCAAGAGCCGAGAATGCACGAGTTCCAAAAGGAAGTCTGTCTAGTTTCTCACCGATCCAGCTGATGTGCGCCGATTCCGAGCTAGCGATGGCTCTTTTAAGGGACCTGGAGGCAAATACATATTGTTTTTCATCGAGCTGGTAGTTACATCGCCTACCGTCGCTGCATTTACCCATGCTTGGTAGCATTCCCGCTGTCGGCGGGACGCCATTTTGCAGGATCTGTCGAACGGGTTTGGAGATCCAATCCAGGGTGGTAGATCACCGATGGGAATTAATGTAATAGGAACGAATAGTTAAATGCCCTGAAGCACTTCATCAGTGACAGAATTGGCAACGACGGCCGAGGATGCAATGCGAGAGAAGACGTGGTGCAACGCGGACAACATCAGGGTCGGGACCATCCGCCCCGGTCCAGGGTCAGCCAACTTTGGGCGACACCGGCAAGATTCTCATCGGTTACGTGAACACCAGAGTTAAATTTCTAGCGGCGATAGAGGTGTTTCCAATGCCATGCCACGGGACACGCTTGCATTAAGTGCGATAGCTGTTTTGACTACGGCGGATTATGTTTCCGCTGCGGTAGAATGCGGCTCATTCCCCGCTCTTGTCGCTAAGAGACAAGGGCACTGGATATATTGCCGCTGAGTGGGGAAGAGAGGCTTGTCCAACCGGAGTTTGAGCGACTTCGAGGTTTTCCTCAACAACCTGGAGACCTCGATACGACAAGTAATGTCTGGGCACGTCCTTGTCCTGGGGGATTTCAAAGCAAAAACCACTTCGTGGGGTTCTCCCAGGACGGACGCAAGGGGTGAGGCCGTAGAATAGGCGTCGGTGGGCATCTGTCTTTTTAACAGAGGCTCCACCAACGTGTGCCTGCGACAGAAGGGGGGGTCGATAGTGGACCTCTCGTACGCCAGCCCTGGACTCACCGCACGAGTAAGGATCTGGCAGTACCGCCAACGGCCTAATCGCATACATAATAGTACAAGCGCTCGTGCCTGGGGATGAAAGCCGTCGTTTTTCTTATTGCCGATGGTTGGTAAATCAACAGCGGCATAATCCTACCTTTGTGTCACACGTGATTTGGATGAGTCCAAATTTACGAGAAACGGCAAGTGGAACCGCCGGAATTCTCATATTTGGTCGCGCAGACTTACTTACTTAATGTAGGTAGTTATGTTAACGCGCAAACGTTCGTCAGCTGTACGCGCGAGAGTTGCGATAAATTACGTTAGTACCTGTACATTGCGTTGCGCAAAATAAAACTAATCACTGTAAATCCTTTATCTTTGAGTTTTATGATGAACTGACTTTTTCATCGTGATAAGTATCCCCAGAAAGACGTTTTATTGAGGTTTATTTGCCTTACACCCTGTGAATGTAGGGAATAAATGTTACTTTTTATAATGATATATCTTAGGTTCGCGTCTTCGCTTGCATAAAAGTAATAGCAAGGGAAAATGTAGAAGATACCCTTATTTTTTTATGCTTAAACTTACGTAAGAACTCCGAAGTTTGACCAGCTACATAGGGGCGGTTACTGATGCTGTATGCGGCTGACGCTGCCCTGGAGGCACGCGCTCTCTATGTACATTAAAAAAATATCTTTAAACAAACAAAATAAAGTCATACATTGTTTAGCATTGTTCATTAACATACCTTAGGTATATATTCATAAAATACACTTCTCATTATGAAAATTAGCATATGTATATATTTATGTAAATAAAAACAATGTAATGTCAATGTTTTGATAAGGAAACATTCAATTCAAATCAAGTAATGGGTAAGGTTACCTATCTATTACTTGAATTTGTTTCAGTTTAAATTATTCCAGTAGATCCTAAGGTTGTCTAGAATACTTAAAATTCATGAGGTACAAGATATTAAAATATGTTTTTTCTAAAACATCACGCTTAAGCTTCTGCTTTAGCATGATGTTACACAACTTATAACCTTCATCAAGAATTTCTTTCTACGTTAGGACTATCAAACACAAAACAAATCCTACCGTTATTTCCAGTTTTCACAACGGCGTTCAAGAAAAAACTCTGTCTCAAAAACAGTACATCATTAATCGTTCCCAAACGAGTAAAATAAAAATGCAATAGATAAAATAAGAATGTATTCTTATGTTTTTTTTTTCTCGCTGGATCCACTAAACTGGTGTACAGCCAATGCACTAGTTTAGTGGGATGTCCGATCAGAAGACGGATATACGGCTAAGTGACACCGGCTTCAGAGCTACGACCAAGTTTGGACCGTTTCCCCATACAAGATTTCTGGTATCTATTACCCTATTCTTATCTCTTACCTCTTTCTTTACCATAATTAATTTTATTTCTTTGTTCCATCTGAAAACGATTTCTAAAGAGTTTTGGCGGCAAGCCTTTTGAACCCAAAATCAAGATGGGGAAAGGGGAGAAAATTTCTTACTTTATTATTATATTGTTAAGGACTACCGTACCTTACAAGCGCAAGAACTACTTATTATACAAAAATGAACACTAACATAAACTTGGTCAAAGGCACGTTTCTTCTTTGTGTGTGAATATGGATACATAATTCCCTGTGAAGTAAAGGAAATAACATCAGTTAATACCCATTAGTGCTTCTTCGGTACAATTCAAAGTTACTGACTGCAGACAAAACGGTTGATATAGTTTATGGAGGCAAATGAGTGCTGTCTGCATCTGTCACCCTAGCAGAAGCAGGCCGGGGTGGCGTCGAGACGAGCTGCGGAGCGCGCGTGCTTTTTCGGGAGCAGAACGGGGACATGGGGGTTCCCACACAGGAGGGGTCATCTACCCGCCGTAGATGGCCCGAGTTGCGTCAGGGTGCCAGGGATATCCTTTCTAGGGTACACCTGGTTCCCCGGCTACTGGTACCCGAGACGGCGTGCGGTTTTTAGTCAGTTCGAGTAAAACATAGCCCCCGGTGGTGGGTGCTACTGAACTAATCTACATACCTCCGAGTATCAGGTGCATTAAAGTTAAATAAGAGGTTAGTTTAGGATATCGTAGATATTTATGAAATTATGAACATAATAAGCTGTAAAAATTTAAACACGGTTTAAAAGTACTTCGATTGTGTCGTTATAATTTTACAGAGGAAGGAAAAGTAAATAAAGAATAATAATAAAACTATTAATATTAAAACCCGCGAATAATTATTATTTCATTAATATACATTCAGTCAAAAAAGTATCGGGAATGGATGATTTGTTTAAGGTTCCAAATTCAAATTTTTGTTATTTTTGTTGTTGTTAGCTTGGCACAACTGTTTTCCATTTTGGCGCGGAGTTTGAGTTGCATCTGTTATTTATATTAAATACAGTGCTGTTTTTAGTTATATCATATCTAGTGTGTATTGCGAATTTCATAATGGACAAAAACATCGAACAAAGAGTTTGTCTTAAATTTTGCATCGCCAATGGAATTTCGTGTTCGGAGGCACTGAAAACGTTACAGAAGGCTTACGGTGAATCGACTTTATCAAAAACACGTGCTTATGAGTGGTACAAAGCGTTCAAAAGCCGTCGAGATGTGATGGAAGATTTGCCTCGCTCTGGTAGGCCTTCAACGTCTGCAACTGAATTTAACCATCGCAAAAGTGAAGGAAATAGTCACTGAAAATCCTCATTCAACTTTGAGAGAGATAGCCGCCGAACTTTCTGTATCTCACGAGTCGATCCGTACCATTTTAACTAATCATTTGTATATGAAACATGTTACCGCTCGTTTAGTCCCAAAAGACCTGAATTTTCTCTAAAAACTCAATCGCATGAGAGTCGCTGAGGACACTCAGCGACTCTCATGCGATTGAGTAACCCCTCAACAAATACCATCGAGCAACCACCATATTCACCAGATATGGCTCCAGCCGACTTCTTTCTTTTTCCTTTTGAAAAAAAAAAAAAAGTTTATCATTTCTGAAGGAGCATACTTTGAAGGTGATAAAATAAATTTGGATGAATAACAAATACTTTGGGTATTATTGATCTTTTCCTACTTATAGCACTTTCTTGACAGAGTAGTAAACTAAATTTACGTAAAAGTAAGAGCCAATATTTTTAAGAAATTGAATAGTGAAAATTATATAATATTTATACCAAAGCTTCATTATTATGGTAGTAACTTACTAGAACATCTCCTTCTTTAAAAGCGATAAATGTGAAAAGCTGAGAGCCCGTCTCATGAAGGTATTGCGTGAGGGCGCGGGTTTCTACTTCACTGAGCTGTCGAGGTCCCGCATAGAGTCCACCGCAAGGATGTTCTGCTTTGAGTTCCTCAGCTAAAACAAGTTTATTTCATTTATTTAGGTGTAACACTAGACGGTATGATATAACTACTTATATATACATGATACACATAAGTAGGTACTTATATGATACCCATTTATAGGGCACAGTGAAATGACTAGTTACTCTAACTTACTAAAATTATACCTGTTTTTATAGTAATAAATAAACGGCTCCTAGTTTATAGCATTGGTTGATAAAGGCGAATTTTAAGCAATTAATGACTAATGGAATAATGTCAATCCTCCTCCAACGTCGTACAATCTATATTTCATACAATGTATTTGTACTATTTACTATCCTAAAAAAGACATTTAAAAGCTTACCAGATATCCATTGGTATTCAAAGTTTCGGTCGAGATTAACACCGTAGCAGGGCTGCAAGGTACAACGAATGCCCTGCGATTCACAAGACTCACAAGATTCGCGACCTTTGCACGGATCCCACTGCTGGCGCAAATTTTTTGTCCACTCTCGTCTCTAATAAATAAACGACAAAATTTTCTTATATTTAAAATAAACGTCTGTTTATTGATATGTCCTTCCGCTCAATAGCACATGTTATGATTAATAATGTATGGTAGCATAGCATACATTTTGTCGACTCAAACAACAAATGCAATAAAGTGATGAAATTTATTAAGAAGTAGCAAAAATTATTTCTTCCGTGTGGTAACGAATAAATAATACGGAGGGGCCTATCTAAGGAGGGACCTATGTCCAGCAGTGGACTACTAAAGGCTGTTGATAAAATAATGTTTTACAATGTATGTAACTTACACGCGGGAATGTCATTGAATAATCGTATCCATCAGGATTAAACACTGGTATAATCCAAAAGCGATATTTGGTAAGCAAGTCAGTGTGTGCTTCGGTTCGTTCTATCAACTGATATAAAACGTACATAGCGGCTGCTACGGCGTGGTGGTCTCGACCTTGTATACCTGCAATAGAATGTCACAACATGAAGCTTGCCAAAATCAACACTAACCTGAAGAAGTATATTATTTTTAATTGAACTTAAGAGTGAGTTACTCGATGGCTTTTTGCTGTAAATTTTAAAATACATAGAAATGTATACAAACTACGGATATAAGGATGCTTCGTCACCATTAAAGAGATTATACAATTTTCCAAAATTAAATGCATACTTGCATGAGTATGATACATTCACCACGATAATAATTCTTGTGGAAACGTTTTTCACGTGTGTTCTCCTCCGTCTGTACCCGACCAGAGTTTGTGGTAGTGCGGTGTGTCAAAATCGAACCGACTAGATGCCTGCCTATTTTTAGAGCAGTATGGAATACTTTATGGTTGTACCACAAAGTTTTCCATACTGCTCTAAAAATAGGCAGGATCTGAAAACAGCTTTTATTAAAACATCCAGCCACCCTTACCGCCTGTCCGCAAAAGTGATAGATCCGACAATACATCACTCAAGCGGGGCAAACCGCCAGCGTGTGCTGAGCCGAGCCGTTACAGTCGTAATGCAGGCTAAAGCGGACTACTTCCATTTCGTCCTCCTCGGTTGGAGGCTGTGGAGGCAGTTAATACTAACAAAAAGATATAAACGATAGTAACCCTAATTTGACTTGATATATAGGTTATTGATTCGGGTTCGGATAGGTTTAAATATCGGATAACAGATTAAGGTTAAACGCTACCTTACCTGCTACTATCATTACAGTTTGTTTAGCAGTAACTATCTGTCCACTACTAGGATCATCGACTATCATCATGTAAATAGGATTCTCCATAACTGTTAAATTGCCTCGTGTGATGTCAATAGATTTTACCACCGGACTATCGTCAGCCCACATCTTCAATTGATTTATAATCTGTAATGAAATAAATTTATTAAATCGTTATGTCTAACATCTGCAGTTAAAACAACACTAATGAATTACGAACCTCTGGTAATGTTCGTGGTGAGTTAAAATTTAGTTGCCTAAGTTTAATCATACTGCAAGTAGGGCGTCGTTTATCCCTTAACTTTTCTTCTAGTGCTGGTTTAATAGTAGTTATGTTAAAAATAACAAAATCATTCCTGTCAGTTTCAACGTCTTTTATACTTTCACTGCTAGTTTCACTTTCTTCATTTATTTCATTAGTGTCTGTAAATGAATTTTCTGGTACTGAGTCCTCTTTTAATGCTTTTTTATCATATTCATTATCAATGCCTTCTTGGTCTTCTTTTTTACCGCTTATTGAGTCGTCATCATTATAAAACATCATGTTATATGATAACTCCTTTTCAGATATTTTTTTCAGTTCCTCCTGCCTTCTTCTACCTTCTTCGATCAACTTGTTAGTTGTTGGTATAATATCCGGACTCGGGTCAGTCTTAGAACTAACTTCGAATTTTGTTGTTCTTTTTGGAGTAGTATAAGTTGTGCGGGTTAAAAACACCTCAGTGGTTTCTTCATCGAACGGTTGAAAATTTCTAAAATCCTTTTGAGTTCGGACCGGTAAGGTTGCAGGTGAAGAGGGTACAGTTCGTGTTAGAGGATTAAAAGTCTATAGCAAAAAAATCTACATTAATAATTGAAGTTATAAATACTAGCTGCACCCTGACTCGTCTCGCTGTAGCACATTGTGGTTGAAAAAATGGACAAAACTATAGTTGAAGCATGTTGTATATCGTGTCAAAATTTGAGTTTAATCGGTGCAGAACTTTTTGAGTTTTTGAAGTGTACACAAACCAACATAACATTTATATATATGTATAGATAATTATGTATACGGGAATTAACGCGCTCACGATAGCTATTAAGTACCTACCTTTTGAAATGCCTGACATTTCAACCAGATCGCATTGGCCGTAGTCACAGGCTGACTAGTGCGGTGCGCGCCTTCATCGGTCGACTCTATGAAGTACAAGTTTCTTCTTCCATCCGCACTGCTTCGATATTATTCATATTTTTTACTTAATACCTATCCTGAGTGCGTTACTTCAAGTAAACATAATTATACTAGCTTTTACCTACGGCTTCACCAGCGTGTACGAGTATGTATGAAAAATAACCTATATTACTCTCTGAAAACGTAGCTTTACATTGGTTAAAGAATTTTCAAAATCGGTTTAGTGGTTTAGGCGTGAAATTATAACAAACAAACTCACTTTCTCATTTATAATATAAATATGGCTTTTATGGAACATGACATTTGGAGTAGAGTAAGTTATGTGATTTAAAAACACCTCAGTGGTTTCTTCATCGAACGGTTGAAAATTTCTAAAATCCTTTTGAGTTCGGACCGGTAAAGAAGCAGCTGAACGGGGTAGAGTTCGTGTTGGCGGATTAAAAGTCTATAGCAAGAAAAATCTATATTAATAATTTAAAAAATCATAACAAAAAATAACATAACATTTACATACAAGGTTACTGGTTAAGTGGACTTAGATATTTTAAGGGATTGTAGTTGCGATCATTTTTGATAGATTCCACAATGAAATACCATATCCCAAACCTAACCATTTTTAGGATATTGGACTTTTAGATTTTTTATAAAAATTGCCGAAATTCTGCCTATTTTTGCCTATTTTTGCGTATTTTTTAGAACTTATATCCTTTATTTTTCTTTTTTTTTTAAATGTTTTTGTGTATTAAATTATATTGTTTTATGTTTTCCATACGAAAATTGTAATTAACAAACGGGATGGGCCATTGAAGATAGTACACAGGGTTGTGAGGGCGCGCATTTTTCAGCGTTGACGAATTGGTAACCATCTTAGCTGATACATAGTATCTGGCTCAGATAGCAACGCATGCGCTTGAGATAAAACTTTTTATTTATAATAGCAATATAAATAATCTGAAAAAAAATTGATCGCGCTATAATTATATAAATTGAACTAGCGGACCCGACAGACGTTGTCTTGTCAAATTTGACGCTGCGATGGTAGCGCCGTCTGTCTGATCCAATGTAAAACATTCCAAAATCAACAACTACTAATAAATTAAAAATTAATTAAAAAAACATTGTCCAGCGGACAAAATTTTGAATCTAATCCATTCCCAGATCCCCTTGAACACACACAAAAAATTTCATCAAAATCGGTATAGTCGTTTGAGAGAAGTTCAGTGACATACACACTCACAGAAGAATTATATATATAAAGATTGGTCTTCCATTGCAAGAACAAATATGTATAAGTAGAGATATTATTATTCGTAAGCAAAAACTTCACACGAAAATTTAAAATATTTTTTTTATTAATGTGAATAGAATAATAATAAAATATTTTTATCTAACTTTTTCAACGTTATGATTGCGCAATAATTTTCTTAATTCTTTTGTTGAAAAGTAATTGTTGACGAGGGTGTATCACATTTGGAATGACCCATATAGAAAGCTTAGAAGTATAGTAGAGGGAATGGCCGTTACAAAAGCGCGCACTAACCTAACAAGCCACATATAAAAACACCTGTTAAATAAATATTTTTAGAGCGATGTATCCTGCGATTAATTATAACAAATTAAGGCACCCTTGGTCATCAATTAAAATTCAGAGACGTTCACTGGACTACGGTGGCTGGCCCTTCCACTTGCGCCACCGCCGCGTGTGCAGAAAGTACCTGTTCTTTATTGACTATTTAAACAAATGTATATTTATCAAATAACCTGAAAATTTGGATATTTGTAGTTAAACTCCTCCTATTATTAACATATATTAACATAGGTGCCGAAATTATAACGTTTTTCTAAAATAAATCCCCCTCCCAATCGCTTTAAAAAGGTTACTTTATGTAAAAGTCGACAGTTTGCAAAAGTTTACAACATTTTGACCTGAAAATTTAACTGTAGTTACAGGACTACAACATTTCTGAATTTAAACTTTGTAGCACTTCCCGAAAGCGAGTCATCAATTTTCGAAGTTTTGCAAAAAAAAAACGTGGTTTTCAGCAAATTTTGGGCGATCTAATGGTCCGATTTTGCTCTCCAAGGGTTCGTTCTCATTTTTTTTATTGCGCACATTTGTTACATTCAACTTATTTCGTAGGAGCTAATATTCGCTCAAGATGCGAAAACCTTATTTTTACCATTCCATATACCATACCATTACAATAAAAGAAAAATTCCGCTCCAATGGGAATTCTCTGGACAAAACGCTAATACTACCTGTCTAATACGCTAATTTTTAATACCTGGTCTTTTATCTCAGTTTTTTCTACGAATTCTAATACGATTTTAGACTAAGTATTATACCTTGTAAGATAGCTGACAATATGTAAATGTTTGAAAAATCTGCAATTTCTGTGTCGACTTTTTTAAATATTATCGCCAAAGAAATTACAAATTTACAAATTTATTTATTTTGCTATTATAAACCATCTACTTCGACCCAGTGTGTTAAATTAACTACAATTTTGGCAATGGAAATTATAAAACAATTATTAACTACACAAAAACAGTAAAAAAAATATTATGGATAAGTTCTGAAAAAATATTAGGTAAAATTTCGGCGATTTTTATAAAAAATCATAATTCTAAAAATCCAATATCTTGAAAATATTAAGGTTCGGGATATGGTATTTGACAGTGAAATCTATTAATAATAATAGCTTCTACAACCCTCTGAAGTATCTAGGTCGACTTAACCAGCAACCCTGTATATATGATAATTATGTTTACGGGAATGAGCGCGTTAATTCCCGTAAACATAATTATACTGGCTTTTGTCCGCGGCTTCGCCCTCGTGTATGTCGATTATCGAAGTAAAAAGTAGCCTATATTACTTGCTGTTAATGTAGCTTTCCATTGGGGAAAAAAATAATTATATCGGTTTTGTAGTTTAGGTGTGAATTCGTAACAAACAAACTCACTTTGACATTTATAATATAATAATAATATTCTACCACATTGACACAACGCCATCTAGTCCCAAACTAAGCGGAGCTTGTACTATGGGTACTAGACAACTGATATAAATACATAATAATTATATACTTTTTTTATGTTAATGTTATTTTATTTTATATTATTATTTATACTAATAATATAAGTATGGATATTATAGAACGTGATAGTATAAAGGTTAGTAGACTAAGTTATAAGTTTAATTTTAACTTACTTACACGTAAGCTAGGTAATGTTGTAGATCGTGGAGTTAACGGAGCAAAGCTACTGCGGCGACTAAACGCTACAGGCTCAATAGGAGCATATTGTCGGGCCACCAGTAATGGTGTTCGTGCTATAAATTGTGGACTCGCAGGTGGACTATCATCCCGTTGTGTATAATAACCTAAATATGAGAAATATTTGAGTTCAATTTGTAACCAAGTACTCAATGTTAAATGAAGATAATTTCATATCTCAAATAGAAAAGTTTAAGGATACTTGTATACATCGCACTAAACTATTTTACACCTACTAATTGTACTTTATATGACTCCTTGGTTTTGACTTAGAGAGAGATGATGTCAGCACTTCTACAACAACTCAATTTTAAACACCTTGTGGCTGCAGCGACGGTGGAAAAGTTTTGCCAGTTGTAGCATGGGTATTTGAAACGATGAACATGATATCTTTTTCGCGTCCTGATATTGTAGTTGGCGGCACAAATCTTGTATATTCTCGGGGTTCGCCAGTAGTTGACATTAACGTCGTTAATGACGGGAGATGTGCACCACCTATTATTATTTTATCGCCACTTTTAGTCATAGGCATAATATTGACTGCAACGATTGGCTTGGTGTTCGATGTGGACAATTCTTCATCTAAAACCTTTACTAAGAACTCATCTGTAGTTTCTTGATTCCCTTGCCATCGAGTATATTCATTCAATGCCCGTTTTCTTCGGAAATCTAGTATAGAGAAGTTTTGATTAGAATTGTTAGATAAGTAGTTGACGACTGTAGTCGTCTGACTGACAATACTGAAGGCGATACTCACACTGAATTGGGCACGAAGGGTACAATTCATTAGTAAGATTTGAGTCGTGGTTACATGAAACCACTAATTGAATAAAATCTAATATTATCAAAAATACATAAGTTTTCATGTTAGCAAAATGCTCATATTTTGACATTGCATGGTGGCCTTTTGACACTTTATTGATGATTGACGTAGATACATTACTAGAATATGTGTGGCCAGAACCTCAGTTTGTCTAATTCTTTCGAAATAAGTCTCAAGAAATATTGTGTGTTCAAATCACGTTTACGGCTTCAAAATTTGTAAAATCTGGAAAGGTTCACTCTTATTTCTAACAACACGCCTTTTAATTAGTCTTAACCTAACACGCTTTCGTCTTTACTTCTTTCTTTTTCATTGTCCCTTTAAAATGGTAGTTTCATCGGTTTTCCAGGCCGTTGTACATTTCTTTACAAAGAAAGCGTTAACTAAATTACATATCCGAAAATACACTTAATGAGGTTTTAATCCCCCAAACCCTTAAACTAGGGGATTGAAGTTTGTATGAAACTGCCGCAAATTTTGATGCTAGAGGTCTAAAAATTGATATAACTAAACAAAAAGGCAAAGCTAGAAGGTGTGCTATAAAAAGACACCTCTGATGTGCAAGAAATACCCCCAAAATCTAACAAAATAAAAAAAATGTCACGAGCAATTTACAAAAAGAAGTGAAATCGCACCAAAAACATTTTCATGTGAATGTTGCCAGAACGAGACCATAGGGCTTGTAGAGTAAGAAGCTTGGCTCTACATAAGATCGGACTACTTTTAGACAATACCAGCCATACGTGGTCTGATCTTAGTGAGTCTAACATGATAATATTTTTGGTGGAATCTCGATTTCAGAATGTCATACTGGACAAAGGACTCTTCTAATTTACAACAGTTACTGGCAACTTATCCGTCTCATTTAACCTCGAGACCACACAGAGACTTTTAAAACTCAAAGGATTCCAAAAACGCGTGCTATTTAAATTTTCATATTATATACATATAATAACGTAAACTTTACAATTCCTACATACGGCCGTCTGATCCCAAACTAGGTAAAGCTGCGGATAAACATACTTGTATATTTCTAAATACATAAATATAATAGGTAAATTACACCCACACAAAAAACAAACAGTTTACTAATCACACAATTATTTGTCCACAGTGGAAATCGAGACCACAACTTACACAATCAGTCCAGTCAACTCATACTCAACTACAAAATATACTCAACAGTTAAGTATAATTTTACACCCAACACCCTGTAGACATAATTAATAAGATCAATTTTATTGTTTGAGATGAGATTACTTTTATTAATTATAATATTAATATATCTCCTTATATTATTTTTGCATTCTAATATGAAGGTTGTGATATAGATACAAAACCTTATTATCGGCAATATTTTTTAACCTTACTTACACTGTGATAGAACCCTATGAAATCCACTTCACTAACTGTCACATTTTTATTTTTATTTGCCGTGGTGTTATTGTAAAAAATGCTTTTGCAAATAAAAGTTTATTTGATAGCCACCGTATATCTTTTCGGTGCACTCTTTATGTATTTATTTCCACCAAGAAATTTTGATATGTATGTTTTACAAGATAGTTTATTTGGTTTAATAATATTCTATCGGTCTGAAGTTTACATATTCAATACAATTTATTACAAATAGATTTTTTCATCCTAAAATACAGGTCTGGTGCTAAACTAAGAACAAGAAGAAGTGTAGATGACAAATTCAAATTAAAAAAATATGTAGACTACAACACGCTGTGGTTGACCCTAAAAGAATTCGCACAGCGTGATCCAGAAGTCATTAACTTAATACAACTGACACCTCTGACATCGGAGAATCGTAGCATATTTGCTGTGGAATTGCGTAGTGACAGACAGAGTCGAAAGCCAGGCATTTTTATCATTGCCGGTATTTATAACACAGTTTATAAAATTATATTACTTCATTGGCTTAGTGATATGAAAAGGTTAAACAGAGCAAAACTTTCATCGTTTTTTCCTTGTATACGTTAAAGGATTCTCATCATAAACTTTAATTTACTTTAAAATAAAAATATCATATTTTTGGTCAACTCTGGATACATTTAAAAGTTCTAGTCGCACTTCAACTAGTATCGTCATTACATATAGTAGGGTACTTGCACAATCAAATCATCATACGCAGAATTATCACTGGTCGCCACAACACTCGATCCTACTTCAACAGCACTGCCGTTACTTGAACCAGTACTAGCATCACTATTAGTAGCAGCTGTCATAGATATCAATCCAATCTAGTACATTGTTAGTTTCTACGTAATCCTTAAAGTATGACCCCAGTGTAACTACATATTGTTGCTGTCGTTGTTGTGATACCTAGCAAGAAGGACTGGGAGCGACTGAGTTCCATTCCGATACGTTTTTAGGCCTCTATATACTATACTTTTTACTTTGTAACATAAGTTGATAACGTTTTTCTGATAAACAGCATTGGATGCAATGGCTTGGGGAGCATCAAATGCAATACTCGAGTTTTCACAAAAACTACTCTACGATGCAAGTTATCAAACACCGTTCTTCAATGACTATGACTGGTATGTTGTTGACAGCGCCTATTAACGCAACCCGAAATTATTTTACTTAAAATATGGTCAAATTTGAAGTAAAAATTATTCTTTGTTTCCTGTACATATTGAATAAGATTTTTACAATCGTTAATTAATGACACTATTTCATACCAGTTATACGTGGGCTGTTCCGGAAATTGTTTATAAAATGAAAAATTGTTGGAATTTGAAAAAAGATTATTTAGTTTAAAAGATCTAAGCGTACAATAGCAAGAAGTTTCGGGAAAAAGTCTTGTTACAATTTTTCGGTCTCTCTCCCATCCGCTCAGAGAGTGTTGCACGCGAACTTTTTCAGGACAACATAAGTGCTTCAAATAAATACATAATCCCACAAATATTTTTAAGATCTAAGTTGGACAGCGCAAATCTCTAAGTGTTAGGATCATTCAATTACTTGTATTGATGTATGCTGTAATATTTACATGCTTTATTGTCTGTAAAATTAATAAACTTTTAGCAAGATATAGACATTTGACGGTAAAGTGTAGTTAATAAGGCCCGATGTCCCGAATTAAAGCCTACGGAGCATAGAGTCACGGAGTCAGTTGAAGAAATTTATTCATGCTATGTAAAATACATAGCATGAATAAATTTCTTCAACCGATTTTTTTAAATACAGAGCTTGGTAACCAATATAAGCACACTGTGATTTTAAAATGCCTAGGGTTATTTACCCATTCAAACATTTTTCAAGACTAGTATAAAATGTTAAATCGCCAATTCCGATAAGGCCATTCATTGTACTAAAGTTATTTTTTGTCATTCTATGTTTCCTTTTCATGTTGTGCAAAATGTGTAATAAAGAGTACCTAACTATCTATCTTAAATCAATAGCTGAAGGAATATAGCGCTCTAATCATTATTTTTTTTAGCACTCGGAAAATGCTAATCCTTTACTGTTTTTGGTCATAGGTACCTTATTCCGATGGCCAATCCAGATGGTATAGCATTCACTCAAGGCCTAAATTCGCCTTTAGACGCAAATCCATTGTTAGAGAATGCTACAGCAAAACATCCGTCACGACCCTTAGAATGGCACAAAAACGTAGACAATCAGGTGGCGAAGTCATCATGCTTTGGAACCAACATCAATCGCAATTTCGCTTATCATTGGCAAGGTGAGCTATTTATGATGATTTTTGGCCTTAAGATAACATAATGTGTTATTTACTACTTATCGCGGGGCTTCTCTATCTAAGAACGAAGCAAATATGTCTAGACACAATCACCCAATGAAGCTTTCGCCCTGCTGATTCAGGTAACAAACATGAAAAAATATAATCGAAATGAAAACTTCCTCCTGTTTTTAAAGTATGTTAAGAAGCAAGAAATATGTATTGTCTAAAATTCCACTTTCATCTATCCAGTTACCCTGAATAAATGTTGAGATGTTATATAAAACGACAAATAAGATACACACTACATCTGCTACGTGCATATACTAAATAAATTATTATATAACTCAACATCTATCAGAGACCTGTGCTAGGTTTTCATTCATATTGACAAGTCTACCCACAGTAGTGTGATGAGTGTGATGCTCCTACGAATATCACTTACCGTTTGTAATTTGCAGGAATATTGTTATTGGAAGATCACAATTCTTTGTGAAACAGAAGACTGCGTAGGTTCATAAAAATCTTTTTTCTAGATTTCTGCTTAAATTCTTATCTTAATATTCTTATCACTCCAATATTAGCTTGAATACACCCGGGGCTCGTACTAGACATACGCGCCTGTTCAGTGTTCCTCTGCACCGCACCAATTATGCTAAGAATTCTGTTCTCACTCGTTTGCCTAGGTGTTACAATATTAATTTTGACGAGATCGACATCTTCCACCTCTCAAAAAGTGCATTTAAAAGACAAATAACTAAAAAGTTGCAATCATACTTATGAGTCCAAATTAAGATTGTTTTTGTAAGTTGCTTTCTTTATGAATACTTCTCACTCTGCACAATATACCTTATATAAATTAAATTATAGATATTATATAATACGTACAATTGCCTATGTTTAAGTGGTGCACGCAATTTTCTTTTACTTGTCGCGAAACTTTATTATTGGCTAAGAGTCTAAAAAATGTTTAACTTCACCCATGATATATGTAACATAGCTGTTAAGTTTCCAAATAAATAAATAAATAAATAAATAAATAAATAAAATAAAGCGACCGTAGAAGGTTTAAAAACATTTCATCTGGCAATATATTTATCTCATTACATATTATGACACAAGTCATACAGAGTCTGGCATCACCCTTACGTGACTACTCGAAAAGGAACGAAAGCTTTCACAGTTTTTCATTAAGTCTAAGGCCTCATGGCCCATTTTTACGCTATAACAAACTTTTTAAAGCAATTTATTATTCAAGGATTTAAGGACACTTGGGTTTTATAGACTTATAAAACAATACTTAACTGTCCAAATCCAAATCCATTTGTAAGGTACGAAGTAATAAAGAAATTTACAAACATACATACAAGATACGCGCAAAAAATATAACCCTTCCTTGGCAGTGGGGTAAAAATCTTCAACGTCACAACCGTCAATCCCGTACATTGACATATTATTATAACAGCGTGTATTTACAGAGTATGCTTTAAACACTATTAAAATTGCTCAATAAAATAATATTTTAAATAAAAAATCAAGACAATGTGTTTGTTTACGTAGTACTAACTAACTTGTTGAATGGTATTCGTATTCCGAACCCAGTCATAACATACAATCAACATTTTACAAAATAATAATGTTACAAAAAATTGTGTGTGTGGTCAGCTGTATTTATTATCTTTTAAACTTTATTTAAGAAACATACATTTACATAATTTTCTTCTATCGACCTATATAATAATGTATCTCCATTTTTATATTATAAATGTGAAAGTAAGTTTGTTTGATATGCTGTCACTCCTAAACGACTAAACTGATTTTGAAAATTCTTTCCCCAATGCAAAACTACATTATGGCTACATTTTACGAAAACCAACATTCGCGCGATCGGAGCCGCGGGCAAAAGCTATTAGCTCTGTAGCTTATTTTGAATTGTAAATATTGAAAATAAATACTGTCAATTATAGATGACGTAAGTAAAACTCCAAAACGATGCTCTCAGAGTTATCCAGGCGAGAGGCCCTTTTCTACAGCTGAAGCCAAGGCAATACGTCGGTATGTCGACGGATTGGGTGAAAATATTGGTTTGGCCATCCACCTTCACGTCAGCTTCGTGCCCAAAAAGGTTAATATCAAAGATGTATTTGCGTTCCGGAATCAGATTGCGCATACAGTGGACAATGAAATCATAGTAATATCATGACGGGCCTGTTGGTCTAGTGGTTAGTGGCCCTGACTGCTAAGCCGGGAGGTCGTGGGTTCGATTCCCACCCAGGACAAATCTTGTGTGATGAGCACGGTCATTTGTTCTGTGTCTGGGTGTAATTTATCTATAATATGTATGTATTTAAAAATATATAAGTATGTTTATCAGCAATCTGGTTACCATAGCACAGGCTCTGCCTAGTTTGGGATCAGACGGCCGAGTGTGAGATGTGTGAGGTTATTATTATTATTATTATAGTGCTATGGTGGTATTTCGAGAAGAAACCATATTAGAATGTTAAAAATTGCATTGCCTTCTAATACAATATATTAATCATACTCTGGGCCTTTTCCCAATGTTGGTTGGGGTCGGAATTCCGTCTACTACGACACGGTGAACTACGGTTTTTTTCGTCACATCCCAAGTATTAGGCGATATCGAAGTTAGACAGACAGACACATTTAAATAGACTTTTGTCGGACGTCTAACAACTATCGGTAACAATGGCCATATATTATGTTCGTAAACTTTTTCATTATGGTAAAAAAATAAATATTCTTTTTGTAAAATATGACTAAATTGCCTCATTTAGTCCGTATTATTATTTGATATATTAAGTTAGCTATCACAAATTTTACAGTCGATAGTATTCCGTGATTACGCCACTACCACATCCTTAGTTATATTCGTATTTTTTCAAACCTTGCTAGATCCAGATCTGTTAAATCAAATTCCTATAAATCCACACTGAGTTTTTTCAAAGATAGATAAATCGCAATCAATTATATCAAATGAAGGTAAATTCAATCTAAATATTATTTTTTCTAAACAATGGATGATTTTCATAATGAATTTGCTGAACAGAATCTTTTTCTTCAATGCTGTTGTCATAATAATAAAATACTGCCTTTTAAATCATCGAATTAAGATTATTATCTCTTTTTCTTAGATATCTCCTAAGATGGTAGAGTGGATTTATCCGAGTTTGAAGTTAAGGAGACACATTATTTAATATACATAATGGCATGACTGGCACATTTGCAACATATCATTTCGTCAAACAATTCTTCTTAGCAGAAATCAGGCCTTATTGTCGATTCAGACACTACAAAAAATAAAAGAATGGTCGAAGGATTCTAAATGTTTCTTATATTGTTAACAAAATGTGTCGTCAATTAACATCATACAACGTCTCTTATTTTATGAAACGGACCAACTGAGTACACATCGTAAAATTGTAGATATCATGTTATTGTATAAGTTTATTCATAGCTTAGTAGATTTTCCTGACATTCTAGAGCGTATATCATTGACCGTACCTCGTCCCGGAAGTCACTTATCCAGTCGCAAGCCGAGCCACCCACCAAATACGAGAACTTAACTTGGCCAATACTGACCTGTTTATTGTATGAGTGCCTCATTAAACAATATTCGTAATACTATTGATGTGTTAGCCTCATTTAGAAAAAAACGTAGGTAAACCAAGGTATCCATAATGAACTCAGAATTGTAACTCAAAAAAAAATCATTCCACGCAGAGGAAAGGCCCTTAGTGGCCGACACCGGGGGTTATAAAAAAATTACAATTTCTGCATGTTCATACTTTAAAACAAACATTAATCTGTGTTTTTTTCTTTAACCAAATCAAAAAAAAAAAGATACAATCATGGGAAGTTGTTGTACCTAGTTCCAGACAGCCTTCGTTTCGAAGTTATCTTACCAAAGTGCAATTAAATCCGAGCGCACTACGCAAGTAATTCTTTCGACTTCCGATATTTCAGAACTAGAATTATTTGGTTGTTGACATGGTCAATACTTTTTTCCACTGAAAAAGACTTAATTACCTACCTACCTGGGTACTACTTCGTTACTGTTCCTGCGTTCCATACGAAATTAATATTGGTTAAAAAGACGAATGAAGAAGAGGTGAATAATATGACTAAATTTAAAAGATTAAACTGAAAGAAAAGGCAACAAACCAAAGTTGCCAAGTTAAAAAAATAAGTGGAAAGGGGAATCGAGGTAATCCGCTAGCCAAAGTAAAAGCCTCAAAGGTTTAAGTTTTGAGAGCTATTATTGGAAATCCCAAGTCACGCTATTCTACGTTAGTTATAGATTCATTATTAATAGTTTTGTTAGTTACTAATGTCTTCCTATTTTTGTAGGAGTACATTTTGTACCCATGGCGCTATTCACTTCGTCGACCGAGCAATTATCAAACGTTGCAAGAGATTGGTGAATATGCAGCTAGGAAAGCGCGTCTGCCCGATGGCAGGCTTTATGAGGTTACAACCACTTTTTTATTTACAGCATTTATTGAGCTTAGGTTAGACAGGGTGCTCTAGTTTTTTGTTTTGAGTTTAAAAGTTCAAATTGAACAGGATTTGAAGTTTTAGAACTACTTCGCGAAAACCTCATTCCTTTATAGGATTTCCTTAGCTTCAAAAATACTCATACGCATTTAATAAATATGTGAAACCCTGGATTTGGTCTTAAATATGCTGTGTTATAATTTTTGCGCCTATTTAAATTGTCTTTAATGCTGGCGGCAGGTCCACCAAAGCAGCAGCGATGACCGAATAGCAGGAACACTGGCTGACTACATGTCGGGAGTAGTGGGCACCGACCTAGTATTCGTTATTAAACCACACCACCCTATGTTTCCCAATTTCACAGATACGACAGTCCTCGGTAAGTATTTATATTTTCTGTTAAGAAGGGTCCATTTCTAGTCTTAATCAAATTTAGCTTTTTAAAATTTATTTTATCTTTATTGAATCCAAAAAAATATCATCATTATAAAAAGTAATTAATGGTTGTTTTTAAACAAGATACAATTTCTTCCAAGCCGTACTGAGCTGTGTTTAGGAATATTATTACCATTTAAACTAAATAGGTTATGACTTTTATCTTAGAAATGTAGTGTAATAAATAAGACATCGATAATAATTCAATAAAAGTCCTAATAAAGATATCTGATCCATAATGCCTCCTTTTGTACATACTCATAGAAACGGACACGCCGTTATTGCGTCAGTAAGATTCATTATAGAGGATTGGCTCGAAAAGCATCGCGGTATCCTCTCATACCGGCCGACGCCAGTGATCACCGGGAAAGGATGCTTCGGGGATCACCAGTGTCTGATCCGCAAAGAGCCAACGCCTGAGTATCACCATTACGATGGCCGGACCGTGGACACGGCGCTCTACACGCTGGCAGAATACCCGGCGTGAGTTGAGCAGAGGTGTGACCTCGTGGCGACCATCGGAGTGGGCATTCCCTCTCTTGTTAAGCCATCTCTCACCCTAGCAGAAGCAGGCCGGGTTGGTGTCGCGTTGCGCTGTCGAGTGCGAGCGCAATTTGGTTTGTAGAACGAGAACACCATGATTTCCACACACGGGGGGATCGCACGTACCCCTGGTTATCTACGGCATGTAGATTGCCGTAGATAACCATGGGTACGTCTAGGTACCAGGGATTCCCTTCCTAGGGTACACCTGGTTCCCCGGCTACTGACACCTGAGATGGCGACCGGTTTTTAGTCGATTAGAGTCCGACATAACCACCGTTGAGTGGTATCCGATGGGATTTCCGCACAGAAAAAAGAGGTGATTTAGAAAAATGACTTTTTTTTTTATACACTTCCTGATCAATCCCAAATAAGTAACAATAATCTATATCTATACTAATATTATAAAGAGCTAAAGTTTGTGAGTTTGTATGTTCGGGGTAATCTCAGGAATTACTGGTTCGAATCGAAAAATATTTTAGTATTGGATAGCCCTTTAGCCACAAAAATCTTATTTTTGAACTGGAAACAATGATTTATTTCTGTTCTATACAGTGATACGGCACAGTAAAGTCGAAACTTAGATAATTTATTATGCTTTAACTGCCGTTTATTTTAAAATAGAATTATCCTAGGCCTATAACACTGTCCAAAGCACAGGTTCCCCTGCTTGTTATTAGTCAATTTTTAACAATATAGCAACTATTGAATATTTTCTTTCTACTGTACTGTGTTTTTATTACTACTCTTAATATTTTTATTACACCAGTATCCGGCTTTTTCTGTCTGTTAATTTCATTTCTGAAGGTTGTCTGGAAGATATCGTTTTAGCGATAAGACTGCGCACTGTAGTTATCACCTATCAAATGTTTCTAATTACGCGCGTATCTATTTTTAAGATAGAATACCCGTAACCCATAGTGTAGTGTAAGTACGAGTAGTAGTCAAGCGTACTACACCCAACGATTCATAAAATTTGTTTGCAGATTTATACGTACAAAAGTCAATTACGTCAGTGCTGAGCGTTGTACGCGGTTGGCGTAGCAGCACCAAGCTAAATACTCTGCATTTCTTCGGCAAAGAGATCGAGTTCTAAATATAATAACTATACTTATTAAAAAATTTGATGATTAACCGCCTTTCGTGCTCTAACACCACTGTTAAAACAATACTTACTTTTGTTAAAAATTTGGGTAAAGGTTTGAAGGTCGTATCGGTCCGGGAATACTGCAGACAATAACTTGGTATACAGATTGGTCGTGGGTTCGTTTTCCACCCAGGACAAATAATTGTCATGAGCACGATCACTTCTTCTGTGTCTGGCTGTAAGGTGTGCCGACTTGTAGCTTTAAATATGCAGATGTCCATGGGCAGCGTTAGTCACTTACACACAGTTTACCCGCCTGCTCGTTCGCCCCATATATTTTAAAAAGGATATGATTTTAAGAACGAAAACGTGGAGCAGACGAACGTGGTAGTTTAATTCGGCATGGACACAACACGGATATGCAGTGACCGCTTGGGCTGTTTAGAAATGGAACGCTGCACTTAAGGTCCACCAGGTAAGACGATCATAGACCTGCCGAACACTACGAACCAGTGATGTAAGACATACTAATTTCTTGGTATGCGTGCCATTTTTCAGGGTCTTTTACCATATACCTACCAAATAAAAATTATGCTGGTACGCAATAATACCAACTTTCTACATTGATCATACATTTAAAATAACTTGTTTCTAAGAATATAGTTCTTGGTTATCTCTCTCGTGGTTAAGACATTGATTATTGTGAAAAACTACTGTTCAGATTGACATTTATTTTTGACACATTGAGTAACTTATTTCAGATTAACTTTATCAATCCAGCGAATTATCCATGGATGACGGTTATGATTTTGTCAGAAAATCGTCAAAATTTATACCCTGCTGTCAAATATATTGAAATAATAACCACCCACCAACCATCTCGACTCAGTGAGTATCGCAACTCTGAGAACTAACTCAAATTAGAAGCATTCAGTTCCGTCACAGTGGTATACAATTTCCATCTACTGGGCCTACCCCCAAAACAACATAGATACCAAAGTTGTCAACAGTATGATCACCTATCTTGTAGAGAAATAACTACGAGGGTGCGTTTTTAAGTTCGCGGAATGAGAGGTTTGGAGGGGGTGATTAGGCTCATTAGAATCGTCACGTGTTCAGTGACTCATAATTAGTATAAATACCAGGTTTCATTGTTATTAGACAATTAGTCTAAGTTATCGTCAACCAAGCAACATAATCGGGAGTGAAAAGTGAAACATGGAAAAAATCGAATATCGTGCCGTTATAAAGTTCCTTACCAAGCAACGAAAATCAGTTGCGACCATAATGAATGAGATGTCATTGGTTTAAGGCGACTCTTCTCCAGGAAAAACCATGGTGTACAAATGGCACAGTTTATTTAAACAAGGAAGGGAATCCCTTGAAGACGACTCCAGGCCGGGCCAGAGCATCGAGGTAATCACGCCAGAACTTATCCAAAAAGTCGAAAAAATTGTACTCGACGATGCTCGACTAAAGAAGAAACAACTCGCAGAAATGGTTGGAGTATCTGATACAACCATTTTTAGAATTCTGCACGATCATTTTGGCATGACAAAGGTCAGTGCAAGATGGGTGCCGAGAATGCTCACGCCGACGCAAAAACAACAGCACGTAGAGTGTTCACGTGCATTTTTAGACCTTTGTAATGAAGACACGGATGCTGTATTGAGTAGAATTGTTACTGGAGACGAAACTTGGGTTCATCATTATGAACCTGAGTCGAAACAATACTCCATGCAGTGGCATAAAAAGGGCACAGCACTTCCCAAGAAGTTTAAGGTGTCACAGTCAGCTGGGAAACTCATGGCAACGGTCTTTTGGGACTCAGAAGGAATATTATTGATCGATTATGAAGATGTTTCTATAACCGGAGAATACTACGCTTCAATATTAGAGCGACTCAAAGAAGCCATTAAAGAGAAAAGACGGGGAAAATTGACAAAAGGTGTGTTGCTTTTGCACGACAACGCGCCCGTCCACAAGAGCCGCGTTGCGTTGGCTGCCCTGCATAAGGTGGGCTTCGATATTTTGAATCACCCACCCTACAGCCCAGACCTGGCCCCCAGCGATTATTACCTGTTTCCAAAAATGAAAAAAGAGCTGCGGGGTAAAAAAATTACTAACTATGATGAAGTCAAGGAGGCAGTTTCGGCGTATTTTCAAGACAAAGAGAAAACATTTTTTTATGAGGGTATAAACAAATTAATTGAAAGACCTGAAAAATGTATCCGTCTTGCAGGTGAATATATTGAAAAGGAAAAATAATTTGGTTTTTTTATTTCCACCCCTTATCCCCCATTCCGCGAACATAAAAACGCTCCCTCGTAATACGGAGTTTGTAAATTCTGTGGACGCCACACACCTCCACCACTAGTTTAGAAAAACTATTACGTCTCGAACAAGAAAAGTTTTGACATTGATTCCTATAAAGGATTTTAGAGATGATAATCCTGTCTGGTCGGAATATTATTAATTGATGACATTATTGATTTTGACGTATTTTTTTATGTTCCTCTCGCTTTCCACTTGTTTACACTTGTTTCTTTGTTTCCAATCTGTGAAACAAAGAAACTTAATTTTAATTTTACAAAGCAAGTAGGAGATCCCTGATGCATATTTTTTCGAGTTTGCGTACATGAATGGATACCCATTCACACAGTATCGAAGGCTTTCTTTATGTCCAGAAAGATCGCCAAACAATTTAATCCATTACCTACATTCTAGCTGTAACTCCAGTAAAACTTCCATGTCTGAACCCGTATTGTAAGGTTCAAATTTTTATCCTCACACTTGTTTAAAAGCTTTTCTACTACTTTAGAGATGCAGGGTAGAACCGAAATTGGCCTATAAGTATTAAAGTCGTCTCTATCCCTAATCAAGGAGTACAAAATGAAATAAATTGATGCAGCGATGTTGGTGTTTGTATTGTCGGTTGATGGTTTTTGTAGTTTAACCAACTTTACTTTGTTGTATGAATCAATCGGAGGTGGCATCATGTGTAATAAGTTTATGTTAGTGCATTTATTTTATTTTTCCATAGGGCCTTTGTGTTTTTCGTTGAACTTCCAGGAAATTCCCTTTTATACTGTTTTTTTTTTTTATTAGTATGTTAGTTGATGCAACTCCAAAATAATGACTCGCTCATGCGTTCGAGGTGCCGTGAGGTGCTCGTAGGTGGTGGTTTAAAAAAATTAAATAACGGATAATAATTTTGTTTTCAACGTGTAATAGGACTTGGCTTCAAAAATAAATAACATAGTTACATTCTATATGAGCAATGTACACTATTTACATATTAAGTATCTAATATCAACTGCCAATCCTTTGTAATGATTGTGTGCCATTTTTTCTTAACACTAAGTCGATATCCCAGTTTTTGGACAATACGCTAAAGGTATCTAAGAGTGATGTCTTTTTAACACAATTTTTATTGAGATCTGTTATATGGAATAAACTTATGTGGAACGAGAGTGTGTGTAAATGTTGCAGTCTTTTAAATAAGGCTTCTTTGAGCTCTTCGTTTTCGGACTGTCGCCAGTATTTGAGGTTTCTTCCGATGACGCTCGTCACATGCTCTTTCATATCATTTAAGCAGGTTTTTTTTTCATTGTAGTTCTATGGAACAATAAATAAGTTCAAATTAATATTGTTATTTTAAAGAAACCAACAACAGTGTTCGTATACTCTGTGATCATTACTGACCTGTACTGCCGAGCAAAGTGCGAGTCTAACCCGCAAGTGCTCGGGCACGGCGAGCGAGCGCAAGGCTAGCGCCACTACGCCCGCTGACGTCACACGCTCTTCGCCCGGGTACGACTCGCCGTCCGCCTCGCCATCCCTGAGAATTATAAATTTATCGTGAGCGTCAGGAAAGCTTTATCGATACTGATTTTTAAGATATTTGCATTACCAAGTTTTTGTACTTTTGGCAAAATCGAGATTATAATTCTGCTTATCTCCGAATATAGCGCCGTGATAATGTATATACGTATACAGTACAGACCTGTGAGGCGTGAACACCAGCAGCGTGGGGTAGTGCTGCACGGTGTAGTGCCAGGGCAGGTCGTGGCGCAGCGCGTCGAGGCGCGCCAGACGCAGGCGCAGGCCGCAGGCGGCCAGCAGGCGCTGCGCCTCCACCAGCGCGCGGGACGTCAGCGCGCCGCACGCGCCGCCGCACACGCACACTATTGTCATCTGCGCACACATCACGATGTTAACCGAACCTGCCTGATCGGCCGCAGGTAAAAACTCTTAAAAACACAAAAGAGGAGGTTTCTCGAGGTGGCCTCGTTATCGCCAAATCGGGATCCGATGATGGGATCCCCGAGGAATCGAGGGAAACCCTCAAATTTTACGGCCCCGATAACATTTAGCTTGTTAAATGATAACTCTTTCGATAACATAATCATGTATTGACCTTGTTTTATTCTTTCAAAAAATTTTTTTTGCGTTTACAGAGATATGTGCACAAGAAATTAATAAATGAGATTTCAAAACATTAAGAGAAAAAAATGTTTAAATATCGAGTTTTTATTTTCTTACCCTCATGATCCTCATTTCGACTATCCATTGACGCGATTCAAGTCACGAAATATGTATCTATATAACATTTGATCGAAGCATTTAAAATTAAACTCACCGTGCCTGGAGTTCTGACGATTTTTCTAAACATTCGGGTAGTGAGGTCTGCGATATGTACAGAGTCCGCATCGATCCCCATTTTCTCCAAGGCCCCTTTCGAGCCAAAGTAGTGCGTGTGTGCAGCGTCGTTAACGTGTGTACGTAACGACCGCTTTAACTTCTTACTTGTAAAGTTATATATAAACTCTCTTAAAGATTTGGCGTTATAGTCTTCTGACAATATGTATTGGCTTTCATGCTGCAAAATGTTAAATGATACCATCAAATATATATAAGATATCTATATACATTTCAAATGGAACAGATACTCATTCACTCACTCATCTACTGACTGAACTGACTAAATGTTAGTGGAATTTAGTAAGGAAATAGTTTACTGTTGAAATACACGTAACACGTAAGGTAAGAATTGATTTTGCGACAGGGCCGAATATACTCGTAGCTAGAGCTACGAGCGCTCGTGAGGTTATTTAAAAGTTTTAAGCTTTTGATACCAGATAAACTTGGCCGAGAAGTAGTTTAAAGATAAGTCAGTCAGATAATAATAGCTTTTACTACAAAGCTACACTAAACTGTATAAGGGTTCTTTCTAGTGTATATGAAGAAACGACGGAGATAGTTTATATATTGGATCAAATAAGAATGGATTTATTTATTTATATTTATAACTAGCTGACCCTACAATCGTTGTTTTGCTATTTACATTATTTAAATATTTTTTTAATTTCTTAAAATCCGTTCTTAGCTGACCTCTACTCGGTGAAAAGAATATTCCTACCAAATTTCAAGTCTTTAGCTCTAATGGTTCCAGAGATATCGTGATGACTGACTATATACGTGGAAATCTCTTATATATAAATATAGATAACTTAATGCACAAGTTGTACACAGGCGGACTTAATGCATGTGTTGGATTTAGTGCCAGGAACTAATTAAAAAAATCTAAGGGCCCTCGAAAGTTGTGTTAAAGAAGTATTTTTTACTAGACATAAAAAAACTTACAAGCCAGATAGGAAACTCATGAAATCACTCGTCCTCTTTATCGAACGACTTGGGCTTTAGATAGTATATATATATATATTTATAGATTTCAGAAACAATCAGCAGATAATTAAATATATTTACCTTGCTATCTAAAATAACAACAGCAGTCATATCCTTCTTCCTACTTATATCTATACCTAACGATTCAGCAAAATGGTGGTTCCGCATGCTGTCGACAGCTATTATATGTAAACTAAAGTTGTGTGCACATGAGAGACCTTGTAGGTGCTTTATATTATGTCTTTCGTCTTTGGCGCTTCCAGGGTAGATAGGCGGTCCATTTTCGTATGCGAATTTCATTGTCCTGCAGTACTGTTTTACGTCTTCTTGTATCAGATTTTCGGCTGATAATAAATCGTCTTCGTATGGCAGCATTGTTGTCTCTATTCTAACAAAACATATAAATATTTTATACATTTTCTGATAAATTTATATTGGTTTCTATTAAAAACTGGTTATATGTATATAAGCAAGAAACATAATATAAAATAACACATATTTTAAAACAAATAAAATATCTTCAATTATATTCAAGGTGGTAGTTGTTGGAAAAGAAAGAACAAAAACGAACTTGTGACCGAGCACCTAGCCGAAGGTCTAATCAGGTCTCAACTGACAGGACTCCCAATAACTGCTGCGCACAGAAAAGCTGAATACCGGACAGTGTGGAGAGAGCTGGTGGCTAAGGTCACCAATGCAGTTCAGAACGGACACGACCGTTAGTAATGATGACAACCAAGAAGAAGAAATAACAAATTATGACAATGGTAAGGCAAACTTACTCTTCCGGCAATGTAGGCACTTCGGGTTCATAAGTGAGGCTCTCTTCGAAAGTCTGGCACTGGCCATAATATTCATAAAAACTCCTTTCAGCTGGTAATGTCTTGGAAGTCTTGGAATTGCATTCTTGAAGCCAGTCGAGCATAGACGACACCTGCGAAATATCCCCTAAATTCTCCATATCTTTAGATACAGTAAAACCTCTTTTCAAAAAAAAATTAAACACTCCACTCTTCTGATTCCTTTGTGTAGTGTTATACCACGGATATTTATTATTTTGTGACTCAACCTCTTTCTTATAAAACTTGTGTTTTTTTATTGGCTTCTTAAATTTAAACTCTTGACAAAACTTTGTAAAATTCTTCTCTTGATAAAGATATCTTTGAACTTGTTGTAATTTCACTAATTCGGATGTCCACTGATTAGTGTCATTATTTTTGCAGTTGTAATACTCCATTGCTACTTCTCTCAACTGAAAGAAATACGATAATATTGACGAAACATAATCCACAATACATTTCAGACATTGGAGCTCCCATAATGACTTTTAAGTAGACTAGTTGGAAGTGGTGACTGTCTATGGTCATTTATGTACCTAGTTCCTTATACCATTATTTATTGCTGTCAGCTTCTTCCAAATTGTCACTTCTAGTTTGCCCCCATGCAACAAGATGTTTCATACCCCGCCATTACAAGCTCGATATAGTTTATGGCTTACAGTATTGTTATTTTAAACAGCAATAGTTTAACTCTTCAACATTTATGAATATGAAATAGAATATTATAAAGAGAATATTAGAATATTATATATGAAATATATCTACACCATTCACGATCTCGTGACAATATGTGGCAGGTTACAAATATCACATAAAGGAATGATGGAAATCGAAAACTGAAACTATATGTATATTACCAATGAATACGCAGGCAGCTGTTCATACAACGGGTTCATAGGAGTGAAGAGCATAAGTATTGGATTGCCGTCTACGTATCTCTCAAAACTGAAGGCCTTCTTCCACAGCGGTATAATCCTTTGTACTGGTTGTGAGAAGTTCTCTAATAACCAATTCATTAGTGACGACTCGTTCCAAGCTTGGATGTCTCCATCACGTGATATGTATTCCTAAAAAATAGTTTAAATTTCAATTATTTCAGTAACACTTATATTTGTGCGTAATTTCTGCATTACTCTGCTGCTGGCAGTCCTGCAAATAGATTCAATCGATACCTTGAGCAGGAATATATAGTTCATTCGCGTTAAGAGAATAGTGACGCGTCGATCAAGCCCCGCCCACTAACTAATAAGGTTCCAAGAAATTTTGGTTTCGTACGCAAACTTGAAACCTGATTAATCGATGCGTCACTATTCGCGAAAGGACTATATTAATAAAAGTTACAATAAAAAGGTATGTGATCGACTGGTAATAACCTTAGTGTCATTCCACAACATTAGGCGAGCATTTGGTACACTTTCAGCTCCGAGGTCAACGGCTAGCTCCTCTGACGTCACTGCAGCGAAACATATTTCACCTAATGTGTCTGCTTCGCGTATTTTTAAAGCAACTGTATACCACACATTGTAATATTTTGATGTATCTGTCAATGGTGTGTATCCGACTGCTACAGCCTGTAATAAACAATTAGACCTAAAGTACACAATACATTATTATTAGACTTGCAACGAATAGTATATTCGGCAGTATACCGAATACCGAATATTCGGCGAGGCCCCTGACCGAATAGCCGAATATTAGGCAAAAGTATTCGGCTGGATTTTAGCGCCAAAAACTTGTACAGACGTGAATTAAATTATGTACCTGTTTTATGTACCAATGACTACTTAATAAATGATTATAAAAGAAATGAGAAATAAATTAATTTTGATTACGACAATAATTCAAATATTGATGATTATGTACCTGTGTTATGCACCAATGACTACTTAAATGATTATCACAGAAATAAAAATATGAATATATACGTAATTTTACCAATTATTTCTCAATGACAAAATATATTATTTAAGTATTCGGTATTCGGCCGAATAATATGTAGATATTCGGTATTCGGCCGAATATAATAAAAGCAGCCGAATAGGCCGAATACCGAATAGTAACCGAATATTCGTTGCAAGTCTAATTATTATTATTAATACTACAGACCGCTAAAGGTCGAACCGGTCTAACTATTATTCATAAAATTTTATTTTATTGAACAGTCTAACTTGTACTGTCTTGTACTGACCTTTCTTCGTTTTTTAATTTCATCGCACTTATAAAGATGACCATCCAAGACCGTCTCATCAGTAACAATCCGTCTAGCTAATTTTAAGACATGTTGTCAAGGTCAATTGTCAAGTCTTGAAAATATTAATTAGAAGTAAAAAATAAAGGTACAATACCGTCAAGTTCAGGTATATTTTTATTCTTTATACTACCTTACCGGCTATAAAGTAATAAATACTAAGTAATGACTACTCCATTGCGCTTATCGAAAATATTTTTATTTTTACTTCAATTACATTTTAGTAACGTAACGTAAAATATCTTCATATGATGCTTGAACCAAGTATTAGAATAAAATTATGTACCTACATCACAATACGATAGTAAATTAACTAGATCTTCTGATGATGATACTCTTGTCAATGGCTTCATCATTAATTTCAAGAAGTTCACTATACTTAGTGCATCTTTGGGACCTGTTAAATGTAAAAAACGGTTTATTGTACAACCGATGTCTAACTTATTCATTAATGAACATTGAAATAAAAATGGTATTTCACAAGAAAACATACTTATGTATTTTTTTTAATAAAAAAATTTGTTAAGGACAAACGGTTTCGGGAATACCCCGGTTGATGAAAAAGAGAGTGAGAGATGAGTCTGTTGGTCCTTAATAAAAATAAATACCACACAAGTACTTTTTACAAAAAAACGTTGCCTTTAACAAAATGCTCAATTTTCATCATTAAGGTATCATATTACATTGATACCTTTTTACATATATATATTGATTATTATGATTAATACCTTTGTAAAGGACACCTCGAGATAAAGATGTATAAGCCATTAGTATAGGCCATGACGGTATTTTATGGTTCTGAAGTCTACATTCGCTTCCTGGATTCCAACAGTTGATTGCAGAAAACAGGACCTGAAACAACAATAAAAAATCCAATTAATATTAGAGATAAGGTAACAATAGCATTGAGAATTATAATTATGTGAAATAATACAGTATTTTGAAAAGTGCTAATTGAACATTGCATTAAAATTACGTAAACTATTTATTATTTAAATAGATACTACACATTTTTACTAAAAACATTCGTTGAAAATAGTGATGTTTCGATGCGTTTCTTAATTCTACTGTGAAACAATATATAAAGACTATTTGTAATTGTGTTTAATTATTTAAATTTTGGATAAATATAACATGTTTTATTGGTTGGACCAACAGGAATTCTATGGATCCTTCAGAAGCGTGAATTAGTAGGCTACAAACAAGTAACAATAAAAATCAAATAATTGAAAAATGTATATGTGTACCTACGAGTATATCCGAACGATTACGTTAATAGTACAGTACAAGTATTTTTTTTATTTATGATTCAAATTCGTGATCATCATTCGTGATCATCATTTATAGATGCCAAAAATTACGTTTTTAGAGAAATGGCATAAAGGGCGAAAATTGCTCGAAATTGTTTTTTGTTGCATGTATGCGTTGACTACCATGATATCAACCAAAATCATCAAATCGATCCAAAAAACACGTTGCACCAAGAAACCAGTTATTATTCCCATTGTCGACACTGAAACGTTCCTGAAACTAGACCTTGTGTTATTTACTTGTCTATATTCGAGTGTGTTCAACTTACTTCCAACTTGTAAAAATATCTGAAAAGATTTACTTATAGAAATAAATATCATTTAGTGATCGACCGAAGGTTCGGTTTCGGCTTCGGCCAGTTTCGACCAAGAAATTTAGTATCGGTTCCAGTTTCTCAACTCAGTGTTCGTAAAGTGTCAAGTGTCGATCCGGTAACTTCACGGCTAACTCGTGGACACCGGCTCTGGCTCAGTTTGCCGCCTCCAGTGCGATCTTTTTGTTATGGTGTTTGGCAGCCTTTCCCAAAGTGGGCGATCACGCCCGCTTGTAGGCACTGCAGGCCTAAAGGGGGGCGGTAAGAGACCCAGAAACAAAAAAGGGGCGTTGTGTAGAGGCTAGGAGGAATCTAAGACACCGACTGAGCTCTCGACTCTCGACTACAACTTGTGAACATCAACTAACATTAATTAAGAGATTGCTCAAACTCGGTTCGATATTTCTCTCCGCGTAGTTCATATATCTGTCCTGTTTTATTGAATAAATAAAATAAAAATCATTTCAAACAAACAAATAAAAAGGCAACAGACCCACTTTTGCATTTTAATAGTTATTAGTATTCCTAGATAGGTAATTTTCGTAGATAATAGACCGCGGACAATCATGTTTTAACAAGTTTTCATTAAATAACCCGATTTGTGCATTCCTGTATTAATCGGCTGGTTCATAGAATACTTGAGCGTCGAATGAGATAAACGAGTTTAGGCATGTTTATCTTATTCCTGTCGGTGCATGCTTATTTATTTTATTTCCATACGGTTTCGCGCGTAATAGATAAACAGTAAACAGTACTTAAGTACAACACTTACTTACGTATTTCTCAAAACAAAACAATATCGGAAGTAAAAAAAAGAGACGGCAATACTGTGTGGAAGACATCCAGGTCAGAAAAACAAGAATGCAGCATATTTTCAAGACCTAGAGCAGAAGCATAATACTCAGTCAACTGCAGCTGCTAAGCAAGATGACGATACAATATCTCTTTGTTAATTGCTCAAAAAGGCAAACCACATAAAATCGGAGAAGAGTAAATTTTGCCAGCAATAAAGGAAGCAATAATTACTGTGCTTAATAAACCGGCCGCAAATATTATCCGAAAAATTCCTTTAAGTAATACTTCTGTGCAAAGACGAGTTGATGAAATGGCTGAAAACATTGAAGGATCATTGTGCAATCATCTGAGGACTAGTCAATTCTCAATTCATCTCGATGAGTCCACTTTACCAACTAATGAAACATTGTTGCTGTCTTACGTGAGGTTTATTAAAGATGATAAAATATGTGAAGAACTATTGTTTGCTAGGAATTTAGAGATCGATACAAAAGGCGAAACCATATTCAATACATATGAAAAGTTTTGTGATAAGAAAGAGATTGCCTTGAAAAATCTTATATCAGTTGCTCCGGATGGCGCTCCGGCTATGACAGGGTGCCATAAAGTCTTCATAGCGTACTTAAAAAATAAAATTCCAGATGTCCTTGCTGTACATTATTCATAGACAACATTTGGTTGCTAGAAACTTAAGTGAACGACTATTTCAGTCACTGCAATATGTCATCAAAGCAGTCAATAAAATCCGTAACAGCTTTTTGAATGATAGATTATTTCATCAACTTTGTGTTAATAATGACGAAGATTTCAACCGTTTGTTGTTTCATACTGAAGTTCGTTGGCTATCAAGAGGCAATTGTCTGACTCGATTTTACAACCTGTTTGACTCTGTGACAGAGTTCTTGAAAACTAAAAGCTCATTACAGCAAAGAATGATATAACGACATGAATCTCCAACTGCAAGGCGATGAACTAAATTTAATTAAATCAAAAAATTTCGTTGCTGCTTTCGCAGCCAAACTACTTCTTCACAAAAAGAATATGTGCAGACGTGAGTTTCACAATTTGCCGAATTTATCAGTATCCTGCAGTAACGACGACTTGTTTGCCTACTGCCAACATTTCAAAAACCTCCACATTGACTTCACCGAACGATACCAGGACATTTTGAACTTGGAAATACCAGACAGGGTGTTGGATCCGTTTTCAAATGTCAACACAGCAATTTCACCTCAGCTCCTGAAAAAACAGATCCTGAAATTGTACTCTGGATTGTGGTCAATTGTTCAACGATTCTTGATAGCATTCCCATCGTCATATTTGTGTGAACGTAGATTCAGTGCTATAGCAACGCTGCTTACTAAAAAGGGAAATCGTTTACATGTTACCGAACGTGGCGACTGACGGCTGTTCTTGAGTTAATTGGAACCTGATATCGAGAAACTTATTTAACAGTATCAGATTCATCATTACATTAGTTTTTATATAAGAATCGATTGTTTGTTTTATTTTAAATTAAATATACTCGGTCTGAATACTATAAAGTTGCGTTTCAATAATCATTCTCATTGGCAGGTGTAGCCCGTAAGAGTTAACTTGAGACCTGAGCGCCGTTGTACCTACTGCGTTCAGGTCTCATGTTGTTGAATATTTAATTTCCGCTAATATAGCTCACAATAATTAATTAATTTAATTTGAAGTTATAGTGGTTTTTAAGCAGGTTAAAAAATGGGGGCGCTAAAAAATAATTTATTCTCAAAGTGGGTAGTAGACAAAATAAGTTTGGGAACCCCTGGTGTATGGGAACAAGCGAGCAGACGGGTCGAATGATGATAAGTGAGTTTCACCCCCTATGGAACCTGCAACTACATTGCCACCCTTTTAGTCCTCCCCTTTCCTAGGCTTCGGTAACCTATCTCACTCGATGAAAAGCTACGAAAAAATTGCTTAACACCGGGTTTCTGTGAGGTCGTGGCATCACTTTGGTCGAGACTGACCCATATGTGCCGAGGCAAGACTTTCCGTAATGTTAGTTTATTCATTTGATTTTATTCTTTTTGCACAAATGACAATTCATTCAATGGTGGACTTAATGCCACAGGTATTTTCTCCCAGTCTACCTTTGGGTGGTGGGAAAATGACTGAGTAGGAGCACTAAAAATTAAGTTTTTTGTGTTAACGAGACAATAATAATTAAGGATATGAACAGAAACAGCGTGACAGATACATACATACTGAGATACACAAACATATATACTTGCCTCAACATTCATATATTTATATACACATAATACAATATATAAAACTTTGGGAAGGCGATAAAACTGCTAGTGTCGAGAATTAGAGCTCAGACTTTCGTCTTAAATGAGAGTCGGCTGGGTGCTATTCTGAGTTCGAGAGGTAGAGCGTTCCAGATGAGGACAGATTGGATCGGGAACAAAGAGTGGACAGATGCGGAAGTAGGAGTGGGTAACAGAAGTGGTTTATTTGAGGAACGAAGCGTTCTGTTGTGATTGGAACAGAGAAATTGGAATGAGGATGTCAGGTAGCAAGGAGAAATAGGTAAGTTGAGAACGGAAACGGAAAGAGGGTGGTGAGGGCGTGCAGCTGACGGCGCTGACGAATCGTGAGTCAGTTAAATTCGCGACGAGAGGAGGAAACATGGTGGTATTTGCGATGGTTAAAGACGAATCGAATGCTGTTATTCAGAAGGTGGTCATATTTATTGAGGAAATCTGCATTCAGGTCATAATAGCATACATCACCATAATACTGAATAGGGACTTTAAGGGGCTCTACTAGTCTCGGTAGGAAGGAAGTTCTTAAGTCGATAGAAGGCCTGTAGCGTACCTGTGACTCTCTGGCTGACGCTGGTGACCTGGGTTTGCCAGCTGAGCTTGGAGTCAATGAGTAGGCCTAGGTTTTTTACAGAGGGACTGAAGGGAATGACTACGCCATTATAAGTAATGGGTAACAGATTGATCTATCCTTCCAGTCATAGCTGCATAGCAAGCTGACGAAACATAGATATTTTAAAAAACATCTGCCAAACAATTACCATAATATTGTTTTTAGATATCCGTTAGAGAAAAATAATTTTCTAATAAATTTTTTTTATTTCTTTACTTTCACTTGTCTACTATGATCTATTCAATTAACTTATGAACTATTTTAATGACTGACGTCCTAAAGCATCTTATTACACATGTAAAAATGCAAAAAAAATAATAATAAGATACACAAAATAAACAAAAATAAATGTAGTAGCCTAAAAATCAGCAAATTTCAATAAAAAAATTAAAAGACGATTATCTCGAAAAGGGTTAAGTTTAGGGTAGGGTGTTACATAGTGAAATATGTCAGAAATGATGGGTACTCCATGCCCTTAACGGATCTAGCACGACTTTTCTTGTAACCCTGTATATTTATAAAAACACCTTTTTATTCCTTTATTGGTCACACTACATAATTATTATTTTCTACAGTATGAGTAAAAATAATGCTGCACCATTAATCAGTAGTATCATAATTTTGTTGATGGATAGAATTGTTTATGAAGGACATAAGTTCAAATACTAAACATAAATGAGCATGCATAAAACAGGAGTAGGTACATACATGTATATGGTTGCTACTTATCTATGTCATAAAAAGTCTTAAAAATTAACACATACTTACTCTGTCTTTTAATACTAATGCAGCCTTTTCAAACTCTCCTCTGACATATTGAGACTCAGCATCCCATGGGGCATAGTACATTACAAATGAAATGTCTGCTTGGTTAACAGTGGCAAGTACACTGCTCAATTGGCCTCTATACCAATCTCTAACTATTGAGTCTGATCTAAAGAATCGAATGGCTTGAGGATGCTTTGAAATCTTTGGTGGTCTAAAAAGAAAAATATATAGTTAGAAATACTAATGGGCAGCAAGCTTATAAAATATGACAATGATGTTTGAAGGCAGAAAAAAAGTCATGACAACTGATTTTATTTACTAGTGTATCTTACATATATTAATTCAGACAGTAATTAAAACAATTTTTAACGGAATTATTTATCTTATATACATTTGTTCAAGTATAGCATATTGCCTGCTTCTCTTCTACCATTACAATACAATAATAAGTTAAATAATTTTCTAGAAAATATTTTTAAACATATTTAAGAATTAAATATTTTTTTAAGATCCTTTATTTACGTTAATTAAACCGTTATTTCTGTAATTTATTTGCATTATAATTATCCATTTCTTAAATAATTCATGACAGTGGTTATCTTTTCACAAGTGTACTTTTACATTTAATTCAAATATACATGTTCAATGCAAACAACTGAAACAACACTATGACTGGAGAAATAAATTTAGCGGCCAGGGCAGGTAGCTAGTTTTCTATATCTTTTGAAATGTAATTTAAGTAGACTACACATAGTACTTTTACAATTGCAGGGTTATGTTTAATATAAATAAGTTACCATCTCTCCCGAGAACTGAAGTCTTTAAATAAAATAAAAAAAGATAAATATTCTATTTAAAGTCTTTTCAAATTACTGCCTCGGTTGGCTAACAATTCAGCAGCTAACCGCTAGAATAAGAAATATGAGAAAGACAAACAAAAATCAAAAATCATAGACATAATTCTAGGGGTACTGTAATTTACCTACATGATTCTGAACTCTAGTGAACTGAGTAGATAAAAGCTCATATTAATATTTTGTATACCTACTGTTAATATTTACTTGAAAAAAAAGGGTTAAAATAAACTTACGTGTTGTGAAGAGCTCCATAAGTGGTTAAAGCCAAGACTATGCAAAAGATCAATTCTTTAATTAACATATTGAGGGTTAACTCCCTATTCCTGGGTTGAGTGGCGATTTGAGTATTTTCAACTGAGTTTTGGGCATCGCTAGCAGCACTGGACTTGGTTGTTAATGACGTGACCTGCGAAATATCTTCAGTGTCCGCCGTTGGAAACATTACACGTCATTCAAAAACAATAGTGATAATGAAATATGCTTATCGATAATAAAACATTGCAGGTATAGCATACAGAAATAATAAGAGTTGACACTGTTAATATTAGGTGGTTTACATGAAAAAATCATAATAAATTTTCACAAACGAAAAATGGGTTTTATTTATTTTTTTATCATACAAATACAAGTTCCTATCAAGTTCCGTCAATTGAGTTGATATTGACAATGACAATGGTATGACTAATGTTACAACATTCTGTAGTAAGATTCTTCTATTAACGTTTTCTACCGAAAACTAAAACATTTTTAGAACTTTTAACAAATAAAGATTTTTTAAATCTAATTTTAAAATGCGAGTGTTATTGAAATAGGTAGTAGAAACTCTTAAAAGCTAGCGACGTTTAATCATCAACAGCTTTCAATAGTTATATAACTTCCTGTCTAAGGAAAGGCCTATGTCCAGCAGTGGGCGATTTAATTCAATCTAAAATGAATAGTTTAAGGTATTTTCTTTTTTGTTAGAGGGGGCAGACGAGCAGACGGGTCACCTGATGGAAAGTGCTCGTCCACCATTGCCGCCCATGAACGTCTGCAACCCAGGAGCACGGTACAATTATAATACAGTACTGTAACTCGGCGGCATGATAGAAATAAATGCCTACAGCCGCGCGGTACGTAAACATGCGTTAGGGCTGCCCGTCTCCAGCATTTTAATTATATTTGCCTACTTTCTGTTTCTATTTAGATTTGTGATTGTAAATATCCTTTTTATATAAATAAATGAAATACTTTGTATATTGAATAGGAAGTGTTCAATAAAATGCGTGTTGTTTTTTGATTCACTCCCTATACATTTTGATACACTACCTATTTCACTCGTCTCAATAATTTTCCGTTACTCTATTCGCTTTATTTATTAATCCAAACACCTTTTTTTTCGTGAGATAAAAGGAAATACTTATCCATTAAAAAGACACACATTATGTACCTACCTACTAGTAAGTAAAATTATTTTATAGTCTTACCTTTCAGAGTTTCCAGGTAATTTAAAAAAACTTATGTCTGGATGCGTTATTGACGAATTCATACAACCAAAAACAGCACAATATTTCCTACTCGTCATATTAACTGATTTTTAGAGAAAAAAACAACACACAGTCCGTTCGACACTGCGGTACAGCCGTGAGCCGTGACTGTCTGCACCCCGAGCGCACCCCGAGATCGAGGCGCGTAGGTATAGCTCGCGTTTCGTCCGTTTGTATGAAGTTGGAGTACTGTATTATAATAGTACCGTGCCAGGAGTCACAAACGCGTTGCCGGTGTTTTAGGTAGGAGTACGCTCTTTTTTTGAAGTCTTTAATTTACATGAGTACCATGACTATAATAGTTAAACACGTCCAAAATTTTCATTTTACGGATGATAAATGGTATAGTATTAAAAAAAACAGTGTGTTAAAGGAAGCCGGAGCACAAACCCTCTACACCCTCCTCATGATAGCGTCGTTAAAAAATTGTCTACCCCAGGGGGGTACCAGCTGCGCTAGCGTTGGAGAATCCCCCTCTGGACGTCCACGCTCAGAACACCATGCGTCTGGGCGTGGATGTCTAGGCTGCACCGCGTATTCTGGGGGGAGCGCAACAGCGCTTGACAAGATATCTACCGGCGTCGGGAGCAAGCACATTAGGCCACCCCTCGCGACGCTTGACGAGAATTTCTGTAATATTACGGTTCTTCACTCCAACCTCAACGCTGTAAACCACCACCTCGAGATAGTGAAGCCAGCCTTGCTCTTTTTAACCGAGACGCAGATATCATCTGCATCTGACACATCCTACCTCTCCTACAACACACACACTCCTTTGTTGCTAGGGCTGAAGCATGCGTGTAAGTTATACATTATATCAGTTTCAGTTTCAGCATTCTTGAACATCTTCTCGCTCCGTGTAGACAGCGACGACTATCAGGTCTGTGCGTTCACCGCAAAAAAGATACCATTTGTCGTATCATCTCGGTTTGAGATCACCTTCCTAACTGGCTCAGCCAGTATCGGAATCCTAGGCATCGACATATCGAGCGAAGTCCAGTTTCGGGGTCACTTATAGGGTAAGGTTAAATTGGCCTCGAAGAAGCTCGATGTACTGAACAGATCGAGGCAGTAATTCACTCCCGCCCACTGCCTTCAGCTCTATAAGGCGCACGTCCGGCCGCATATGGAATTTACTGTTCTCATCTCTATGCAGGGGCACCTCAGTACCAGCTTCTAACTCTGGACTATAGATGTAAAACAACAGATTGAACACGTTTGAAATAAATAGTTGCCGTTTTAAGCCCAAAATAAATCATTTTAAACGGTTGAAAACTCGTCTACAAAAATAAAAGAACTGTGTTTTACACTTCATAGTGGGCAATTTTTGGTCACCCGACGTCACGTTTCCTTTTAATTAGTTTATAGAAAATCAATAGAAAGTACCTACCTACATTACCTACTACACAAAAACTTAAGTATGTATGTATACCTACTTATACTTATTTATTATATTATATTACACACTAATACACCCTAGATTGGAAGACATCATTACTACAATGCCGTCCGTTTTACTTGCGCATGAAAGAGACATCGTTATGTCTTCAAGACCATCGTGAGTGACGACGTCAACGAAAGTGTGAGTTTGTTTTCAACGTATCAACAGAGTATTTATAACTTAGGTAGGTACTACCTACACTTGGTCGGACGGACCAACTAGAACTAAACCCGGTAAGTACATCAATATCGGTATATCACAAATATAAAAATCTTTACACAGTTAGGTACTCCGTCATATCCCTACCTCGGTAAAATCAAGAAAGTGTTATAATTAAGAAAAACATATTCATCAACACCAACCGTTTTAAATCCAAAAAATAGTTTAATTTCGGTTTTAAACGGATTGGTTTAATTGGCGTAAATAGTGGTCCACCATTAAGGATTCGATAAACCAGATAATTTACTATAACATATTACAATTTTATCCATTTTTACCTAAAGGTTCCGGAAATATAATTTTTTTACGATATGTGTACCTCTTGTTACAAATTTGGTTGTAGTTTTAACCACGGCGTTGACACTTCATACATTGGCTTTTGACTCTAGGAGCTTGGGTATTCATAACGTAACCCCAGCAGAGGCCGCTAGTATGGGCCGATGACAGAACTGTCATGTGTATATGTCACAAATTTAAATGTCAAATAGTCTGTTACAGTTTTGAAGTTGATCGAAAGGTTTTGCGTTGATTAATTTCCGTAGCTTATTCTCTCAGTATTTAAAACTGTGATTACTAATATAAGTGCATTTGTTGTATAGAATATTTCAAAAATGCCGTTTATTTCATGCTGTATATCGTGTCAGAAGACGAAATACGATGTTACTTTGTTTCGATTCCCTCGAAATGAAACATTACAGCAAATATGGCTTAAACAAGTAGCACCTCATTATCAACAAGCCAAGCAGCTAACTCAACAACAATTGATAGAAAGAAAAATTTGTATAAGGCACTTTGAACAAAAGTTTCTTATTGGAAATAAAAGGCTATATAATGCTAGCTCTACATTAATGTCTGAAGAAGAAATAACAACAAGAATACCAACAAATCCTGTGAATATAGAAGGTTAGTGAGTGGTTAAAATAATTGGTCATTGTATTTAAATTAATATGATGTGTTAAAGTTTGTGTGTCAAAGTAGTTTATAATTTACCAAGAGCTCTAATTATGTTACAGAATGATTTTTGTTATATACCTCACTGTTTTTAAATTTCAGTTGAAAGTGATCACACATATGCCAAATTAACTACTACATTAGATCACAATTATTGTAAGGGGCCCTTAATGAATACGACTTGTGCACAGCCAAAAAAAGTTCCTTTTGAAACAAATTAAAGGTTGGGCTCAGTTGATCAAATTGAAGCCCTCAACATCGATGGAAAATATCACAACAAGAGGTAAGATAAATTAACATATTTTTAGAATCACATGCTTTGTTATCTATTTAGTAAAACAACTTTGTTCAGTATTAAGGCAGCTTTTAAACTAGAAAGTTTCCTACTACTACTACAAATAACTACATAACTGTATATGTGATACAAGTATACACTCCATTCAAGAGTACAACTGAAAACCCTATGTGGTTTTTTCCAAAGCCATATCATAATACAAAAATGTATTATTGACTAGTTTAAAACTATTATATAGCTATTAAAGCAAGTATTGAACAATTTTGGACAAAAATAATCCTTTAAGTTTCAGGTGTAAAAGTAATAGTAAATGTTTTTTGCAGTTAAGCAGCAACAATAAAACACTACAGTTTTTATTGCTGTAGTAGTCCTAACAATAATTTTGTTTTTTTTGTAGGTCATCAAGCAGATGGAAGCCTGGTTAGCAGCACTGTAAGAAACACAGCGGATGCAGTTGAATTCTTTGACAAATTGTTTGATAGTTGCAATGGATCAAGAGGAGGCCAAGCTCCCGGAAATTGAGGGGCCCTGTGAAACTAAATTCACCACATGCAGTATTTTGGGCTGATGCAATTAAAACTATTAAAATTTATATATATATTAATCATGCTAGCAGAACACAAAAAAATTAAAAATGTTCCCACATTGGATAATGTGATGACAGTCTTAGAAAGCCATTTAAGGTTAAAAGATGTCTAGTTTTCTAAAAAAGTTTTGTTCTATCATACAAGTAATTTCAACCAAGATCCCCTGAAAAACTTTTTTGGTAAAATAAGATCTCATAATTATAAAATAATAATCCAGATACATACACATTCGAAAACTCTTTCAAATCCTTGATTATGAGCAATATGCTAAGTATTCATTCTAATTATGCAAATTGTGAGGATGATGCAACAATATTAAATCTAAAGTAATTGTTGTCCCCATGTCATTCATACCAAGCAACCACGATTGTAGAAAAAGAGCCAAATATTGTACAGAAGAATGCTGCAATATCAACTTCTTCTACTTTCATACAGGTTACATAATCAATAATGTAAGGGGTTTAAATGTATTAAATGCAAAAAAAACAATGATTACAAAGGAGTTGACAAATGTGCATGAATTAACTTTGTATAGAGAACGAAAAAGTTTAAAAAACAAAAACTTAAAGTATCCCTGTACCCAATTATTGTAGCATTTTCTCAATTAATCAATGCAATAAACTAATACTTGGAACATAACTGCAATAAAAAATACGTATACAAGAATGTCAGACAAAAATATTTAGAAGAAATAAATTTGGAATGGTTGGGCTGTTCTTCCCATAAAGACCTATTAAAAGAACATTTTATTAAGATCATAACACGATTACAAATTTTTAATTGGTGCAGAGGCATCAACTTAATTTTGGGTGGAACAGTTCAAAGAAAGGTAAAATAGGCAAATTAATTAATATAATTAATATTACAAATAAGTACAGTTCAATAATTAGACTACAACAAGTTTATGAAAAGAAGGAAATATAAGATTAAAAACTAAAAGTTGTTTCAATTTTTGTACCTTTTTAAAAATGATAAGAATAAAAAATAAGACTAATTTCAAAATGAGGGAAACCGACTTTTCGCATCACTATTGTATCGATATCGATACGACGATTTTGATGGTATGCACTGGCCTACGTTCGGCTCACTAGCGCCCCTAGCGGATCATCGTCATGAAGACTCAAACTCATATGAAATGACGTTTGTTCAGGAGGTGTCTTATCTGTACTATGTACATATCTCTTAAACTGTGGTTTTAACAAATACCATTATTTTTTCATTTTGATTACTGGTAATTACTGCTGAATACTAAAGCTATCATTACATAACATGTTTTAATGTAAATTGCAAAAAAAATGTACTAAGCTGTCAGTGCCCATTCATTTAAAAATATGCCTACTAAATACCAATTTCAAAATGGTATCATAATAGCAGATCCTTTTGTTTAACAAAAAGATATCCAATTTTAATTGAAAAAAAGAAGATTTTCATTAAAATACATTTCAAAATTTAATTGGTTGAATATTATTACAAAACGTATTAAATTCTATAAAACGGATAAAATGTAACTTTTTACTTTTGAAATATGATTTTAGTCTGACAAAACTGGTTTTAAGAGCACAAACATGTCTCAGGTAAAAAAAGCCCGACCCTTTTTTTCGCCAATTGAGTAACGCACGATACGAGTGATAAAGAAAAGATATGGTTTATACACTGTTTCAAATAGAACAACGAAATAGCAGAAATATTCAAAATAGCAAAGGTCGATTTTTCTCGAAAATAAAGAATTATTTTATTACGTTTCACGCGGTAAAAATGTAGTCTCATCTATTAAGCAACTGAGATTTTTTTATAGTGTCATATAATGAAGTGAGTTCTTTATTTTTTTTTAAATAGTAAGTGCTCATTTACGCCTTTCTTAGGGACGTGCTTCTTAAGCCTGAATTAGGATCTTATTAACCTAACCCTTAAATGCATGATGATGTATATATACATCAGTGTTTTTGTCCTTACATAATTTTTAAACGATAACTCAAACACAGTATTTTTTACTTTTAATAGGTGCTAAAAATATTTATTTTAGTTTTTGAACGCAAGCTTTCACGATATGGCAGTTCACTTTTTTAATTGTCATAATTTGACAGCTTGGCGCCACATTTTCTAATACCCATTTTGGCGGTCAAATTGTAATTTTATTTTAGTGAATACTAAATAGTATTATTACGTGATAAAAGTGACTTACGAGAGGATAAAGGTAAGCAGAACACTTTGCATTATTGTTTTTTTAGAATACAGTAACAGTTTTTGTAAATATCAGCAGTATAATTGTGATGTAGAAATACATCAGTATGCAAAATCGGCAAGAAATAGTTTTACTGTAGGTATAATATACTTTTTTATTTTTGACTTATTTGTATGCATATACATAATTTATTCATACGAATTTTATAATTATTTATCCAGAATGTCCCGTAAAGTGGCAGATAAAGATATAGAACAACTTCTGGCAGCTTTGGAAGATGGAAATATTTCTGAGGATGGCTTGGAAGATGAAAGTGAAGATGAAGAAACCTTTTTCGCTAATGTAAGAGAAATAGTTCAAGAGTTGGAAGACGAGGATGCAGAGGACCATGAAGATCCTACCTATAGTGATCCACCACTAGTTCAAGATTTGCCTGGCCCATCAAGTCAAATTTTTATTTCATTGCCCATGCAAGAAGGTCATCAACAATATGTAGAATTTGATAAAAGGAAACTCATTTGGAAAAAAGACAGTTTGTTGTTTGACGAATCAAAAATAATTCACCAACCAAGTACAACAGAGTTTGCTATAACTGAACTTGATACACCATATAAATGTTTTTTGCACTACTTCACACCTAAGTTTCTTCAAAAAATTGTTGATGAAACTAACTTATATGCAGTACAGAAAAACCCTTCAATATCTTTCACTATAACTGTTGGGGAGTTAAAAAAATTCATAGGAATGGCCTATAGATAGGCCTGTGATGGAACAGCTAAATAAGACCTTTTTTATCCGTTGGAATAGACCAACGACTTTCTATAGATGAGCAGATGTGTTCAACTAAAATTGCACATTTCCTAAAGCAATATTTACCAAATAAGCCTCACAAATGGGGCTATAAGTTTTTGTTCTCTGTAGTCTTATGGGATATGCTTACAGATTTGAGGTCTATTCTGGTCAAGAAGAAAAAAAAGACAAACCAGCCGACGAACCTGATCTAGGAATAACAAATAACGTCGTTATACGTTTGGCGAGAGCTATACCAAGGATGAACAATCATATTGTATTTTTTGATAATTTTTACACATCCCTGCCCTTGGTAAATTATTTGAATAAACAGGGTATACAATGTGTCGGAACTATTCAGCAAAACAGGCTACCGAATTGTCGACTCCCTGACAAAAAGGAACTTATGAAAACTTCTGTTCCGAGAGGTACATATGAGGAACGCGTTTCCCATTCAGATGGAGTAGACTTTTCGGCCACTGCGTGGAAAGATAATAAAGTCGTCACTCTTTTATCGACTTACGTTGGTGCCGAGCCTGTTTTAAAAGTATCAAGATACGATAAGAAAGCTAAACAAAAAATTGACATCCCTTGTCCCAAAATTGTGCATGGACAGTTTTTTAGGACGCTATCGAATTCGAATAAAGAGCCGGAAATGGTATTTACGCTTATTTTATCATCTACTGGACCTCGCTACAATCAATTCATGGGTGCTTATGAAAAAAAATCTAACTGCTAAAGGCGTCACAAAAAAGCAACTGCCTAATCTTGGAGAGTTTCGTAATTGTTTGGCTAACACACTGTGTAATATAGGTATGTCTGGAGGTAGTAAAAGAGGGCGCCCTAGTACTTCCTCTCTAGAACGCGAGCTTCAAATAAAAAAGCAAAAAGGTCCGCAACATCCACTCCCGTCAAAAGATGTGCGCGTAGATGGATTCGAGCATTGGCCTGTATTTGCCAATCGATTACGGTGCAAGATGCCAAATTGTAAGGGCACCACACAATGGTCGTGTACCAAATGTAATGTACCATTGTGTCTAAATCAGAGAAATAACTGTTTCAAAGATTTTCATTCACTGCAGTAAGCCTAATTCGACGACAATCGTCCTATAGCATAGTACTTAGGCTGCATTATTAATATTAACTGTAATGCATACTGATGTAGATCTACATCAGTAAGTTCTTTTTATAAAAATATACTTTTTGGAAAAAAAATATTTTTTTCTTTATTTTTACTTTTATCTATGTTTAATTATCTACCTGTTTCGATTTATTGCATTTATAAAGGAAAAATTATGCATTTAAGGGTTGAATGAAAGAAACCGGCCTGATCGTTCATCAAACTCGGTAGCAATATCTCAATGTTCAAACTTGGAGGAAAGTGACGTTTATTCTTTTTCTATAAAATCTTGACATTATCAATTTAAGCAGCCATTTTAATTTCATTGGAATACGCTTGTTTTGGATTTTTGACGACGAAGTTGTGTCACTTTTTGTGTTCTAACGGCTGATTTTTTACAAAAACGTGAAAAATATAAATCCGAACGACTTCGATGCGATTAACCATTACGTATCTATTTAACATACTTTAGAAACCATAATCATTACTTTGTTATGATTCGTTAAACATCCTTGGAAACTCGTTCGTTGAAAGTTCTCAATTATTAAAACATGGAATCTCCAAGACAGTCAGACTCGGATACTGTTGAATATTGGAAGAAACAAGCCAAGTATTACGAGCAAAAGTAAGTACCATAGAATGACGTAGATTGGAACAAATTGCTATGATGACCATGACTACAAACATCTCATGATTCATTGATTACTTTTTAAATTTGTAGGGTTATCGACATTCAACAAGAATTAGATGAATATACTGAAAATTCAGCACAGCTTGAAAAAGAATTGGAAGCATCACTAGTACAAGTTGAGAAACAAAACAGAGATCTGGAAAATCAAAATCAACGTCTGAAAAATGACATCGAAATGTTAAGGGTATCTTATGTTTTACTTGTCTTTTGAGTTTTATACACTTGGAACAGTTCATATATATTCCTATTTTAATTAAAGGACCAATCATTTATTCAATAAAATGATTACCATAAATGTTGCTCATTTTGTACAAGAGACTTTTAAATTACATTTATCCAAAGTCATGGATAAATCATCATCATGTAGTTAAAACTTGGGTACTCTTACGTTTTTTTATACACTGTTAAATTTGTACAATAAATGTTATTATCACTAAACATAAAAAGTAGAATATCCTGTAGTGATATCACAATTGAAATTTTGCCAGCGGTTATAACAACAAACACGAGTAACACCGTGGGTCTCAGCTAGTATATAATAAAAGCATAGAAAAAGTTGAAAGTGTAATATTATAAGACATAAAGTCTCAAAGTACATCATAAAGTTTAATATATCTGCGGCTCTGAAATGAGCCAAATATTATATTATTATAATGTAAATATTTACATACATAAATGCATACACCAAGACAGAGTGAGTGGATATTGTATTAGTAATGTAATTTCTCTTATGGAATAGAAAAAAAATTAATTACACACAAACATATTTATTTTTGTGAATATTTAAACTTAAATAATCATAGGTTGATTAATTTATTATTAAATATTAATTCCTTAAAACTGTATAATGGATAGCAACAATCTTGTCTTGTTTTTAATATGATGTTTAAATAAGGCAATAATATGGTATATGGTAATGAGGTCTATTTTCCAATAACTTTGGGTAACTAAGCAGGTCAGAGCTGTACTGAATTTGAAAATAATTAATGTAATGTAGTATGTAAATATGTGACATTATAATTTTAGAATAAATTGGAAAGAAGTCAACATGAAACAAATGCACTAGAAAATGAAGTAAAAGCTTTAAAAATAGATAAAGATAAACAGGGAGAGTACATCCGAGAATTAGAGCAAAAGAATGATGATTTAGAAAGAGGTCAGAGGTAAGAGCAATTTTGTTTTTTTTTTTGTTTAAATAATATCACAGTAACTTTTTGGTTATTGATATAGGTATACATATAGTATATCCCAAGAGTGAGACTACCAGTTATTTGTCTGATAGCTTATATGAGGCTCTAGGCTCCGTGACAGTAGTATTCTGCAATACTATTCTCCTTTCAACTGCCTGGTCCATTCAAACTCTTCAAAAGCTTTTTTAAGGCATTCAATTGTGATCCTAGGGAATATTAGAGGAGTTTACACAGGCAAAAAATGTTGGTAATACTTTAAAAGCAAATGACTCCTCATGGAAAATTAATGGTGTTGCTAACAACAAGCCACAATTTCCTAGATGGACACACTGCACTTGCGTCTACTCATATTCTGAAGCGGCGGTAACCTAGTGGTTAAGGAGTTGGACTTGCGATCAAGAGATCGTGGGTTCGAATCCTGACCAGTACACTACCGCCGTGAACCCACTCCTAACACAAGCAATTTAGCTTAGCTGGAGAGGTTAACGGGAATACTAGTAATTTCGGTTGCTAGTAAGCCTTAAAAAAAAATATATATATATATATATAAAATATAGTAAGCCAATTGAGCTTATCGTGACCCTGGTACCAGGAAACGAATTAGACCTTTCTATTTCCATGTTGTATTCAGACCGTGGACACAGCAAATTCTTTTGAGAAGAAGCGAAGATTGGAAGATACAATTCTGAATTAAATAAATTGGAACTTTGCTTGCAAACAGTATATAAAATGTATTTGCGTGCTTAATGCATTTGTTTACGAGTGTACCTGCGTAACATTCGGTTTGCAGCCAACTCGTGTACTGTAATGGTCATGAATGTACCAAGCAATGAGCGCATCTCCAATTCATATAAATATTAAAAAGATGCTATGAGTACCGATGATCATCATCAGCCTTTAAATTAATAGTCCATTGCTGGACATAAGCCTCTCCTTAGAAAGAACCACTGATGATGAAAAAGATAACATACAATTTACGAGAAATATGGTATGGCAATAATGGAATGGCACTATAATGCTATTGATTAGCATGTTTACTAACATGCCCATTGTTTAGCATTCTTTAAAAATAAACAGATAATATCATTTGGAATCATAATTTGTGTGTATTCTTTCAGAGTCATATCAGAATCTGTGTCATGCATAGAATCATTGCTAAATCAAGCATATGAAAGAAATGCTGTTTTAGAAAGTGAGGTAGACGAAGTTGAAACATTGCGGGTTCGGTTGCAAAGAGCAACAGATGAAGCTAGAGGTAAATGTTATTGACTTATCGTAACTAGTTGATGTAGAAAACGTAACATGATCTGAAGGCCAAGTGCGAGTTTATTTCACTTCTACTCGATCGTCACGGTAACCGCGTAAAATCGCGTAAAATCACCAATCGCAAGGAGAGTGATTCGATGTGCAATAAACTTGCACTTGGCCCTTGGTACATAGAATAGTAACGTGTCAAAAATTTCACATGGTTTCAGAGTACAAAAACATTCTTACGATACGCCCAAATCATGATGCATACATCATGATTTGGGCCTGACTTTATCACTCCTAATAACAATTTGATTATTTTGTGTTTTAGATCTGAAGCAAGAACTTAAAGTTATGGAACGAGTTCCAAAAGAGAAGAAACTAGATGACAGTACAAATGAAAATTCATTATTTAATGGACACAGTCCTAACCCATCTCGAACCCAAGTAGAGATAGAAACACAAACTTCTCTGATGTCGCCACAAAAACGTAAATATAAATTATTTATTTTTTTAAAAATCATAGTGTATACTGTAACTACTAATATGTCAGTGCCAAAAAGGTTTTAATGTTTTAGTTAAATTATACATGAAATTAAGTTCTTTATATTTATTCGAGATATCACTATATTCGTAATCAAACTAGCACACATCAAAACAATGTTGTGGTATATTTAATAGTGCCATTGTATCTATCTATGAATTGCAAAAGAGTGGCCATGAGTTTGTTTGCCCTTTCTTCTCACAAGGCTCAACCCCTTGGAAACGGGCAGTTGTAGATCTCCCAAGGCGTCGTCCCGAACTCCTGGAAGGTAGAGTTTGTGCACCCGATCCTTAAAAAAGGGGATCGCTCTGACCCGTCCAACTACAGGCCTATAGCCATAACTCCTTTGTTCTCTAAGATTATGGAATCCATAATCAACAGCCACCTCCTCCGGTACTTGGATGATCACCAGCTACTCAATTACCGACAATATGGTTTTCGCCGGAGTCGCTCAGCTGGTGATCTTCTCGTCTTTCTAACACACCGGTGGGCACAGGCGATTGAGACCAAAGGAGAGGCTTATGCGGTTGGTTTGGACATAGCGAGGGCCTTTGATCGGGTCTGGCATAAGGCGCTTCTCTCGAATTGTGTAATTGGGTCACCAGCTTCCTTGCGGACAGAAGCATTAAGGTCGTTGTCGACGGTGCATGCTCCGACTTGAAATTCGTAAATGCTGGTGTCCTACATACAAGGCTGTGTGCTATTAACCACACTGTTTCTTCTGCATATCAGTGACATGTTGCAAACTAGTGGCATCCATTGCTATGCAGATGATAGCACAGGAGATGCCCTTTATACCGCCCGCCCCAACATTTCTCGGGAAAACGTCATAGAGAGTCGAAACAAACTTGTATCTGAAATTGAAACTTCCTCAGCGGAGGTTTCAGATTGGGGCCTACTAAATCTAGTCCAATTTAACCCAAAAAGATTCTCCTTTATTGTTCTCTGTGTTTATTAATCTCTTATCTCTTGAACTTCGTAATGCGTATCATCTGTATGCTGCCGACCTGCAACTGTATGCTCAAGCTAATGTTGATGACATACCAATAGCTATCAACGAGATCAACATAGGTCTCAAAACCATCAAAAACTGGTCTGAAAGGTTTGGGTTATCGGTCAACCCGACAAAGTGTCAGGCAATAATAATTGGCAGTCAGCGTTCGATGAACAGAGTCAATTTTAAGACGCTCCACAAAATAATTTTTAATGGTATCACTATACCTGTTTGTCGATCGGTGAAAGACCTAGGCTTACAACTCGACTGCATCCTGAACTGGCGCGATCAAGTCACATACGTATGCCAGAGGGTTACCGGCATTCTTAGAACATTATATCGCCTGAAAATTTTTCTTCCCGTGAAAACTAAGACAGCGCTCGTGCAATTTCTTATCTTCCCTTTAATCGACTACGGTGACGTGTGCTATTATGACCTGAATGCAGATCTTCTCAACAAGCTAGATCGTCTCATCAATAACTGCATTCGATTCATCTTTAATCTTCGTAAGTATGACCATATCTCCGGTTTTCGTTCCCAGCTAAGATGGTTACCTATTCGTCAACGCAGGAAAATGCGCGCTCTCACAACTATGTACAATATCCTCAATTCCCCTTCCGCTCCTACTTATTTACCAACACAATTTCAATTGTTATGCAACAACCACAACAGAAACCTTCGTCCGGCCAACAATCTTCTACTCTGTCCTTCTCACACCACTGGGTTTGTCGGCCCTTTGTTCTTCGTCCAGGCTGTCCTCTTATGGAATGCGCTTCCTCACGAAGTCATGATGGCTACAAATCGGTACTCTTTTAAGACGAGAGTGAAAGAGCTATTGCTGAGCGAAATGGCAGATTCAACAAGCTCCTAGTTCATCGGCAATTTTTTTTTTTATATATATATATGTGTATGTATATATATGTGTATGTGTGTGGTATGCCGAGGTATACACCAAATTCCAAGATAGTTGGTATTTAACAAAACCTCTATCGTTTATTACCCTTTATGAAATAAAGAGAGTTATTATTACCCTACCATAAACCTCATTCTTTCTCAGCAACGCCCAATCGGTCGACTGGCAGAGAATGCCTTAGGCATTAAGTCCGCCGATGAATGTACTTGTGCAAAAAGTTATAAATAAATAAATAAATAAAAGACACCGGTATGTGCGTTCACCGCAAAAAAGATACCATTTGTCGTATCACCACAGTTTGAGAGCACCTCCCTAACTGCCTCAGCCTGCATCGGAATCCTAGGCATCGACATATCGAGCGAAGTCCAGTTTCAGGGTCACTTAGAGGATAAGGTCAAATTGGCCTCGAAGAATCTCGGTGTACTGAACAAAGCGAGGCAGTATTTCACTCCGGCCCACCGCCTTCAGCTCTGTAACGCATCCAACGAAGAGCGACTCGAATCGTCGATAGCCCAAACATCTCCGGTCGGCTCGATCCCTTGGCGTTACTTAGAGATGTGGCTTCACTCTGCATTCTCTATCGCAGTCCGAACAATTCCTCGGAGCACTCTCCATGATATACATGGAGAGTGCTCCGAGGAATTGTTCGGACTAATACCAGCCGCAAATTTCCGCCATCGTTCCACACGGCAAAATTTTTATCCTCATTACCTGGATAGTTGGCGCTCCACTACTGTGCGCTTTTCGTTAATTTTATTTGCTTACTATTTGACAAAACAGAGATTGTTGCTTTTGCGTGTGTTGATCTATGACTTTAGAGTCTACGTAAATGACAATTTCAAACAATTTTGAAAATTTTATGAAATAAAGAGAGTTTGAGTTTGAATGATGTAAAACCCGAAAATATGTTTTGCACACAATTTCCATTGATACTAGTTTGGGAACTATTTAGTATTTACATTTTTGATACTATTTACTGATTGATTGTAATAAAATGTTGCAATTGTATATTTGAAACAGGTGAAATTAACGGCAATGCAATGACACCTTCATCTCGGGTAACGGCCATAAATATAGTTGGTGATCTTCTACGCAAAGTGGGGGTGAGTCAAGTTAATGTTCTAACTGTAGTTAATGCTGCATTAGTGTTCTTCGTAGTACTAGTCACATTAGGGTGTACCAGATAGTAAGGGAATAAGCTTGGGTATAGTTTTAATTACGAAATATTTGAAATATGCACATATTTTATGTTTATTTATGTATTAAAATTGTATATTGTATGCTGTGTGGTATTTATTAAGCCATAACAGAAAAATTATTGCTTCTCTTTTGTAATATGCACATATTTTATGTTTATTTATGTATTAAAATTGTATATTGTATGCTGTGTAGTATTTATTAAGCCAAAACAGAAAAATTATTGCTTCTCTTTTGTAATATGCATTTTTTTATGTATACAGTTTGATCTCCGGTAGCTGTAAGTATTAAACAACAGCAATATCGATTCTTTTATCCTCAAATCATTCATTGATATTGATACTTCCTGATAGATACATTTCATCCAGGTGAAATTGTGATTTTATGATCATTGAATGTATATATGTTCTGCTGCACTACATAAAAATAATTCTTTAGCAGTCCAGGAGTTTTATTTTTCTTATAAAGTATCTTATAAACCGTTATAGAATAAATATGTTGTTACATGTTTTTCAGTGAAATAGTGTAGAATCCTCTAAATCGCTTTTTCAATACAATTAATGTCTCCAATATATGTATGTATATTATGTGTGTAATATCTATTATAAAAAAAGTATATATAGCGAAATGTGAAAGGTTAGTTATATTATATTGTATAAAAAACTAATATGTATAATAAACAAATTCTAATATGAACTAAGTCACCAGAACGACTAAAGTTTTTGACAGCTCTGCACATACAACATCCTCAAAACTGTTGTAAGTGTAAAATAAGCTCAGTAAACAGGAAAGCAGGACATTTAAGCGGGTTTTTTGTACCTCTCGAAAACAGTAGTCAGTATGTAAATCCCTAGAACCGTAATTGAGATTAGTATTATATGAGCTATTAGTTCCATTATTTTTTTGCATGGTTGTGTTGTGTAGTATGCATGACGTTTATTGCTTACAGCTTGAAAGGTTTCTTTGCCGTGACTGTGGTAAGGTTAAATGCTCCTGTGATGTGCCTCCAGCCTCTAACCTACACATAACTCCACCGAACGTCAACTACGCAAAGCCGAATAATGAACTAAATGACAGAGAATCGGACAAAAGTGATCCTATAGAGTATAGAAAACAAAGAGAGAGACACCATTCTGAGTCTGAAAACGATATTTTGTCGAAGAAACCTCCTATTGCAATGCAGCGAGCATCTGAGATGCCATTTACTCGGGCTTCTCTACAGCCAGAAAACGGAAAGTTGAGAAGATCTTTTGCTGTGCGATCGCGGGAGGGTTTAGAGAATCTTTTAAACTTTTCTATCAGGAAAAATAATGAAGGGAAACCAAAACAAGTGCAAAATTAATAAGCATCTAGTATAAATAGGAAAATTTTAAAAATATGTTTAAATATGTTTAGCTTTATTTAGCGTTAAATTGATTCTGTTGTGTACTATTGAAGGTTACATACGACCGTAAATCAGCCATAAATGTTAATATATCTAGCTTATATACTTGTACAAAACGATTAGTTTTAATTGTTTATATTTATTGGTTATTATAATGCCTAAAGTCACTTCAATGGATATTATTTTAGTATTAGTTAAACCGGTTTAGCTGTTGTCAAGTGATGCGCTTACAATAACCAGCTTTCATTTTTATTTACATAGATTTAGAAGGTAACCAGTTATATCATTAAAGTTAACGTATACACTGATTAATATTATAACCTACAGCAGTTTTAATGTTTTATTTTCAGCTTTTATTCATCAAATGTTGTACATATTTGTATAGCGCTTTATACAATAGGTGTTGGTTTAACCTCATGTCTTTCACTCACTTACTAATATTAACATCGTTCATTTACTGTGTACTTTTCTTCATTGTAGGCTTTGGAATCAAAGTTAGCGTCGTGTCGTGGTACAGTTAGACCTAAAGAGCATTCACCGAATTCAGCTTCGGACGTGAATAAGGACTACAGGTGTGTACTCAAGAACTAGCTACGTCCCAAATACCATCATCACACCCATATTGTGACGTGCCGCCTTCGCGCTAGCTTTTGTCATAATTGTGATACTGTACCGAGCGACTCTTTAAACATCGCTTCAAGTTTATCTCGCTGAAATAATTAATCTCGAGTATTGTGATCTATATCACATCTTTTCTAATTTAAAAAAAATCTGTGATGATTAAATGAAATAGTTAAGGTTTGATATGTCTGGTTTTGGCCTACCCACCGGAGAACAAGGACCGTGTGAAGAAAATACCGCACACCACTTAGCTACTCGCTTCATTCGCGCGCAACATGTGTTGTTTCTATACATTATAATATAATTTAAAAAAACACGAAGCGTCCATCTATAAATTTTAATGAATTACCGTCATCAATGGTAGCAATATCTAAGACATAATTCTTATGTTCTGTTAATTATAGATGATATGTCATTAGAAGTGCACATTTTCTTGGTGTAAAATTTAATAGTTATTGAATTCACATAATTGATACAGCAATTAAATAATTAGATACTTTAGTCTATTTGGTGGACAAAAATATTTTGGAAATATATTTATGTACATAGTAGATGAAGGTATGAACTTGTCAAAATTAATATAAAAATTTATCACGAGATTTGCAATTATATGTATAGTTTTATGTATGTATATATGTATTTTGTAATTATGCATAATAACATATTTAATATACAAAATAAAACCAGCTCTATGTATCTGACAATACGTAGAGATTAGAATATTATAATTTTATATCAATAAATGTTTTAAGGTAGATTCTCCATTGATGTGTTGTCTCACTGTGAAATGATATTATATTATACATAGTAAAAGTTTTTGCCTTTCTAATTTATAAAGCATAATAGAATCAGGTGCTCAAATACACAAATAGAACAGATAGTAAATTTAAGGTGATTTCGTATTGCGGAGTTTGATAACAAAAGTTTGCAGTGACTGTGTTGTGACTAACCATTTAAGCCATTTAGGGATTACACAAGTGCAATGTCTTATATATCTTAATAGTTGTGGTATAATGGACACTTCAAGCAAATAACCTACGTGTAATTGGATTATTACCTTCTTGGCATTAATTGCATGAATGTAACATCATATTCGGCATGCACTAATATGTTAAATAATAATTTCCATCTGTTTTTAACATTCGTGATAAAGACTGTATTTAATTCATCGTCGCTAGTGCAGTAATAATAAACTAACGAAGAGAGATCACTGTGGAGATAGTAACAGAAAATATTTTGTGTAATTTATTTAGCTATGTCTATTAAGTCGTGTCTTGCCTTATAAACACGTTGATTAGTGTTATTAGTTTAGTTGGTGTTCAATTGAGATAAGTAGGTACATACTGTAACAAGGCTTCGCCCCCTTCGAACTTGATAATATTATAAATTATAAAAGTAAATGTCAACTTTTACAGTATAACTTAAACTGTCTCAAACAGGCACTATTTATCGACTAAATGGATTTCTGAATTATACATAGCAGCAACTAATTGAGGAAAACAAGTATTCAGAAATGAAATTCACTAAAGTATCACTGAATGTTTCTACTACATTAAATAACGCGTCACTATTTATAATACTTATCACTACGTAACAACGCAAAGCAAGTAGTTATCTAGATACTCTCCCTTAATAATAACATATTAAATTTAAATAATTTATAAAAATGACATTATTAAGCAATGTTATATAAAAAAATTGTTTTAGTATTATGTACCTTCACATTGAGTTGGTCAAACATTGGTTTTGTCATTTGCGTATTACTCAAATGTATTTGCCCAGTTTGCTGCAAATAGTTTTAAGTATCTAGCATTTATACGTTCACGCGTGTGGTGACCAAACAACTTTTTATTTTTTACGCAATATGAAATATCGAACGATAATAAATAAGTCAAAACTGATTATAATCTTTTATTTCCCTCAATAATACTTATTTTTTGTACAATTCGTTAGCATCCTCAGTGAGACGTATTTGCTCATAGGTATAAATATTTATTACATTTATAAGTTTTTAATATTAAACACGATACATATGACTAGTTAATAGTACTTTTACAGATGCCTTCCTCCTTAAAAGATTAATAATAAATAAGGACAGCTATTCGATTACTCCTGTTGGCAGGGAGCGAGAACATTACTGTTAAAAGTACTAATAATTAACTGCAAATATCAGTGATGTGATGCAAAACAAATTATCTTAGTACAACTGTTGCGAATGTTGAAAGTAATCGATCCCACAACTACAAAAAAGTAGACTTGCAACGAATATTCGGTTACTATTCGGTATTCGGCCTATTCGGCTGCTTTTATTATATTCGGCCGAATACCGCATATCTACATATTATTCGGCCGAATACCGAATACTGAAATAATATATTTTGTCATTGAGAACGTAGGACAACCAGCACGGCAAAGAGAAGGAAAACTTGACACAAACCCTATACCAACCCGTCTGGCCAGCGTGGTTTAGTAGGCCAAAACCTCCTTTCTAAGGAGAGGCCTATGTCCAGCAGTGGACTATTAAAGGCTGTTGATGTGATGTGATGTGATGTGTCATTGAGAAATAATTGGTAAAATTAAAAATTAAAATCGATTTATTACGAATATATTCATATTTTCATTTCTGTTATAATCATTTAAGTAGTCATTGGTGCATAACACAGGTACATAATCATGTTCTGAATTGGAAAAATGGAGGATTCTATGTATTTGAATTATTGTGGTAATCAAAATTTAGAAGGGTAAGGTTCTCATTTCTTTTATAATCATTTATTAAGTAGTCATTGGTACATAAAACAGGTACATAATTTAATTCACGTCTTTACAAGTTTTTGGCGCTAAAATCCAGCCGAATACTTTTGCCTTATATTCGGCTATTCGGTCAGGGGCCTCGCCGAATATTCGGTATTCGGTATACTGCCGAATATACTATTCGTTGCAAGTCTACAAAAAAGTAATTCAATGCCATTATTCGAAAACATTGTTTTGCATTTTGGACCTTATCACGATCTGACAGTCTGTTGTCAATCACATCATTAAAGTTCAAATAATTTTGTTTACATGTATCTTATACTATTTGTTTACCAACCAGAACATTCGACAGTAAATCTGTCCACTCAACTTGTTTTGGTACATCCACTGGCGGTTTAAATAAATTTACTAATTCCGGTATAGATTTGTAAAATAATTTTATCCTGAGCACCAAGGGAGTATTTTCTTCTTCATTAACAACTTCCATCAAAATGTTACCTTAAAATAAACAATAACCTGTTAAAATGACATAACAACAATATCAGATACATTGCATAAAAATTGTTTTTAAAATGTATGTACTTCAAATATGGTGACGGGTTTCAAAGTTGTACACCCACACACAAAATCTACCGGTTGTAGACCGTACTAGGCGTTTTGTGAATGCCTTTTTTACACACAGGTACCTACACTCATGCGCCCTCATATTGTGCCCTCCTGAAGTCTGAATAAATTAGCCGAGCATCTAGGAATAATGTTACAAAAACGGGGGAAAATTATCCCTAATGAGAGATGGTAAGTGGTAGATAATGACATGCAGCATTAATAGATCTGCCAATGTAACATGCAGGAAGTACTAAATAATTAAAACAGACATATTTTGGTTGACATATTTATACTTGCCTTTTACTTTAGAAGAATGCGTCAATCGAAGGAATACGACAAACAGAGGTGATGTTTGCACAATATAAATTAATTTAGATAACGCATACTGAATTACAAGAGAAAGAACCCGGAACTGAAAAAGAAAGAAATAGATACAACGCATATAAACAACAAACATACATTTTCGCAGTCTCTGGTTCAGGTAACATTACATTGTAATTACATCATAAGTAATTATACTCATTTACTTAAGGCAGCCGTGTGGTGACGGATTAACGATACAGAGCGTCACCACCCCTATTCATCCCGTGGGTGTCCTAAGAGCCGACTAAGGAAGCAAACTGCAGGACAACAGCTCTGTAAAGAGAAAGAAAACTTGAAACAAACCCTATACTAACCGTGATGACCACAAAAATGCTGGAGCAATGCGCACATATTAACCTGTCTGGCCAGCATGATATAGTAGGCCAAAACCTCTTTTCTAAGGACTAGTCCTATGTCCGTAGAATATTAGAGCCTGTTGATGATGATATAACTTGATTGTCAGCTGATGCTCTAAAGGATTTATCGATCTATCAATTAAATGCACTGACGATCTTTCTCTCGGCATAGGTACTTCTACCAATTTTTTTGTTATACTTTTACAACTGGGAAACATTTTATGACTTATCGCATGAGAGGAAGTTAATGACAAAATTTTGTACCTAGATCGCGGCCACGGTATGGAAAGAATTTTCCGATTTTTAAGAAAGAGTATATCTATCAATGCATTATTCTGATAATGATTAATTATGATAATACTTTAGGCTGGAAAGCAAGCCATGAAAGTTACAAATATTTATGTATACCTAACAATATTACTTTATAAAAAATACTGACTAAAAACTTGTGTTGTGTTTGTTCAGATTATTAAACATTATCTATAATCTATTCGCTCTAAGAACATAATGACGCATCGTTGTCCACTAACCAAGACCGCCCCCTAACCAAACAGTTTCCAAAAAATTATAGTGAAGTTCACACAGACCGGTTGACTGTAGACTTTCTTACCAAACAATTGCGTATTTTGAGCATTACATTAAATTTTAATACTGGATATCTTGCCTGTTGCCTGTTAAGTACTTTAATTGCAAGTGCTGGTGGAGTGTCCAATACTATTTAACAAATGATTAACAAATAAAAAGAAACTAACCCATTAAAACCGCGCCTGAGAAAAAAGAGATTGACTATCAACGGTTGACAAATTACATAAAAGTACATTCAAAGAACCATATAGCTTTATATTTTGTTTATATGTTATTATGCTTTTGTTTTATTTCAAAAAACATTTACACTCAGGTATAAACTTAAATCTATAAAAAATAAATTGTTGTACAAATGTAAATTGTTCAAATTTTTACGTCATGGTGTACATGCGTCACTATTTTCTTAACGCGAATGGACTATAATATACCTACTTTACCTGAACAAAGAAAATAGTAGCATTCTCCTAAAACTTTGTACAAAAACGTCCATAATTTACCACTTACGGCTGTAAACACGATGTAGTAAAGAGCAGTTGTGGGCAATAATAACAGTAATATTGTAAATGCAACAGTGCCCACAAAAAGTTCTTGGTTCGTATATTCACAGGAATCAATCCCTCCTCTGAGCGGATTATATTTCCTTCCAACAAATAGTCGAAGTAAAGCAATAAGGCCAGATATTTGAATGTTGAATAGTCTGAAACAAAGTTCAGTATAAAAAGAATGTACCTAGGTTGTGAATAGCTACAACCAAAGACAACCGAGATAGGTGTACAGAACAGAATGTAGAACATAACAGTAGACATGTAGGCAAAGATAGCCGTCGTTAATAATATTTTGATAAGGAAGGATTTAAATTAAATAGAAATGCCTCTAACATGCCTGTGGTGTAGCTATAAAAAATGCAGTGCAACATATACAGCATCAGTAGCCGCCTCTAGGCTCCAAAAGATAAACAAGTCTTTTCGAGGTCAATGTGTCCGATTTTATAATAAAATCCCAAATAATATTCAAGAGTTAAGTATTAACAAATTTAAATCCGCAATTAAACGTGGCTAGTGCCAGAGGATGGAATGGAAGACTAGAATGCTTGGGATTAATTAGCGCAGGCTATTTCTTTCTTAAGTAAAATGTGTTGTGGCTAGTGTGTTTTTTTATTATTTTTTCTATTTTTTATGTTCCACTTCGTTTTCTCATTTATTCGTTTTTTTCTTAATCTTGGTTTTCTCTTCATTGACTTTTTACCTTTTAGTAATTAATAACGGACATACTGGCACACATCAAAACAAAATTGTGGTATATTTAATAATAATATAATATAATATTCTACCACATTCACACAACGCCATCTAGTCCCAAACTAAGCAGAGCTTGTACTATGGGTACTAGACAACTGATATAAATACATATATACTTTTTTTTTGTAAATACATACTTATTATACATATAAACACCCATACCAAATCAAACATTAAATGTTCATGCACACAAACGTTTGACTGTGCGTTCGAGGAGGTAAGATCTAGGCTCTTTTTGCTTTCCCAGATCCCGGCATTGTATACAGATAATAAAGATAGAAATTTAAAAAGTTATTAACTTTGTTAAGTATGGTGTGTACCTATAATCTAAAAATAGGTACACACCATTCTTTGGTAAGTTTGGTAAGTTGGTAAGGTCGGCAATCCAGTCACTTTTGTAATCGATGACTAGTCGGCAATTATTCGACTATTCCGGCTGAGTCAATACGACTGAGACGATATTTTTTCCGAGACCCGTCTCGTAAATATAAGGAAAGTCTTAGTGCCGTGCGCAGATATTAAGGGATGTATTCGAACGCAGCGTTTTAGTTTATTTGAAATTACTGACTATCTAATTTATTATTTTGTGTAATTACTTGCAAAATCATGAACTTTATTAAAATTCGTAAGGTATATAATCATACCTGGCTGCATACACATAAATGCAATAGGAATGAAATGTGGCTATGCATATCAAATCAGATACTATTGCCGTTTGAAATGTAAATCCTAAATATCCTATGTAGTTATATATATGAAGTATTATGTCCAACCGCTCTCCTGACACATCTGTAATCCAAAAAACAATACTAACAGTGTGGAAGCATATTCTCTATAATCTCAGTCTAAATAGGTTAATAATAATAAATCAATAGTAATAACTTAATTAAAAAGAAAAGGCCAAAAACACAGGTACTCCTGCAAAATGACATTACTTAATTAGATTACATTAACAATGTGTATTTCTAAGAAGTGCAACATCGTTATTATAACATGTATTAGTTAGTAATTTAACAACTTGTGATATATTACCTAAAAATAACCACCAAAGTTGCACATGGTAGAGAAAATATTTGCCAAGCATTTTGTTGAAAGCATTGTTCAGTTTCAAGCCGACTGGAGCTCCCATTAGCCATTTTAATAGAGAATATAATAAATTAATAAGTCTCTGAAATAAAAAATACAAATACAATCTCTCTTAGTAAACAGGCTTATCTCACACAATGCCTCTTGAGGAATAAGATAACAATGGAAACAGTCAATAATTCCAAATGTCATTTACTATGGAAGATTTGTCATTAAGTATACAGTGGACATAAAATTTGCATTGTATTTTTTTGAAGATTCATCAGCATTATCATCAACTTATAATAGTCCACTACTGGACATAGGCTTTCCTTGTAAAGGAGGTTTTGGCCTACTACACCACGCTGGCAAAGATTACAAGAAATAAAATAAATAAATTTGCCTAAAAGTTAAAGAAAGAATTATGCAATAAATAAAAATTAAATTATTAAATCAAACTGAATTAATATAACCATTTTTACCTCTAAAACTCCCATCAACGCTGAGCTAATATCTACTTTATTCTTTGGCAATAATTGTAAAGCAATATATCCCAATGCAAGATCCATTAAAATTGCCAAAATTAAATTTCCTTGTTTAATTGAAACCTGCCAACAAAAATAAAAACCAAATTAGATATATTATGCTCTTAACTTGTAAATTTATTGCTATATAAAACAACACACTTAAATATATAAATACAAAGCATTTATATACTTTATTTTAATTTATCTATAATATATATGTATTTAAAAGTATATGAGTATGTTTATGAACTCTTTGCCCTTTCTTCTCATAAAGATCAATCCCTTGGAAACGGGTGGTTGTAGATGGGCACAGGCATAGACTTTGTGATGGTATAATTTTTGTTAAATTTATTTTGCTAACTATTTGACAAAACAGAGATTGTTGCTATTATGTGTGTGTTGATCTAGAATTTTAGAGTCTACATAAAAGACAATTTCAAATAATTTTAAAATTTATGTCAAATAAAAATATTTTAAAATTGTTATGTTGTTGTACAGGTTCTGTCTAGTTTGGGATCAGATGGCCATGTGTGAGATGTGTGAGATATTATTATTATTTATGAAACTGAGAGACTGCCTATTTATGCCTAAACTATGGGTTAGCTATTAGGAGGGCCCATACCATATTTACCTATATTAAATAACATAAAATTCCTATAAATAAGTATATATATATATACTTATTTATATATATATATTTATTTATATATAAATATTTATATATCTAAGAAAATATTAAGTTGGTTTTTGTATGCTTCAAAAACTCGGAAAGGTCTGTACTGATTGAGCTCAAATTTTGACACAGTATATAAACCGCTTTAAAGATTGTTTTTATCTATTTTTCACATATTTTTTTGTGCCATAGTGAAGAGTGGCAGGGTACAGTTAGTTTATTATAATTTTCTACAATAAATAAAATTCTAGCTTACACCTTATAAATTATTTTGTAAGTATCTTCTACTATTGTTTCTTAATCTGAGTTCCTAAAGTTTCTGAACTTTTTTAACTAAAATTATAATCATTAGTAACATCATATTGTATTTAAACAAACTCATGGGTTTCATAAATCAGTAAACTGTTTTAGATCTTAACATAATAGCAAGGAATAAAATATTCTGAGAATGAATAATTAAATGATTAAAAAAAAACTTGGTAAAACTGTTTTATTTCATGCACAAATATCTTACAGTCTGCCTAACATTTAAGGCTATAGATAGGCTAACTACTAACAACTAACGATTACTGTATGGTATTCTCTGCTTCTCAACTTACTTTTTTATCTCGCTTGAGAGTAGAAATAAGCCATTCAATAAGTCTCCAATAGTTAAAGACATGTTGCAATAACATAGAGGAACCATACCAAGGAGAACTGTAAGACTCCTTTTTACAGTTCTTTGCAAAGAAATCTTCATGTTTATCCTGTATAAGGTCTATTAATTTTGCAAGGTAATCATTTTTAGATATACAAATTGCTTGAGAATCTTTAATATTATCATAGTCATAGAGCACGGTGATACAATTGTTTGTGTTCCTAAACTGTTTTCCATTTATTATTAACCCCTTTATGTGGAATGTTGAATTTTGTTCTATTACTAAAAAATTCTGAAATTTGTGTGTTAATTTCTTGTGCATATTATGTCCCATATATCCATACAGGGTATGCTCGATGTCCTTTTCCTTTGCCATCAACAATTCATTAGTTTCTCCGAACTTTGTCACATAAATTGTAATAATGTGATTATCTTCGACACTAATATAACCCTTAAAAAATATTTCTTTTGCATTGCCAGAAAATAAAGGAAGTAATATTCTTACGACAGAGTTCATTATAACTGTATTACTAGCTAAAATCTTTAACGAATTTAATAGTACTAATTTAATCACAGTTCACATTTTAAACAAAAAACAAACACAAAGTACGTATAGCACGTCAGTCATATATCATAGAGTTGTGAATGTGTAGCTCCTGAGTGAGTGATATAAAAGATATATAACATTCACGACTATAAAATGTATTACTCACTCACACTTGCTCCGAATATATCAGTAACTCAGTACTAGCTACATTATACTAGTCTGTGGTACAAGCTCACTATATAAATCACTAACTTACTAGCTCAACGACGGCGATCTTTGTTTCATAAGCGAGTGAGACAAAAGATAAATGAGTGAGATAGGCGATGGTTGAGTTCACGCCAAGTTTCCTTATGTAAAATGTACATTATTTTTATAGGATCAAAGTTTAACATTACTTAATTAATAATTGAGAATCAGTTAACGTATGTAATCTGTCTAATATCCAACCTAAAAAAAATATATTATGCCTATGTTTTACCTTTTTTTAAATATTTTATAAAAAGGTCTCTTGGTAGAGGAGCGTCCACCTCTGCTAAAGATAATTATGCCATCAATCGAGTTAAGTATGATAGCTTGATCCTTCTTGGGAAACATTGTTATGGACGTTACGTTTACGAAGTACTATAAAATATTTGCATGCCTAGTACAGGCAGAATATAGCTTGAACATTATACACCTTTATAAAATCTGGTACCACCTGTATTCTCTGCAAATAAATGTTTCTTTCTTTCTTTCTTTCTATTATTCTTAACTTTGTCATTTTGTGAAGTAAATTGAGACATTGTGGGTTTTCGATACGTTGGGGTAAGGTTCATGATGAAGAGAGAGAGCCCGGGAGGACGACCTCCACTCGGACCCGATCCGCCGCTGGCGAACCGGGCGGCGGAGGCCCGCCTATCACAGCCTCATGCCGCCCTGAGTGTGGCCGCGGGTGGACGGGGTGGGTTTCCCCTCCACCCGCATTAGTTTGGCCAGCCGCGAGGGGGCGGCGTCCGCGTGTGCCGGACGTCGCCTAAAGAGAGGAAAAAAAATATTGAGACGGAGCCCGCACCAGGAGCGGGCTGGCGCTAGGAGGGGTCCGGATGTCTTAACAACAGCTGTTCCCGGATCCCTCCTGTTACAGGCGCAGAGTGGCACACCGTGTGGTTTTAGTCGGTCCGAGTCCGACACACCACCCCGCCGCAAACCCCGGAGGGGTGACGGTCCGAGGGGATTTCCACACGTTAAAAAAAAAAAAAAAAAAAAAAAAAAAAGGTTCATGATGAAAAGAAATTGACTCCTAGTACTAGGAGTTACCCTTACAGCGTAGGTTAATCTTGGAAGGTTATTAGACGCGTAAACTTGTAAACAACACGCGATAACCGAGCAAACGGAGTGAGTCACACGCCTCTGTAGTGGCTAGATGCCCGCGCTGTTTTATCACTGTTGTCTCACAGTTAATAGGTATATTTTTAAAATTTCAGACGCAAAACGATTTTAAGATTATATGGAATATTATTTGGCATGATGACCGTGATGCATTCCCAGAAATGAGCAGTGTTTGCCTTAGTAAACCCTTGTTGCTTCTCTTTTATTATTACATTTATTATTTAACTTAGGGTTTATTAATACTGGAAATATACCCGAGGCAATGTTAGGCATTGCCTCGAGTAAAGTCCTTACATTTATTAAATGTCTGTAAAACAAAAAATATTCCACCTACAAACAAAAAGGTTTAACTAAAAAAATAAAATAAAAATATTAATGCAGAGTTTTTGGGCTGTGTATGCTAAAATTAATGTTCTCATAGATTTGTATTATGATTTAATATTTAATAAACACTTAAATTTAGTCTATTTAATTTAAATTGATGGGGTCAGTTCAATTACGTATTTAATGCAGTGAGACAAAATGCTGTCTACCAAATCTGTTAAGTTATGCTTTAAAAATAGAAATCCACCATTTTACTTTCGTGGTTTGATTGATTTGTTGGCTTGTGGTGTCTGCTCTGCGATACTTAGTCTACCTTAAAGACGTTATATTATTCTGTTATGAGAGAAAAATAAATTTAATAAAGACTTATAATTAAATGATTCATTGTGACATATACATTTAATACTGTTGTTATCTATTTATTGATACAATATGTCAGCTCACGAGCAAATGAGGGCTATGTTGGATCAATTGATGGGCACTGCTCGCAATGGTACTTTAAAAAAAATATTATACATTATTAAATCCTACTTGTTGAAAGAGCAGTTTTGGCCAATTTTGGAGATTGTGATCTATTCGATATTGTGCATTAAATCAGTGTCATGAAGATGATTTTTTTTTTAGGTGAAACTGACAAGCATGGAGTTAAATTCTATGATGATGCAGTGTGTAAATCATATTTATTGCAATGTTGTCCACATGAAATACTATCCTCCACGGTAAGTAATTCTGTTTTAATTTGGTCTATTGGGCATTGACTTCTGAGTTTTCATTAAATAAAGTATTTAATAAAATAATTTGTTATACTATTTGGCTTTATTACCAATTTTGTTATTAATGAATTCTCAGCATTTTTCCATTGGGACCTGTAGTGTCTTTATACCTCACATACACTGAGATATGATCATGCATATTATTATTATTTAAATGGTATAAGATGAAACAAGTAAGATATCTTGATGTATGTGTTGACTCTCACATCTGCTGTCATGTGATACTGTAGTGAAGCTGGAGAAATCTTACATCGGAGTGGCATTAACTGTGGTGAAATGTGCTTTTCAGAAAATGCCCAACACTAGTCTTTATTGCTCATCACAATACTTAACAGATGAGGGATAGATTGTATGAGTTAGGCTGTTCTGTAAGTACCAAGATGTACGTATAAAACATTTATAGTTAGCTGATTGTATTACTACTGCTAAGCAGTATTTAATTTTAATAAGGCTCTTAAAATAATTAAATTTTCCAATGGTTACTAATGCTGCTTCGGTGAGTACATGTGAAAAATTTTAGGAACATGAAAAATCTTGTCTGGTGAGCGCAATTTGGTGTCATACATTCTAACTACATTGGGTACGTACTGTGCTGTTTAAATGGCTAGCATATCCCACCAACTTTTGCATGTAATGAGCAAGAAGATTTGTGATTCTGAAAATGCAAATTTCTTGAGCATAATGTAAAATGTAATTGTACTCAAGTTTTAAATTCAATTTATTACATTTTTCTTCAATTAGAATAAACACAGTTTTTATTTTGATATAAATGTACCAAATAAATATATTAATTCTTATTATTCAGATTATTACTATTTTCTCATTTCAATACATTCCTATTAAATATTATTTAATTATTACATACCAGCCATTCCTATCAATGATCGTGTTAAGAACGCAGTTCAATACACAAACTATTTTTTGGTGTTATGAAATATTGAAAATGGCAGTAATGATGAAGTGTCAGTACGAAGTAATTGATAGATAAATGTTTTATAGTGAAACTTATTTTACTTAATGATTACTATGTATTTCTGTTTTGGTGTCTGAATATACTTGGTCTGGTTAGGATAATCAGGAGGGTGTTTTCTCTATCATTTGTAAGTATTTATTATACATTTACGTATCCTGAGTTTGAACCTGGGCTGTCTGAGCTGTGGTGATTTAGTATGTATTTCTTTCAAATATTTTTATAAAAATTTGTGGTTTACAAAACATTTCTAAGCATAACTTTTGTGTCTCAGGAAATTAAAATTATTACTGAATATGTAGATATGGTTATGAAAAGAAAAGCAATCAATATTCATTACCTACAATTGTTGTTCACTAATAGTTTTTTAGAACATTTATTATTTATGTGATTTTATTTTTTATTGCAGCGAATGGATTTAGGTGAGTGTCCAAAAATACATGATCTGGCTCTACGTGCGGATTATGAATTAGCATCAAAAACCAAAGACTATTTCTATGACATTGATGTAAGTATGAACAATTTATTTTTGTTATATACCATGGTTGCTATAGCATTCATTTCCTTGAGATATCCTAAATCACTTGTAAGCAATAGTCTTTGCAATTTGATCATCTTTGCATCTATATATTCTACCAAGGAATGGAGTGCTATCAAATGATTAAAATCCTTAATAAGGACTTCTCTTTTATTTACTGTAAATACAAAATATTATGTTATTACTGATTTTTATCTACAGTTGCAATGAACAAATCTTACTGTTGTTTAATATTTTATATGGTATGTACCTATATATTATGTATTGCTAAATAAAACAAATAAATCAAACTTCAATTATATGTTTAATTACATATTACAAATGTACTTAGATAATATAAAGGCCTTAATATTTCTACAAATCTAGGGTAAAATGTAATAGGTAATCTAATTTTTACATGTTAATTAGGCGACAGAACATTTAGAGGCTTTTATTGCCGACTGTGATCGTCGGACTACAGCAGCTAAACAGCGTCTTGCTGAAACCCAAGAAGAGCTATCAGCTGAAGTTACAGAGAAAGCGAATGCCGTACATGAGTTGGCCGAACAGATTGGTCAAAAACTGGCCCGTGCTGAGGCACTTGGGGAGGAGGGTATGGTGGAAGAGAGTGTCAAACTTATGGGCGAGGTGAGATCCTTATAAAAATATTAATTGCACACAGACTATAGCAGAAATTCAATTACAATAATACAATAATTTGAAATAAAATTTGTTGGGTTGTAAACAGTGCCTATGATTTAAAAACAGGAAAACCAAGTTTCAGTAACAACACTGACTTCACACAGCAACAGCAACTTAATGTATAAAAATCAATGTAACAAACATTGCTCCCAAGAGCTGGAAAATTATTTCTACCTGAGCGATACTTGTGTCAAAATCTGCTAATTCTATAAATAATAATGTACAGATACAAAATTTATTTTTACAGATTGACGAATTACGCAAAAAGAAAGCTCTGGCTGAACAAGAATATCGGAATTCTATGCCAGCGTCATCATATCAGCAACAAAAGTTACGTGTTTGTGAAGTGTGTTCTGCATATCTCGGCATACACGACAATGACAGGCGGTTAGCTGATCATTTTGGCGGTAAACTTCATCTGGGATTTATTACCATTCGGGAGAAATTAACGGAATTAAAGGTGACAAAAGACGACACTTAATTTTTATCCTATTTTAGTATTTGGCTGATGTTCACCTTATGTTTTAGAAAACTGTTGATAAAAGGCGCGAGGAGCGTGGTGCTTCGGAACGTGAACGAAGCGGAGGTAGACGTCATTATGTAGGTGGGCGTGAACTGGATCGTCGCGCTAGACGTCACCGTGAATCCGCGAGAGACCGCGACCGCAACAAGGACTCGGAGCGAAACAAGGAGTCAGAACGTAGCAAGGAGGCGGACCGCTCTGACCGTGACAGGAAGGACAGGGATCGCGACCGTGAACGCGAACGCGAAAGAAGGTAAACCAGCCCATATTAATTTACTGATAGTCATAAAATAATAGACTGCTTATTTTTAAGTATTAAATTTATTAACTGGCAGGTGTTTGTTATAAATTAAAATTAAGTGAGTGAGTGACAGAGACATTAAAATAATGAAAAGCGATTTACACAAGTATCCCGTTAAGTACAATTTATACAAGCTGTTATACATATATGTTGAATTTCTATATAATGAGTTAATATTGTTTCGACTTATACTCAATTTTATGTGCACAAGGAAGTTATTTGAAAAACTGACTTAATCAGGATGCTTCTGGGTTGTACAACGAGGTGGCAGGTCTCATAATTAAGTAAGACAACCACATCAAAAGTCTAGTCAAATTGTTTAAACAGCTCAACAGCAGCGTCAACAGTACCCTGAACATGATTTCTGGCCGGCTGGACTGTGGTTACATCAATCGTTGCTGCGCAATTGCGTACGGAATGGCGCAGCAATGATGTGTGTGTATATGTCTATCTTTCTTTGTTTTGTTTTATGGTTTGTTTTTTTTTATGTACTGCACTAACACTAGTCTCTAAGAATATTGTTACTAACAAATTGGACACCATGGTCTGCAATAAAAAGTTTATTATTATTATAAACAGGCGTAGCCGATCACGCAGCCGAAGTAGACGTGAGGAGTCCAGCGAGAGGCCCCGCGGACGTGACAGGGATCGAGACCGTGAGTCACGGACTCGTCGTAGTCGTTCAAATCGTTCCAACTCTCGAGAACGCCGATGAGACTAGCCTTGTTTTATCCTAAATAATATTAATTATAGTCCTACTTCTCTCTCAAACTTGTGTGGATATTACCTTATTAAAGCAACACATTTTATGTTCAGTCTTGTTAACATAGTTTCGTCATACGTTTATGGGAATATGTTAAGTTTTAAAAAATCCTATAAAATGAGAATATATAACATTATTTAAAACTATTAATTAGTATGTTTCAGTTTTTTTTTACATCTTAATTTTAACTATTCCTTGGTAATATTCAATTCAAATTATTTAATTTGTAGAAATGTAATATATTTTTAATATCTGAAATGGTATGGATGTAGTGACAATAGATGATGTAATATGATCCCAAACTAGCTGGTAAGCTAGAAGAATCTATTCGGACTAGTGTTGAAATACTACATTGTCTGCCTAATAAAAGCCATAATATTAATTGGTACCCCCCCCCCCCCCCCCACAAATTTTAAATGTAGTAATGTATTGTTTGAACGATGCCGACACGCACTTTACGGGATCAATAAATAACTAAGTAACGCACCCGTAAGTAGTGCAAGTACTTCCTGCAATGGGTTGTATCGTTCAGTTACTAGAATAGGTTATAATATAAAATAATACTTTAGTTTTAGTGTTTGTAAGACTTGCTAGATTTAACGTAACTTGGAAAATGATATAGGCTATTTGCTAGATTTACAAGGGATTCATGTGGTTTCAAGAGTAGAAGTGATATTATCAGAATATTTTCAGGTGCAAGTCAAAAACATCAAATTCATATAAAAGCAAGATGTAAAATGTAGTTTGCTTTTCGTTTGTTAAAATTAAAATCATTATCATTACATATACTTGTTTTTTCATTTCAGCGATACCACCTTTTTTATCTAAAAAATAACAAGTATGTATGGACAACTACAGTAAGCCAAAAATTGTTTCTTAAACACATCAAATTATGTTTGTATGTTACTAGTGAAGATGATATTTCTTATCAGTTACGTCATTTATCTATACAAATAAATAAAATTGGAGTGTCTGTTTGTAATATTAAAATAACCGCTTTTTACTAAATGCATATTTTAATGTATGTTTACACGGTACATATGCCAAAATAACATTTTTTTTCAATTATTGTCTATCTGTCTGTTTGTTCCGGGTAATCTCTGGAACGGCTGGACCGATTTCAACGGGACTTTCACTGGCAGATAGCTGATGACATAAGGAGTAACTAAGGCTACTTTTTTTAGACTAGCTACGCCCCGCGGCGTTGCCCGCGGTTATAACAACAAACGCGGGTAACACCGCGGGTCTCGGCTAGTTAGTAAAAAGCACGTCTCCCGAAGTGAGTACAAACATATAATTTTTTTCAGACTGTGCTTTTTCCTATGAAGAATGAATGACGTTTTAGTCAGTGGTAGTGAAACCTATAAATATCTGTAAAAAATCCTGTTTATAGATCATCATCATCAGCCTAGTCCACTGCTGGACATAGGCCTTTCCCATTGCACGCCACTTCGATCGATTTTCGGCTTCTCGCATATAACTCCTGCCAGCCGCGTTGCACAAATTGTCACCCCCACCTGGCCTGTGGGAGTCCTACGTTTGCCCTAACGCGGTCTCTACTCTAGAACTCGTTTACCCCAACGGTTGTTGGTTCTGCGGCTAATATGGCCAGCCCACTGCCACTGCAACTTGCTAATCCGGTGGGCAATGTCGATGACCGTGGTACTCTCCTGGATCACCTCATTCCTAATGCGATCCCTTAGAGAAATAACTGAGCGACTTTAAGCTTATGACCAGCCGTATCGTAAGTGTCCTCGTTATGGCTCCGTATGTCGGGTAGGACGCACTTATTGCAGACTTTCGTCTCAGGCACTGTATAGTCATAAACCCTCGCGTCCATATCCGCCACGATATCAAAATGCGGGAAAGTGCCAGGACTGGTGCAGTATCCCCGTACGATCCGAATGGCCGCTACCTGCTGCGTTTGATAGAGCTCGGCAGCGCTGGTAGCGCTTTGCCCATATCGGCGCTCCGGTTAGGGCCATGGATCGTATCTACTGTGAGGCTTGCCTAATCTAGGGGGTCTGGGGAGGAATCCCGCGGCCCCCCTAGATTAGGCAACAGGGTCTGTAAGGAGCACGTAATATAAACCCTAGATGTAAACCGAACTTACACGTCTCTATGGAATTAAAGAATTGTTTATACTGTGTAAGTATGTACGTATCTACGAGTACTTACTGACACAGTTCTTTTTATGCTAGGCATATATTTATTCTTTCTTTAAAAATTCTTCGCGCACGTCTATTTGTAACATCGCGCCGCTAGAAACGTGCCTAGTTTGCTTTAGGGATAATCCGCCACTGCCCTAAACACTTCATAAAAACTTTTCCTGCTTTTGATTACACACGATATAAATCATGTCCTACTGTGCCAATTGTTTTTTTTTATTTCTAATATGACTGTTGATTTTTTATATTTAATAAGTAATTCTTATTAATAATGTGTTGTATTGCAGCAATTTGGGCGTCTTTGTTTCTGTATTCTTATAGCCTTACATTCCACAACACTTTCTCTTGTTCATATAGGTTTACAAACCTCTTGGTGTCACGTTCGTTCCTCTTTTTCGTAGTTAATGCCATTTTTTTTCATAAAATGATCCGAGTGAACTCGTAAAAATAGAACCGCACCCAAGTCCGCCAAGCCACTGTCATTCCATTGACACGCTATTAAGATGCCATTGAGACGCCATTGACATGGGTCAAAATATCGGTATTCCTCTAACAAAAATTCAGTGTCAATAGACTGTAGATATAGTAATATAGGTAATTAATGGTGATATCAACAACATTGCCATACCTGGAAAATTAAATACATCATTTTATTACTAATTTCAAATGTACCGTACATTTTAAATTTACCTAACTATTACAAAGACATCGATGACATTTGTATCAGTAGTGTGTAGTTATAAGTCATCGGGAGGCCATTGGTCTTACATAGTAGAATACGAAAGTTTTAAACTTTTAAACCTTCCTTCTCTCGCCAGCCACTAAGGAGTGCAGTCTCCGACTGTGACAGGGTCTAAAGCCCGATTATCAATATAAAAATTGATTAGGCAGAAAAAAAATTATATACGTAAAGTCTAAGAATCTAGAGAAAACTTGATTAGCGGAGTTGCAAGGCAGAAAGTGATCACTTATTGTTTATGTGAATACTTTTCTTTGGGCGTAATTAATATATGGATGTTCTTTATAACTTATAGTGCGCATACTGTACGTATACCATATAGAGCAGCCGTATCGTCAGAACTGTACCAAGAAGGCTGTACATAAAACGATCAAATTTCAAATTCAATTTTCAAATTTTCTTGTATAATGGTCTGGTACCAGTACAGTACTTATAATAGATAATAAATATAGGTATAAATAAAAATAAACTCTTCAGTTACTAATAATGTATTTCATAGGTATCTTATTTCCGAGCATTTCATGCTCACATAAGTATCTAACTTAACAAGATATGGTACTTATTTAAAAAATAAACACCATTAAGGCAAAATCAACTAGACTGTTTCTATGAAAATTTCGAGAAAATAAGGGTTTCAAGCGAAAATATAGGCTTAATGAACTATTATTATACAATTCCAAAACTTATAATAAAAGATATGCGCTTTAGCACGACATTGATAATAATGTAACATGACGCGACACGCGCATATTATATTCAAGTATACATCCACATTATTGCAAATATATTATATTAATAAATCTATAGACATCAGATTATAGTTCTCTATAATGCTCTGGTGTGGTCTTTTGGTGGGCTCGAGGGAAATAGGGCGACACATTCACTCGACTAAAGATACATATCGATATTTATGATTTTTTAATTATTCAAATAGTATTTGAGAAAGTAAACCCAAAATTTACCCGTGCGCAATTTCTTGGTTTTAATAATTAGTACTTATGAATAAACAGTGCAGAGGTGAAACTTGCGTCACAAGTATGGTTTCGTATAAGAATAACTTAGTTTGGAGGAATCGACACCAGCAGTATGTCTATATCTATATCAATTCTTTCACCTTGGTTAATTACAGTCAGTGTTATAAATTTAGGCTGAGGAATAGATTCTCTGTTCAATTACTATTTAAAATGGATATCTGCTTAATTCCATGTAATAACTAAGGCAATTGCATAATATTGTGGACCAAAAAGTATAGTACTCGAGAATCGTGTATAATAACCGCTCGTTGATAAGCGGACATAATACATAAAATACTATATAATAAAAAATAAATTGTACAAAAACGTAGTTGTAAATATGTCTTTTGAGAAATATAAGATTTAGGAACATCAGATAAAAAAGAAATTGACTAAACATAACTATAAAAATGTTAACACTTAATATGTACACTATCTATCTGTATTTACATTCAGAACATGATTATCATGTCAATTAATCTCATTTAAACACAGTAAAACATTTTTATTACTAATTGGCAACATTGACGTCATAAAAATCTTTAAATTATGTCTTAATTTAAATTATATACGTTTCTTAGAACATAGAGCCTCCATAACTCAAGTTAAGAGGCATCATATGGCAGAAGTCGGCGTAACTAAGTTCTGTTCATATTGTTATGACTTTATATAATAGATCGTTATAAACCGTTATATAAATATATATTTGGCCAATCTTTTCGATGAATATTAATTCATATTTTCAATATATTGAATTTTATTCACAAATAATTACGCACACAAAACAAGATTCTAGCTTAGAAATCAATAAACCGATGACGGGCCGAGAGTGCAGTAATCTTATGCTGGACAAAAGGACACGTAAAATATAATAAGTTTCTATAGTTATATGTTATAGTTACAAAATTTAGGAACGAAAGCACATGTACATTACAATAATGATTGATTTTAATATTAAGCGCCTATTCGTGCAGAGCTCACGCTATTTTGTTACTATTTTAGGATCTTTGCATGCCTACGGTCAAATGTCCATATACTTAGCTTTAAATGAAAATAATTTATTAATAAATAATATAATCTATAAACTATAGAAAATATTGTTGTATTAAAGATTTATGAAGATCACACCATACAACGCACCGTAAATCATATCTATGAGGTTAAAATGAGATCAAACTATATAGTGGCGGTCTAATCAAAGTACAATATGTATATTTTAATAAAAAAATAATAAGAAGAATTATCTTAGTGTAGTATATATAAAATGAAACGCAACAACACTTACCAGTAACTTCAATACGATGTACAATATAAATAAACAATATTATACTTATATAGAGTAGGTACGTGAGAAGTCATACCTCTTTGGCGTAAGTAATTAAAACTATTTTTCAAAATTTAATCTGCATTTTAGTCAAATTACTAATTAATAAGCAAATTATATTAAAGTTTTCTATTTGTTTATATTATTTAAACCACTAAATGTATTTAACGTTATTAATAATACGAATATTATTTTACAAATTGATAAATGTTATCTAACAAAATAATACTACAATTTGCATCAAAAGTATTGTTTTCGATGGATGTAAAATGAAGATTATTATAGTTTGAATGCTATTTAAGAGTCATGAAATACATTTTATTTAAAATGTGAACATAAAAATATGTTTAACTCTCGATAAACATTATCTATAAAAAAATATTATAAATTTAATCTTACATCTTAATATTTTAATCTTAAGTAGTATTTGTCTATAGTTATATTATAGTATTAATATTTATTTGACCTAATAACTGTTATATTTACAAAAAATATGTTATATCAGCATATGCTACTTCGTTACCAGCTGAAAAATACTATTATCTCTTGACTCAAGCGCCAAAGGAAGTACAACTCCTAAAATATCTACCATCAACTGCAACCAACATATCCTATATTTGTATTAGATCTTCGACAAAACGATTATTAGAGACCTTTTGCAAAGGGAAAAGGGACCAAGGCCAGCCGAACGAAGGAATCTATTTCCAAGCATTAAAATCTTTTGCGTTAAAAGAAACACGTTTTAAGTACAACTTCCTGTGGTAATTTATTCAGTCGTTCAGTAATCAGATTCCTTAGATTATATTGTAATGCACGTAAAGCTTCAGTAGGATAACTATTAGATACTCTGATTGCCGAAATTAATATAAATTTATATAATTTAAAATTTCAATTTCATTTTTACAAAAAATATAATATATGTATTTGTAAATCGTGACGAAATATAACTAGTTCCTCATATACGACATTAACAATAATTTAACTATTACTTTATAATAAAACTAAATACTTTATTTATTGCACAGATTGCACAGGTTAAATTTATTTTAAGAAACAAACATTTGTGTGACACATCTACAAATAGTTGCACTGAGTCCGCATGCTCTTGTGTCCGTTCTGTGAATGTTGGTGATGTCCCCCGCGACACAGCAATTACTACTAGTGAAGGAGTTGTCTTTAAAATATATTTATGAATATACACCACTACTTAACGGTTAAACAAACAGAACCAAAACTAGTGACATTTCAATAAAAAGATGGCTAAGTTGATACTTTGCTAACTAACTAACCCTGTTACGATAACAATTCTAACCCTACTTGACTACTTATACCTAATATTTGCTACTAGAAACAGTAGATTCTTTTGTTTTTCGAAAACACATAAACACACTGTGATGATGTAAAATACTTGCCTCAATGTTTAAAACAACGTGACGTGTCAAATACGTGTCATAAGATGGCAGATCAGAATTATTTTTAATACATTCCATGACTACATCGCGTCCGTACGAAATATATATTTCATCATAATAATATGAATTATCTTTGCAAGACTTCGTCGTTAATGATTATTATTCAACTAAATTATCTAAGACTAAATCGAGTTCAAAATAGCCTGGTCATCAAAGTAGGATCTGGCCATCTATAAATTATGGTAAAGCTTAAAAACTGCTTTCACAATTGTTAAGATCTCATAAATTGTATGAGCTTTTAATACACGTGTGTCAACGGGTTGTGTATTTAAAAAGGAACTAAATCAAACTGATTCTTAGTCGATAAAGAGAGTGAACTGAAAGAGTCATACAGCTCATAAAACTAAATGGCCATCAAGACTAGCAGTAAACGATTATACACTAAGAAAAAATCTATTTGATCTTAATTTTATGTAATTTTAATTTGAAACCTAGCATTTCGGATAACACTCCTGACAACGCAGAAAGTATAACTACTTTAGTGATTGTGTAGAGATAGTGATTGGCACATATACCAGAGATCTTGAAAGGCGAATCCAGTTCCTGTAAAAAAAAGTAATACAATGATTTAACAATATGAAAACTAAAAATTCAGCACAATAAAATAAGTTAATTTCCTGGAGTCAGTACCAAACGACTGGCTTGAACTGCGTCATTCAAACATTCTTTTGAATTTCATCTGACCCCCCATAAGTTAAATCCGTGTAATTCGATTGGAACATTGGGGAAAGCCCCGTTATCAAGCCCCGATTATTATTATATAATTTATGTCATTATATTGATAATGTGGGAAAATTACACAAAAATTAAATTCAGAAGATTCTGCAATACTTGCAATCTATAAAGAGTTAATAGTAGATTCGCGTTAGGACACACATCGAACAAGCCCCGTACTCTGACCAATCAGATTCCAAGCTTTTATACGAAACGATAATGTCTTGGAACCTGATTGGTCAGAGGACCTGATCGATGCGTCACGATTTCCTTAACGCGACGTGACTATAATATTCTAAGATAAGCCGTGAATTAAAACAAATTGGCAGAACTATAATATACCTTAAGTAAGTCAGCTGCGAGTTTCAGTACATTGTTGGCAACAGTTAGCTGTTCCTTGCTCTCCGGCCTCTGCTCAATGGCAAGGTGAAGATTAATCTGTTCCGTCAATATGGCCGATAGACAGCAGCGGTATTTCTTATTAACATTACTACCTAGTGTCAACAAACGCAGTAGGTATATACCGAGGCAACTGCTCCAAACCATCGCTTCTAGTAGCCAGCCGCATTCCAACGTCACCGTGTCCTACGCAAAATTATTACATATTAAATTTTCTGATGTGTATTTTATTCCTTACAATTTACACATTTCTATCAATGCATTATTTTGTTATAGATTAACAGAATAATTCATTGATAGGGTATATACTCTTTCTTAAAAATGGAAAAATTCTTTCCATACCGTGGCCGCGATCTAGGTACAAAATTTTGTCATAAACTTCCTCTCATGCGATAAGTCATAAAATGTTTCAGAGTTATAAAATTATTTAAAAAAAATTGCTGGAAGTATGCCGAGGGAAAGATTATTTATTTATTTTATTATTAATTGATAGATTGGTAAATCCTTTAGAGCTGACAATCAAGTTATATCATCATCAACAGCTTTTAATAGTCCATTGCCGGACAAAGGACATACTCCTTAGAAAGGAGGTTTTGGCCTACTATCCCAGTGTTTGTTTCAAGTTTTTCTTCTCTTTGCAGTGCTGTTTAAAGCGTAGTTTATTTCCTTAATCGACTTTTACGACACCCCGGGATGAATAGGGGGGATGACACTCCGTATTCTTAATCCGTCACCACACGGACAAGTCACAGTCAGTTGTTATTTATGATAGCAAATCTCAAAGTAGTTTTTTTTTATGGTTGCCAAACCAGATTAATCCAGTATCATAGACAATTCACTTTTTTTTATAAATTCTCAATCGATAGGAAATGACGATATTTTATTCACAAGGCTTCATGGTACAATTCCCTGAATAAGACGTTCGTTAACGTCCAAAAGGGCCTTGATCATGAAAATCTGTCGATGTATGTATAACAAAACCTTGTAAATGGCTACCGCACGCCAATCTTGATTTAATAGTCATTATAAGCAGGTTTACAAATACAACACACTAATTGTTTCATCCAGATTGTATGTTATAAGAATAATTTTAATTAAAAAGTTGCTGTAATGTATCCGTGTGGTGACGGATTAAGAATACGGATTGTCACCACCCCTCTTCATCCCGTGGGTGTCGTAAGAGCCGACTAAGGGAACAAACTGCACAGGACAACAGCACTGCAAAAAGAAGGAAAACTTGAAAGGAACCCTATACCAACCCGTCTGGCCAGCGTGGTATAGTAGGCCAAAACCTCCTTTCTAGGGAGAGGCCTATGTCCAGCAGTGGACTATTATAGGCTGTTGATGATGATGATGATGATGATGATAATGTATTTTGTTATCTACGTTGGACTATTAATTAACTTAGTCGCTTTGCACATTATGAATGTTTGTTACCTTTAACAGCTGTGCGCTGACACAAGCGAGGAGCATTAGCGTTAACACAAATGCCGCTGATACAATCACGTCAACAGATCTCTGTGGACCACGCCGCTGGAAAAGAATACATCATCAAACTTGAACTGATCGAGATCGACTATTAGTACGTAAGGTGGATCAGCTCACAAAGAGTAGCTTAGTAGTTCTGAAAGAATCTCTGGTGACATCGTCATACAAACAACTATTTTAGCGTCCAAAACAAGTCATACTAATTATTATTATTATATTATAATAACAAATATAAATATATGCCATATAATATATAATATAATAATGCTTATTAATTGACTGACGAAACTTACCCGCAAATAAGAGCGTGTCGACAGCCATGTCTTGATATTTCTCACAGTGTTGAGTCTAAAATGTGGTAGTTCTGATTTGCGTGCTCGACGAGCAGATGTTAGATGCGAAAATAACTTCGCATATAAAAAGCGCTGTTTGAAAGCTCGTTCAGCTACGGTCAATAGAAAAAACACTAGTGCGCTGAGTGCAAAGCGGAGACAACAAGATAGAAGGTTCGTTGATATTACCCTGGAACAAGTACATGGAATTACTAACTAATCGACTAAAATAAACATTAGATAAAAAAATCCACTAAAAGTTTCATCTGCGTTTATAGTCACTCCCCTACCATTTAGTATTAGGAAGGAGCAAGTTAAAAGAAACAAACGCAAAAAACTTGACAGATTTACTTTATTAGTCGTTTGTTTAAATTGTATCAGTATAATTATTTATAATATTTCGATAATATGATACCGTTATAAATTACGTAAATTATTTTGAAAAAAGAAACTATAACGTATCGTTATTGTCGATATATATACACGCCTGACCAGAGCTTAAGAAAAGTACTACTCACCAAATATTATCACCGTAAGCGCCGTGAAAAAGGGAAAACGCAGACCCCTGGCTGTAATTAGCCACCAGTGAAGGGATGTATGTGAATAAAGAAAGTGTTTGTAGCTCTTCTTCAGTTCTGTTGTCCTGCTCTATAGCCATCTGAAAACAAAATCAGAATATTTGTACTTTTTGGAGCGTTAAACAGTTCGGAGGTCAATTAAATATAAAAACATAAATGGATGAGGATGGGTGGACTTTATACCATGCGATTTTAATGACACAAAGGAGGTAATCGATATTCGTATCGTATCGTATCGAAAACTTTATATAATCTTTACAATTTTAATTCATTATCAAAATTAAAGGAGAAGGTAAATTTACTTCCATTAAATAAATTAAATATTAAATGAAACGATGCAATATGTAATAGGTCTTTACCTATGAAATTCCCGTTTGTTATGCAATAAATGAAAGTACTTTTTTATTTCTGTTATTCGAAGTAATCACCCATGCAATCGACGCATCTTTGCCAATGCATTGGCAGCTTATTAATGCCCTTCTTGTAAAAATCAGCTGGACGGGAGGCAACAAACTCTTCAAATCGGGAATTGAATTTTTTACCCACTAAAAAGTTGTCTAAATTTTGGAAAAAGTAATAGTCGGTAGATGCAAGGTCTGGTGAGTACCAAGCCAAGGTAAAGACCTATTATTATATTATAATTATTTAGCAAAATGAATTGATGAAATTGGTACACATCAGATATTTTTGGTCCATCGAGACACATATCGTCGCTGTAGAATAATACCTCGTATGTCAAAAAAAGCCATAGACGGCATTAGTAGCCATTAATTGGATTTTTGGCTTTGCTGTGCTATGAGGTTTTTATTAGATTTTTATAAAATAAAAATATATATTAATTTTTTGACATACGAGGTATTCATTCTACAGCGACGATATGAATATGGATAATATTAAGGCAAATTATAATATGTACCTTGCTGTGAGGAATTGCCATGTCCTGACGTGGTCCAGACATTAATTGGAAACAATAATAAATACTAAGTATTATTTTGCTTTTTATACACAAAAATCTTATTACATAAATATACAAAGACAAACACACACATTGTGTGTGTGTATGCGGCGTGTGTGTACGACGCACAACGCACGCCTAGGCTGAGAAAATGAATCTATTCGAGTCATTCGGCGCATGCTAGGACCAATCCAGCCCATATACTAGAATCATAATAACCGCTGCTACTTTAATAATAATCCTTTCAATTCTTGAAAAACAAATTAAAGAAAAAGAAGCTTCGTTTCACTGACTCTCCTCACGTGTTGAATATGCCTCGTCACATTGCGAGTATTCGTTGGATCGACCCGAGCATGCGTCAGTCGACCGGAGCATGCGCTGGTTTTATTTTCACTCCATGCAAATTCAATTCAAGGCGTGTGCGGCGCATGCATCGCAATGTTTATATCCGCCAAGATAACTCGAGGATATGAAGCTCAAGAAAAGTTTTACTTTGCTTAAACTATATGATATGTTTCAACTTCCAATGTAAGTAATTTTCACCGTGGGAGAGCCATGCTTCGCCCCAAATGGGTCTTTCCGACCGGAGTGATACCACGGCCTCACATAAACCTGGTGTTAAGCAATTTTGTAGTTGTTTTTCACCGAGTGAGAGAGGTTACCAGATCCCAACTATCCTCCTGATTCGTTCGTATGTATTTTGTGACTCTTGACTTGCAGGTGTTCATATGCCGTCGGTAGTCACTTACCATCTGACGACCCGCCTGCTCGTTTGCCCCCTATTCCATAAAAATACTACGAATTTGAAAAAAAAAACAAAAGTGTTAAAACTCCATCGATGTAACAGAGACTTCACTGTGTACCTTTTGTGATTATGAAAAAATCTTATAAAATATCTATTCTTGGATTTTCTTACTTTTAAATACATCCAAAATATTAATAATCCATATTGATATGAGCATAATAAGTTTTCGACATTGATATCGCTTTAAAGTCAATTATGGACATAAAAAATCAACACAAGTCATAAAACTCGCACACACAAGCTTTTCAGTTTCGGTGATGCTGTAAAGAGAGGCTATTCGTCTATGTCTATGGCGTTCAGTAAGTAAGGTACCTGCACGAGGCGTACGATGGGTGCGGCGAGTGCCACGGCGGCCGCCATGGCGAGCCCGGCCCACAGCCCGCCGTCGGCCGCCATGGCCCGCTCGGCGCGCGCCACCACGTACCAGCTGATGTCCACGGCCGACAGCTCCGCACGCAGCGTCGACCCGCACTCCCACATCGTACATTTCACTGTTAATTATATAATATATCATTACCGACTTCCATATGGCGATTATTAAAGAATATCTATAACAGTTTTGTAGAAAGCAAATTTATAAATTGATCCGTTTATAAAGATTTCAAAAAGATCAAAAGAGCGTTTTATGCGAAAAAGATAATAAGGCTTACTCGATTGCTGATATAACAACATAGTAGTTACTTTTATCTAAAGAATTTGATAGTTCACTGCAAGAAACTCAAAGTTGTTGCTACTAGTTGTATTGATGAATACACTAATAAAATATTTTCTAACAATATAAAACTACAAATAGAACGCCACCAAACTTAGACTGAATTGGTAGTATTAAGTAGTGATATGTTAAATACCAAACCATGACACTTTGCAAACACATCCAAATAACTTACTTCATGCCTAAAGCTATTTGTGGGATATACCTGTATCACTACTAGGATCCAGTATGGCGAATGGATCCCAGGAACTATCAGCTGTATACGGGAAGCCAACGTCAGAGTGCCCGCCTTCCGACTGAGAGCCATAACTGCTTGCTTCACCTAACGAAACGTATCGTATGATTGAAGGCGAAAAAAGTTGTTTTAATTGGTTAGTAATTAGTTTACTTTACCAATTTTTTTTTAGTTTAAAAGTTAATAACTGTTGAATAACTGATTTACATCCTTGGAAATTTTATTGATCCCATTATCAAAATAAAGCAATTAAAGAAAATAATAGACTACGTTTCTACTATAGTCCATTTGCGTTAAGAAAATAGTGACACATCTATTCAAGCCCCACATCCTGACGCAGGGAGCGGAGATTGATCAATGCTTCACTACTTCTTGGAATGGACTATAATAACTCTTTATTTTAGATTAAGGCACGCGATTATTGTGAATCGATTATTGAATTATAGTGAATTTTATATTATTTTTGTATTAAAAAAGTTAAGTGTGGGACTAAGTCTAACGTATGATTGTAACAAATCAAACAACAACAGAACGTAAATTAAACGAAAAATCAACGTATCTAATTATATAAACAATTTAAGTAAATTCAAAGTTATGTCGATAAAAACGCATCCATACCAGGCATAATGTTACCATCGACTGTAACTCTCTTAAATATTATACAATGAGTTATTACCTCTGGGTGTATGTCAGGGCAGTCGGCGGTCGACATTACGCATGGTGTGAAAGAGTCCTAAATGTGGAGCGTTCCTAAGAAACACATGTTCACAATTAGTGTAAATAGTTCACAATTAATCAATTAATGCTTACTGTTAGTAGTTTGCCCAACCCAATCAGACATGGTATGGTGGGATGGAAGAGCGATGGATGGGGCCGACGCCGAGCATTCCCCGTCGGATGACGATGTCTGGTAATTGCCTAATTTCTATGGAAATGTTTGCATTATTTAAAACAATCTGGCGCCAGACGGATTATATCAAGAATTTAGGTCTAATTCGCGGTTTAGTGCCAATACTTGTAATAATATTATTTAATCTTTTGAAATTGGCTACTTCAAAGTTTCATATATTATTATATTTTAGTTATTTTAGATAGAAATGTATTTTTTATCACCATATAATGAACACTTTCTCATTTAAAGTGCATTAAAAATTATTATGTCTTTATGTTAATATGTATATATATATATAATAATAATATATTAATTATTTGTGCGGATTGATTGGCGCACTCTGTTACTAAGTGGCAGAAGGGCTTTCTATTTGTTTTTTGTGCAATGACAACAGGATACTTTATTGTCTCTTTTTTAAAAGTGGTTGACAAAGTGTTTCACTAGGCAACTCGTATAGTATATTCATTCACTTGCTGTAAACTCGGTCATAAATAATGTCTCTGTCTTCAATACTGAAGCCATCTGCTCTGATTTTCATTGCCCTAACACAAAATAGTCAGTTAAAAGTATCTATATAGTCATAAATCTATGACCGAGTCAACAGCAAAAAAATAATTTTACTATAGTCATAAATGTTATATTTTTAGTCACAAATATAGCACATTAGAAATAACACAGCATGCGATTTGTCATGTTACTATAGTCATGCCGAGACTCCGTTTGATCGGTAACTACCTGGCTTCTCGTGCTGAAATTTACTTCCTTCTATAACCTAGTGTTAAAAGATAGGACAAGTTAATACAGTGTTCATTTTTAAATTACAGCGTTTAAAATAAATAAATAGGACAGCATGCAAATAAAAAAGCGTGTCGCAAAACGATCAATTGCAATGCAATTACGGATGTAAAACTAACGGGTCTTTAAAAGTAAAATGGTAAATAATAATTGGTCTTAAATCTTTCGACGGCAATATCATTAAAATCGTATGCATCTCTTCTTTTGGTATATTTGTATAGTTGTTTTTACTTGTCCATCTATCTGAACACACAAAATTCACACAATAAGTGTTTATTTTGCCTTAACTATCAATTCCAAACAAAAAGTATTAAGAACCATTTTTTTTATCTGTTATTACAAAGTAACTTTTGCAGTTAATTTAATTTTCATACAATTACTTACTTTATTAAAAATAGACAGGTATCGAGTAGGTTTAGGTACAGTGAGTCCCAGACACAGCATCTACGTCCAACATTTTTTTAATTTATTTGTGGTCAGTTGACTTTCAACCTCCTATTTTTATAGACTAAAATATACCATTGCAATTGATAGTTTCGCTTACATAATAATAACTAATTTACCTTTTCCTTCTTTTTACTAGCGAAATCATCATCACTCGATTCTCGAATGCCGTCTTGAGCCCAGGATCCTCGAAATCGTACACCAATTCTTTTACTTGTATTTGGACTGCTCGTGGGAATAGCACCATCGGAATCTCCATCCTCCGACTTCTCATCCCCTTTCTTCAGTATATTTGCATTGATGTAAACATCGGGCTCATTTTCTACACTAACATTTAATTCTTCAGCTATTTGCGGACAAATATTTTTTTCAGTTGTATTACTCTCATTCGGACTGGTTGGCTTAACGGTCGCAACATTTTCCGTTTCATGTTTTACTCTATCACCTTCACTGCCGTTAGAATTATAGCCGTTAAGGCTTTCGAAACCGTCATCGCCATCCGCAAACACTCTAACAATGTTGTTTTGCCTTACGTTAAACGACTCTAGTTGCTTTTTTGTTAATATATTAGCTTTAAACGGGAAAGATGAACTTGGTGTAGCGTCATTTGGCGGCGGGGTAAAAGTTACTATAGGAGTGGGTAAATCCGGTTTTTTCCAAATCATATAATCTTCGTCATCCGAATCTTTTGCTTTTATGTTTATCATTGGCTTTGGTTTGGTAGGTGTTTCAATTTTTTTTATTAATATCTCTTTAGGCAATTCTCTTTTCCGTTTTCTGGAATTTAAAAATGACAATAAATAACTACTGTCTCGTTGTTATTACTTTTCTAGATGCTTATTCAGAAAGGTAACAACAACGACACAGTAACACAGTACTGGGGCACAGTATAATGGTCAATGGCTATTGAGATCGCAAAAGCAAACAAAACCGTGTCGAGTTTAGGGTCTTTCGTAATTCTTAGAAACAAAATACACGTGCATGCAGTATAATCAAAGTCCGCCTTCAGTCAGTTTGTTACTTATCTGTATTCAAGACGCACCAAAACATATTGACAAGTTATTTGTGAAACTTTTAACGTGTCGTAAAAAAAAATTCAGAATATAAAGAAAAGTATCAAAGCTAGAGAGCGGAATTCCAAACAAAGACTTGGCAAAAGAATTATTAAATTAAAAAAAATAATATATATTTAAGGGGGCTCGCATACAGCAAACGTGATTTTTTTGCCGTTTTAATAGAAAATGGTACGGAACCCTTCGTGCCCGAGTCCGACTGGCACCAGTTTTCTTATCTATTCGACTGTTTCTTTTTATTATCCAGCTACCAAGAATAATAAAATATCTGTAGCAAAGTAGCAGTCAATTAAGTAAGTAGGTAAGTAGTTGCAAATTAAGTTTTAAATCCTTATAAGTGTATTTACAATAGTACCTGAGGACAGTTTCAGCCACTTCAGGCCTTGACTGTCTTCGTCTGAATTTGGCAGGTTTGGTAGAGGGCGTCTTGCTTTGGCTGGAGGTTGCACCGCTTTCACCGGAGCCACCGGCGCTACCGCCATCGCATTCGGATCTCGACCGCCTAAAAATATGTATGCTTGTTGTATGTTATGTATACACGGCTTAGTATGTGTTTGCATTCGGTAGCTAGGGCTGGACAGTATGTGAATGACTTGTTATAGTACATAAATTAAGTCTAAAAAAATTGTATTTTGTAACTATAGCCCATTCGCGTTAACAACTGCATAGTACTGCATCGATCGTGTCCCGACCCCTGACCAATCAGGTTCCAAGAAATTATCGTTTTGTACTAAAGCTTGACCGAAAGAATGGACTATATAGTTTCCTTGAGCTTTTATTAATTCAGTTCTACACTTTATCTATTTCTCAACAACAGGTTGTTCTTCTGATTCCACCTGTCCACGAAACGTTGTTTCTTCAGCTGTGCACATTTGACGAGTCAGTCCTAACCTTACAAGCAATAGCACACTTAAGGGATTTTGCCTTTGTATGTCTTTTACCGCTTGTAAAAAATTTCTCCATTTAAAATTTAAGTTTTATGAAAATAGATATTACTTTTATCATTTAATAGTCTTTTTATGTATTTGTTGGTGTGTATTTTAAATAAAAACAGTTGAAATACTGTATTTTAATGTGTATGTATACTTATTTTTAATAAACGAAATGCAAGAAAGTATTTAGTGATTTTTTCTATAAATAAAACAAAGCATATAATTTGCATATTTCGTCCCAGTTATGCAAAGCATCTGTCAAAAGCTTGAGAAAAGTAATCATCATCAACAACTTTTACTAGTCCACTTCTGGACATGGCCTCTCCTTGGAACGGAGGTTTTGGCCTACTATACCACGCTGGCCAGACGGGCTGGTAAAGTGATGACACAGTTCTTTACATTATTATACTATAGTAACACAGTTACTTTACAGTTAACATCTATGTCAAGTGCATTTTATATCTTTCTTTCGAACCACAAACACAGTATTTTGATGAGGAAGACAAAAAATGTTTAAGAGCTGTAACTAAGTTATTTGGTGTATTTGGTTCGATATGCTTAGATAAATTGAAATTACCTGAAATATCGAGGTAGTTTCCTACGAAAAGTGGCGCGTGGTCGTACTCTAGCTAGTTCCATTTCAGTTGTACTAACTATTTGGGAGTGCACAACGCTCAGGACTATCATGAGACCTAGAGGAACAACCCAACAGTTTGGCTGGAAATTACATAAAACATTGTTAATTATAATACACAGTATACGAATAGAGAAATCGCGGGATTTGTACATACGCCTATTTGGTAAAAATATAATGCAGTTTTCCTTTATGCCTGATGCATAAAGTAAAACTTACCAGAAATATAAAAATGCCGCAGTTATTATACAAGTATTTTGTCCCTGCGGCAAAATAGTCTGCAAGCTCATTCAGGCGAGGATGTATATCACCATCAGTGTGACGCGCTTTGATTATTCCATTATTAATTATGTAAACCATTATAACAAACCTTCAATAAAATATCCCATAGACACACGTTCTCTAACAAAAATTGCCAAATAGTGACACCGAATGGTACATCCCATACTACATTATTTACCTGCATGCATTTAATTAGCCATCCTAATAATAATTAACATATTGTTACGAGCGGGGTATACGATGGATAAAAGTTGTCGGTTAATTACTTTTATTGCAGTGTATTTACAAACACTCACTATTACCAACAAGAAATCAATATATAACTCGTTAGTCGCTGTAGAAATTCGATTCGATGTTAATTCGTTGTGTCGTAAAACAATACTGATTCCGACAGAGGCACTGGAATGGTTCTCCAACTATCTTCAAGGGCGATAGCAGTGTGTTTGTGTTGAAGATTTTTCTTCCAGTTGGTGCGACCGCCACTCTGGCGTCCCATAAGGCGGTATATTATCTCCTCTTTTATTCTCAATATTCATAAATCTCATCACCCAACATCTTCAGTTTGACCGGATGGCATAGTGGTTTGTGTAACGGACTGCTATTCCAAAGGTCGCGGGTTCGATTCCCGCTCAAGTCAACATTTGTGTGCATGAACATTTAATGTTTGATTTGGTCTGGGTGAAACACCACCAAATTTTTTTTTTTGTAAATACATCCATATTTTACAAAAATATGCATAATATGTTTGTATTTACAAAAAAAAAGTATATATGTATTTATATCAGGTGTCTAGTACCCAGAGTGCAAGCTCTGCTTAGTTTGGGACTAGATGGCGTTGTGTGAATATAGTAAAAAAAATACAATATATAAATATGTATGCTGTTAATTTGCAGCTTCATTCACAGGCAAGGGTGGAGGAAGTAGCGCGGGCCGTTGACGAAGTTAATAAGGACCTGGAATCCATATGTTCCTGGTCGATGACATTTGGTTGTAAACCCAGGCGATCATTATAGGCAGCAAACATATTATGATAAGCAAATTGAATACTGCTTCAATCTCACCGATCGTATTCAACGGCGCAGGTCTACTCGTTGACTCTACTCTTAAGTGGCGAGCTCAGGTTACTCATGTGAGTCAGAGAGCAACTGGAAACCTGCGAACGCTATATCGCCTAAATAATTTCCTGCCTCCCAAAACTAAAACTACTCTCATGCAATCCTTAATCATTTCTTATTTCGAACTGAATGCAGACCTCCTTACTTAACTGCATTCAGTACATTTTCAACCTTCGCAGGTATGACCACGTCTCTGCTTTACGTTCCCAACTGAATTGGTTGCCCATTTGCCTGCGCTGCAATCAGCGAGCTCTGACCTCTTTATTTTCATTCCTCATCTCTCACTGGTCACCTACTTACTTTGCACCGCACTTCCGTTTCTTGTCGTCTAATCACGACAGAAATATTTGCTTTGCAAATAATTTGCTTCTCTTATGTCTCTCCCACAATTCCAACTTCGTGAACTCAAGCAGTTCTACTCTGGAATGCACTTCCGCCTGAAGTCAGGATGTCCACTAACCGTTCCGTATTTAAAATACAGGTATACGACCTTAGTATCCTCCTATAGTACACCAACCAATTTACTTACATTCACAGTGTATGAATATAATGTAGATACGAGGGTCGTTTTTAAGTTCGCGGAATGAGAGGGTTGGAGGGGGGTGATTAGGCTCATTAGAATTGTCACGTGTTCAGTGACTTATAATTAGTATAAATACCAGGTTTCATTGTTATTAGACAATTAGTCTGAGTTATCGTCAACCAAGCAACATAATCGGGAGTGAAAAGTGAAACATGGAAAAAATCGAATATCGTGCCCTTATAAAGTTCCTTACCAAGCAAGGAAAATCAGTTGCGACCATAATGAATGAGATGTCATTGCTTTACGGCGACTCTTGTCCAGGAAAAACCATGGTGTACAAATGGCACAGTTTATTTAAACAAGGAAGCGAATCCCTTGAAGACAACCGGAGGCCGGGCAGGAGCATCGAGGTGATCACGCCAGAACTTATCCAAAAAGTGGAAAAAATGTACTCGACGATGCCCGACTAAAGAAGAAACAACTCGCAGAAATGGTTGGAGTATCTGATACGACCATTTTTAGAATTCTGCACGATCATTTTGGCATGACAAAGGTCAGTGCAAGATGGGTGCCGAGAATGCTCACGCCGTCGCAAAAACAACAGCGCGTAGAGTGTTCACGTGCATTTTTAGACCTTTGTAATGAAGACAAGGATGCTGTATTGAGTAGAATTGTTACTGGAGACGAAACTTGGGTTCATCATTATGAACCTGAGTCGAAACAAGACTCCATGCAGTGGCATAAAAAGGGCACAGCACCTCCCAAGAAGTTTAATGTGTCACAGTCAGCTGGGAAACTCATGGCAACGGTCTTTTGGGACTCAGAAGGAATAGTATTGATCGATTATAAAGATAAAGGTGTTTCTATAACCGGAGAATACTACGCTTCAATATTAGAGCGACTCAAAGAAGCCATTAAAGAGAAAAGACTTGGAAAATTGACAAAAGGTGTGTTGCTTTTGCACGACAACGCGCCCGTCCACAAGAGCCGCGTTGCGTTGGCTGCCCTGCATAAGGTGGGCTTCGATATTTTGAATCACTCACCCTACAGCTCAGATCTGGCCCCCAGCGATTATTACCTGTTTCCAAAAATGAAAAAAGACCTGCTGGGTAAAAAAATTACCAACGATGATGAAGGCAGGAGGCAGTTTCGGCGTATTTTGAAGACCAAGAAAAAACATTTTTTTATGAGGGTATAAACAAATTAATTGAAAGATCTGAAAAATGTATCCGTCTTGCAGGTGAATATATTGAAAAGGAAAAATAATTTGGTTTTATTATTTCCACCCCTTATCCCCCATTCCGCGAACATAAAAACGCTCCCTCGTATGATTGTTTTTGTATATGTAAATATATATAGGTGTATAATATTTATCTAATATATAAAATTCTCGTGTCACGGTGTGCGTGGTTGAACTCCTCTGAAACGGCTCGACCGGTTTTTGTGAAATTTTGTGTGCATATCCAATACACTATAACAATATGTTACAATAGCGTGATACACAAACTTCAATGTAAAGCATCTATTGTTTCTTAATTATCACATTGGACATTAATAGGCTGATCTTGCGTAATACACCCGTCGAGACTAGCAAATTTATGTAGTCGTCTTGTGAGTATTTTAGCATCTACTTGAGAATTTGGATCTAATTTATAACAATAGGGAAAAATAACAATTTCTACGGCCCCCTCTGTGGTAGACGAGGTAAGTGGTTATTACCACCTGATGTGTTTGAGCCATCTCAAATGTTTTCGATTATGATGTATTAGTTTGTGGACAAAATATACGTAAAACAGCAATGAAGTTAGTTAAAATTTCAATTTTTTATACTTCATGTATTTATAATTGTGTTTTAACTCCATCTTATTAATAAACTCTTTGGTTGTATGGGTCTACCAATAAGAACGTCCTGGTTTAAAAATTGAATAAAACACACATTTTTTTATGATAAATGCATCCGATTGATTTTATGCAATTTATGTTTTAAATAATATATCGGCCAAATGACCGCCGCGGCTCTTTTTGCAGACGGTCACCCGCTCGCGCCAATTTTCGATGACGCGGTGCACCATTTCGGCCGCTATGTCGGCTATGGCTCGTCGAATGTTGGTTTTTAGGTCACGAATTGTCGCTGGATTATCGCTGTACACTTTAGATTTAACGTAACCCCAAAGAAAATAGTCTAAAGGTGTTAAATCACACGATCTTGGTGGCCAACTGATCGGTCCATTTCTCGTAATTAACCACTCACCAAACTTTCCACGCAATAATTCCATGTTCACTCGAGTAATGTGAGGTGGTGCACCGTCTTGTTGAAAATAAAGGTCGTCTGCATCAATATCATCAAATTTCGAAAGAAGAAAGAAAGAAATATTCGGTTAACATCGAGTTATAGCGCTCGCCATTCACAGTAACAGGGTTTCCTTCGTCACTTTCAAAGAAGTACGGACCAATGATTCCACCGTACCATAAACCGCACCAAACTGTTATTTTTTGCGGATGCAATGGTGATTTATGAACCACACGTGGATTTGACTCACTCCAATAGCGACAATTTTGTTTATTAACAAATCCATTGAGCCAGAAATGGGCCTCATCTGAGAAGATGATTTTACGATGAAAATCGTCATCGGCTTCCATCATTTTCAGTGCATAATCGGCAAATTCACGACAGATACAATGGTCGGATGGCTTCAATTCTTGTGCCAAAACAATTTTGTATGGGTGTAGGCCCAAATCCAACCGCAAAATACGTCAGGTGGTCATTGGAGAGAGCCCCAACTCTTGTGGACAGCGTTGAACTGATCGATTTGAATTCGCATCAACACTGGCCTAAACGGCTGCGATATTCTCTTCACTACGGGCATTTCTTTGTCTCACAGGCACAGCAGTATCGTGGAGAGTGAATTCACTTTCAAATTTTGTTATTATGCGATTTATAGCGCGCACAAAAGGAGCACTATGACAACCGTTTTTTGCGCGAAGCGCTCTTACTGTAGCGGTACGAGAACGCGAATTTGCGTAATAATTTTGGACAATTTCCCAGCGTTGGTTTAAAGTGGAACGTGACATGATAAAATGGGAAACCTTACTGAACACAAATGTCAAGAGACGTCAAAGATCCATCATCAAACATGGCCGCTATGAGCTGTCAAAACCAGGTCATCCCTATTGGTAGACCAGACCCAGTATAATCATCTGATTTGTTATAGTTTATATGAGGAAGGCAATTTTTTTTTATTAAACGTCAACTTCATAAAACAAATGTCGTTGGGAAATAAATAGTTAAGGCACTAAATATAATAACTAATATTATAACAAGACACATAATATTCATTTATACTATTTGGGAGTAATCTATTGAAATTTTGTATAAATACTCTGCACTTTTCCCAGTTTGTCAAACAATGTCTGTTAGTTGAGTTTGTTTGCCCAATTTCTTCTCACTATTCACAAATGGGCGGTTGTAGATCGGATAGGAAGCTTAACTAATTGCAACTCATATTATTCGTTTTTATTTTATTGTTATAATAATTTTACTTTCGACACTGCAATCTATTGTTATGATGGCATTGTGTTGACCTATAATTTTATGTTTAATAAGATATGATTTATAAATAAAAATATCAAATAAAATTTCTAATCCATTTCCTGGTTCCATGTTGTCATATAGACCTCGTTCTAAAGCAAGTTTAGTTTCATTGTTTGTCTACTTCTAAAGAATAATTTCATGTTTTTTTACATTTTAAACATGCATGCAACTGATTTAGTAGTTTAATTACCTAGTGCTCTTTTTAAAAGCGACAACCAAATTATAGTATATATAACAGAATATGAACCGAACCGATATTGGCGAATTACGTTGTAAATCATAAATCAAAATAGTATATAAAATTCACTTAGTTCTGGCATATTAATTTTGTCAATATGTGAACGCTAAAAAAAACTTGCTTGCTCTGCTAGCAATTTTGTACTACTCGTATACAAGTAGACTATAAATATTACATGCTACAACCATATTCGTAAAACAATCTGGTTATTTTTAACCACAAGCTATTGTCATACTGCACAATGGAAGGCCTACACTAGTAATAAGATGTGTAAGTATCTACGTTTTGTAATTAAAATTTGAGCCGTAACTCGTAAATACATAACGAACTACTTAGTGTATACTTACATCTATGTCCACCGTGTTTGGAGTCATGAAGTATATGGAGATATTAAGGACCTGCATCACCCATAATGTTAGAAGAAATTTGGCACACGCCGACGATGTTTGTTGTGCCCACCATTGGTGTAGCGCGGGTAGGAACAAAAGTCGGACTAGAGCATACCATACCACGCGCCTCATACCAAGAGTAGGCTTTGCTTTTGGGAACGACGAACCTGGTGATAATAAGCGGTAATAAATATCTAGACCTGAAATAATTTAGTAGACAAACCTAGAGCAGTTTATTATGTGTGTCTCCATCAGCCCACATACATATTACATTCGATAATGTTGGAGAAGGTTGTTGGTAAGAAAGTAAAGGGCATTGGAGTTACAGATTACTAGGTTTTGCTCCGCACGCGTGTATGTTGGTTATCGCGGTAAAAAGTGGCTTATGTCTGCTCAAGAATCAAACTATCTCCATGACAAATTTAATTAAAATCGGTTTAGCGGTTTAGCCGTGAAAGGGTAACAGTCAGACAGTTACTTTCGCATTTATAATATTCGTAGATTATATTATTAACTCAACTTACTTTTAAAAGAACCTATGAATGGATTAAGAGATAGAGGAAGATTTTATTATGGAATATTATGTTATTTTAAAAAATTAACATCTGTAGGATAGTTTTCTTTTAAGATCATTCTGTAATAATATATAACATTGAGGTACTAATCATTTAAACAAAATCACTTAAATAAAAATAGAAATACACTAATTTTAACGATTGTTGCAGCACTTTCCGGTTATATTATTAATTAATTAAAATTCAAACAAACACAACCTGTTTTTTTACGAGGTACGATTATTCTATTTGAAATGTGTTCTAACATCACTATTTTATCAATTAAACATTTAGAGGTGAATATATTAAAATCTACTATTTAAAATGGTTTGAAATGGTTTATTAATTTTTTCAGTTTTGGTTATCTATGAATGAGTTTTGAATTTCTATGTTCACTGAACGATGAATTTAAAGTCAAGAACAAATAAAAAGGTCTTTTTTACCGAGTTCAAAACGGATTGAAAAAGGATCTTTTAACGCCGGGGAGAGCTCATTTTTGTGTAGTCCAAGACTTACAAGTTAAACGTCTATTAAACTACTACTAGAACTAGACCCAACCAAGGGAGGCCTTTTTTTGTTGACGGGGTGGTAAATCCCTTCGGATCTCCGGCTCCTTGGGGACGCAGGAGCCAGGAGTATGTGGTGCTTCCACTGGAAGGAATCCAGGCTGGTACTTATCCAGAAACCTGGCAGGGCTGCAGATTTTTCCTCGGCGTTCTGACCGATTTGCCTGCTGGAGAGAGGACCACAAGTACTGAAGCCCCCCAAGGAACGGAAACGGGAGGGGCGGGGGGCTAAAATGTATTATGATTATGAAAGATAAGCCGATCGCACCTATTATATCGCTTTGACATACAAACGAACGGGAACACCGAACAAAAAAGGAACAAGTCCTTCAATTAGTGACTGATCAAGAGGGTTAAAGTATAATACTATTACAATTCACCCCCGCATTAATTTGGGGGTTCCATATTTGTACATACATACACACACACCTTTAATGCGAACTACTCACATGCGAAGTACATTGTATTAAAGGGACGAAAGTAGGTATTATTACTTTGGATGAAAATAATAAGTCAGCTATATTTCTTATATGTATAAAAATTTTTTACATACGTAAAAATATTTCACAATGATGTTTTATCTAACAAAGTATGAAACATTATCACAAAAAACAAGTACTAAAAAAGTAATATCTTTGCGTCATACTAAACAAATAAAAATAGTATGTAGGTACATGCTACTTTATTAGTTAGTAATAAGTAATTGTTCGATAGAAATGAATGTCAAACCGGACCATAACTCGTCGTTTATTTCATGGTTACAATATGCAACACATAATTCTCTTTAAAAAGAACACATGTCTTTTCTTATAATATCGGAGAGCAAATGAGCAGACGGGTCATCTGATGGTAAGTAACTATCGCCGCTTATGGACCTGCAACTCAAAGAGTCATAAGTGCGTTGTCACTTTGAGTCCTGCCCCCAGAATAAGGGTAGAAGCGATTCCGGCCCCGGTAACCTCACTCAGTCGGTAAAAAGCAACTACAAAATAGCTTAATACCGGTTTTCTGTGAGGTCGTGGTATCACTCCGGCCAAGCCAGCCCGTTTGTGCCGTAGCACGAAAATCTTTAATGAGTCGAACACATACCATTTGAAATTTACATTGGGATTGGGGAAAAAAACAATAGAAAATTGGATTAAAAATCTTTTTGGATTTCAGTACCAAATCGTATTTGCATTTCTGTTAGGTATATCTTGATTGTTATGCGTGTTGATCTATATGACTAGAGTCTACGTAAAGTGTAGGTATCTAGACGCGGTATGTATTGTTAATTTGAACAAGAAACTTTTTGCCACTTTAATTGAATATTCACTAGTGTTTGAATTGTACATTTATATTTTTCATTGTATTATCGTGACTGATGGATAATTGAGTACCTTCTATCAATTTTAAATAGTACAATAGGGATAAGTAGTAAGAGTAGTCCAATTTAAGTTCACGATAATGAAACACATTTCTGCATGTCAGTTGATGTCTCTGTCCTGGTGGCCTCTCCAATCTAACGGGTACGCGACATAGGCTCTTGAAGCTACTGTAGTCTTAGACCCGATTGCCTACCTTTTTTTATAGTATATGTGCAAAGGAGCAGAGGAGTCATCTGATAAATACCTAAGTGACTACTGCCGCCCATCATCATCATCAACCTATTGCCGTCCACTGCTGAGCGAAGGCCTCCTGCAAGGAGCGCCTACTATCCCGGTCTTGGGCAGTCCGCATCTATCCGCTGCCAGCCAGTTTTCTCAAGTCGTCGGTCCAACGTGCCGTTTGAGTACCCTCCACTTCCCCTCCAGAATTCACATACACAGACCCGGGGTACTCAATCTTTTTTTCATAGGGGGCCACAAACACCCCTTCGAAAACAGTATTTTTCTGTATTGGAAACCAGGTTTCGATTAAAGAAAAATAGTTCTGTTTTGAAACTAGTTTCGAATCATTAGTTTACAATATAGCCGGAGGGACAAACACGTGTTAGTCAAGGTGTCGCGGGCAGGGTTGGCGTTGTGGACGACTAGGCACAGTACCGGCGCGGTACGGGGGCGGCCGGGCAAATTAACAAGCCAAAACTTTTTGCACTGTTACACATGAAAAAATACCGATATAATAGTTCACATTTTTTTTTTTTTTTTAATTTGTTCATGGCACAAGGTTACAGTTCATGTAAATACAGTAACAGTGAAGAAAACCACAGGTGGTTTATGTATCACTGCCATCACTCGCTTTGTATGTAGTACATTGCAGATGATTATTATATCAATAAATAATTTAGGTATTGTACCTCTTACTAGGTCAACGTCAATTAAATAAGATCTAGCGTGGTTTGAAAAGTCTACGATGCGGCGGCGGTACGTCCCACGCATCAGTAATTGTTCTACCATCGTCTCCCATTCTTCCTTGTCGTAAGAGCTGATCTTTTTCTGGTACCTGGGTTAAAAAAAAAACATTTTTATATTGGATATTCTGGACTCCTAACTGCAATACTGAATTGGACCCTAGGAATATCTTAGTTACATGTCAATAGTTAATATCCTAGTTTATTATGTCCTAGTTAACATTGTGAATTTACCAAGAACAAAGATAACTCTGAACTACCTCTGACTTAAATATTAAGTACAGGATTGAACGTACTCACGATACTTAATACCTATTAAGTGTACATCTTTGAATTTCCTGACGTTTAGAGCAGGTTGCACTGGCTGTGGTCGTATGTACGTAATACCTATCGTGAGCGCGTTAATTCCCGTAATACGTAATTGTACATCATGGAACGCGATGGTTTAAAAGTTAGTATACCTTTAACTATAATTATGAGTGTCAAAATCGCCTTACAAAAAGGAGCTATCAACAATTAAGTGGTCTTATTTATTTCAAAAGCCAGTACCAGTCAAACTTTATCTGTTATTGTATAGATTTATGTAACTGTGATAGGCCAACTAGGATTTATGTAACTGTTTCCACGTATTTTTTTAATTTCTAACTCAATATTTCCGTTTTCTGATCTCCTTTTATATTATAAACTCTGCATATTCCTTATATCCTATTCTTTTATTCACAAAATAAATTCGTATAAAGAGTTATCTTCACGTATTACCATATAGATAATATTTTAATAAGCAACACATTACATAACAAAAATGAGTGTATTGGTCTATTAATAAAAGAAACCTGTTTGCAGATTGGACAAACTACTTTATTACAACATTTTTAATTTCTGATGGACAAAGAATTATTATTCAAAGTTTGTTTTATAGTTTAAACACTCAACAAATTGAAAATAAACAGCAATTATAATAAATGAAAATATAATAACAGTAAATAAAGTAAAATTATAAATTTAACACACAAAAATATGGGTGGAACATGGTACTTACTGAATATTGACCCACTAGAGCAGACAACACACAACAAACAGCTAATACATTGTTAGTGTGTATATTATTAATTTTACAACAATTAATTTTTACTTATTGATACTCACCATGCAGCTAGTTGCTTCATGATGATGCTTATTCAAAGAGTGAAGACTTTGAAACAGTTTTCTCTTAAGTGTTTCTGTGTAAAGCTGAAAAATAATAATAAATGTTAGATGTGTACTTTATTAGGTTTTATTATTGGGTTTTATCTTACTTCTATTTTATTTGATGGACCTCTAATCAGTAAATTTAATAACTTCAATTAAAACAAGCTGTGATGTTTTATGTTATACATTTCATCAATTGAGATATAATGCTTTCACTCCTAAATGTGAAAATAAGTAAGAGAGCTGACAGCAGAGTATACTGAAACTGTGTTTGAAAATCTTTAGACAATAATATGGATGTACTAAGAAGCTACACAATTTCCATTGATTTTATTGCACGGGTTGGTTGATTGTTTAGATTGTTCATCAGTTAATATGGTAGACATTCAAAGATTACTTTAAATACATTAGTATTGAATCTGACTAGATTTACTGTTCTTAAAGAAAAAGATCTATAATAGAATTAGATATTTATATGAAGAATTCTAATATGAAGATAATTTTGATTATAATTCATTAAATTTTAATGTTATATTTTATATTAATGGCTTGTATTGTTGTTAAATAGACATGAACATGGCTGAATCATGGCAGCCCAATTTTTGCACTGGTCTGCAAGCAACATCACTACTAACTGTTCTTATATATTTTTTCAATTTACAATCATCATCAGCATCATCCTTTGGTAGTCCACTGCTGGATATAGGCCTCTCCTTTTTTGTTTTACAATACATATTGTTTAAAACATTCCTCCACCTTTAGATATAAATTTTAAATAATTCAAATGTCACATTATTATGTATATAATTTTGCTTAAAGACAAGGTACAAAGAATTGTTGCCCCATTTTAATATTTATATTTAAATATATTCACAACTCCACAAAGAGTACAACTCACAAATATACACTGAATATAATACATTCAGAGATCATAGAAAATAATAGGGGACATGGTTGCATTATAATAAGGAACAAAAGAAAGCATTGTAATTGTTTTTTTTTGTACCTATGTTATGAATTTATTGATTTAATTGTGGTCTTAATAGATTAATTGGACTCTTTTACAGACCAGCTCATAAGACACATTGAATTAAAAAATTTGATACATTAAATGAAACAATTTATTTTACTATAATATATTATGGTACCGTTAAGTACCATAATATATTATAGTAAAATAAATTGTATATAATGCACTTTGAAAAAAATATTTACACTGCCAAATGTGTATGTGTATTTACATATATAATATCATTAATACACAACAATATTTATTTAATATACATTTAAAGACTGAAATCATATTTTATTAGTAGGTATCTACAGCAATATTTCAATGTGACATTAGATATCAAAAGTGGAATCAATAAATCATTCATGACAAAACAAACAAACTGGAAACTAATCTTCCTTAATTAAACTCGTTAAGTGCCTGGTCAAACCAGTTACTATAAAATTGTTTGCATCATATACTAATACCTTATATCTATGCCTTTATATTTAATGTTTTCTTAAGGGAAGGAAAAAGAATACATGAAAACTTGCAGATAATACAGATAGAAACTGATAAGATTTCTGTTAGCAAGAAATTTTTTAATCACCCTAGTCTTAAATGGTTATCTGGCCACTGCTATATAACTTCAATGAGATGAATTAGATTATACATCTATTTTCTTTATAGATATTCCGAGACTACAGGAGACCCCTACTGTCACAGAAAGGAATCTCCTATATTATGTACTGAAGAAAAAACGTCGGTAAATATTAAAATATGATATTCTGTACTTACCATTTGGATGGAAAATGTAGCTGAGACGACTTGAATCAGATCACACCTCAATGTGTTTTTAAATACATTTGAATTCGAAACCTTATTGCCATAACTGATAAGCGGTCAATATTTCGAACAAAGAATGTTTGATCAGCTGTAGGTCAACAAGTTACTTGTTATAATATTTTTATTTGGCTCAGATCATATCTCTTGCTATCAACTACAGGTAGAAGTGGTATCTCACGTTACAAGTTTCGCACTTAATTAGAACTATCAAAAATCAAGTTATTTTCTAGTAAATTTACCGTTAGGTGCACATTACGTTACATTTTTCTTAATTAATTTTACGAAAGACGTAGTATATTTTAATTAAGTGCAAGTTTACGATGATCCTCTTTTATACACAATATCGTATTGACTAAGTTATGCTCATCGACTTCGTCAATTTTAATTAAATATACGCGATTTTTAGCACAGAAAAAGAACAACAATACGTCCTCTTTTCTGATTTTGACAGTTCTATACTAACATTTCCAGTGTTACCAGTTCAGGATTATTTTTCTACGGTATCTAGTGTTCGACCGGAATTTTACTTTCGATTACGGCTGGCCTAGTTTCAATTTCGGTAAACATTTAGTAGAAACTATATTTGTCTCTTATTCGGATATATTTCGGTCCCCTGAGTTGCAAGAGACAGCGGTCGTGACTTTAGATAGTTTGCTTTGTTTTTTTTTGTTGTGTTAAATACGGTGCACAGTAGATACAGGACCAAGAACTGAACCTTGTGGTACTTCAGCATGACAACAATGAATTGATTATATTTGAAGTTTCGTTATTTAACATGAAACATTATATCCTTACTCGGTCAAACGCAAGTTGGATATTAAGAAATGTTGCACAGTAATTCTTCCTGAACTAAACTCTATGAACTTTTTCTGGAGTGCAATAGTCTTTGCGAAATCTAAATGGATGATTTAGTATGAGGTTATTTTCAATCAAATATCAAATGATTTACGCCTAGTTAAGAGGATGTTTTCCCAGAACGGAGTGAGGCTTATAGATCATTATATTGCTGGGTTTAAAGCCAAATAGGTACTTACTTGATACGCTTGGTAGAAGGTGGCGCGGCAGCTGCAAGAGTCTTCATGCTGCGCAAAACATGCTGAACGAGCCCAAGCTTTTTTTTTGTTTGTTGGTTGTTGAGGGTTTCACTTAAGTTTTTACTTAGATTTGTAATATTTTTTTTAATTTTGAGTTCTCTTTGTTAGTATTGTATGAGGTCGGTTATTTTTTTTTAAACAGAATTTATTTTACCATTTTTAGTGTAAGATATGTTTCTAATGAGTAGGTGGGTACGATAGTTAAACCACTATGTAATGTAATGTATATAACCAAACTGTAGTATGTTAGATTATATTAAATTTAGTTTAGGAATGGAACCACGTTCAAAAACTCATAGAAGTCAATGGTGACTCCCGCTCCGGTTCGTTCCTTGTGCAAAGGTTGGCCATTGCCATTCAAAGCGGCAATGCAGCAAGTATGATGGGTACCGTTCCACCTGAAACGATCAGGGACGGGTTAATTTATTTAGAACAATGTTTGTGTAAATTAGCTCTTTTTCATGCCTCTCTGTAATATTTTTTTTGTTTAATAAGTCCGTTACTTTATTTAGATAAGGTAGTAAGATGTTTCATTTGAACCTGAAACCTGTTTTCCGCATTACTTAATTTTCCAAAACTAGGTACAAATAAAAATAATATTTTTCCAAATCGATTTACAAATGAAAGAGTTTTAAGATAACATGCATGAAAATAATTGTTTTGAACATACATGAGAACATTTTTGTTTTCTAAATGTTTAGTAATCTAATTTATTACATAGCTAGAGAAATAAGCTAAAACACGTTTTTTTTTCGTTTAATGTAAAAGGGGGGAAACGAGCAGACGGGTCACCTGATGGAAAGTGACCACCAATGCCCATAAACGCCTGGAACTCGGGAGTTAAAACGCGTTGGCAGGGCTTTTAAATTTGAGGGTTTCCCTCTAATTCTCTAAAATCCCATCATCAGATCCTGATTTCCTGGTAATGGGGCAACCTCGGGAGTATACCCTCGCGATTACAAACATCCGTCGGTTTGACGGATTTTCGAAAAACACAAAAAAATCACACAAAAAAAATACAGCCGCATTGATTGAGAGGAGGTTCCTCTTTTGTGTTTTTGAAGTCGGTTAATTTTTAAAGTTAATTAAAATGCAATTTTGTGATATAGCTTTTAACATCAAAACAATTATGAAGTGTATGCATGCATGATTTGTGTACTCGTAGGTTTTAGCAGAAGATTGAGATTAATAGTGGACCCAATCGGTGCGCTGTGTAAGTTGAATAAAATAAATAAATACCTAAATACCTACTATCGTACTGCTGATCATAAGAATTACAAGAATATGGTCTTAAGAACTGTATTGTCTTAATGGCGATCGGACATCGGTATTGTACCTATTTGCTACAGATATAAGACATGCAAAGTTTGGTTTAATTAGGCAATACATATTTCTAGTTTATGAATATTAGTTGTGAGAACTTTAATGTTCCGCGTTGATATGTTTAAGGTCATTTGGATATTAGAGACGAGTGTTGTGACAAGCCATCCATCTTCTAGTTTGATTATTTGAGATTATTTTCGAGGCAGGATTTTAAGTGAAATATGTATGACTGTTTAAAGCTGTTGATGCAGCATAAGGAGCTTTTGAAAACGTCCACGAATGGCTCCATCCCTAATTTTGTTTTACGGATTTTGATTTATGTTTAAATGGGTTTTTGTATGAATTAGATTAACAATTGGAATTATGTGATAGCTGGACTGCCCTGCGTGCGGAATTGTGTTTGAATGGATTTCTGCATTATTTAATTTATGGAACCCTAGTAGGTGGGTGAATTTTTTTTTACGAAAATTTTATCTTTTTTTTTCTATGGGTTTTGTGTTTTGATTTTAGCACATTTGTTTTAGGTTGTAGGTACTAACGATACTGTTAATACATAATTTATAATTTACGATAGAGAAGCAAATGAATTTGTGCTGCCTCTTAAATTTGGTTTTGCAAAACCATTTTAATTGAAAATATTCATTTAGTATATACAATAAATCAATAATTATTTTATTACGTCCTTTTTAATATTTATAGCCATGAAGGTTACAAATTAATTAGAATTAAACATGATAGTTCATGTTGTCATAGTTGAACATTACACAACTTTATTATATTTAAAATAAATCATTATAGGGTAACGATGTAGTAATTTCAAAATACTACTTCGAATAATTTATCGATTTCTTACTACGGGCCCAATCCAAGAGATTCCGATGAAATATACTTACACGTTTAATCTGAGGTAAATCCGCAACATGTTCGACAAACCAGGCATCAAACCCGATGGTCGGTTAACATATGGGCAGATGTTTCTGCCACAGCGGAAAGTTACTCCTAAACTTCATAAATGGACGACGTTGTTCTCGGCGCTCTGTGTACTGCACGGTTAAGTCGCGCGACTTTGGGACGTTGGCCCGATTACTCGATGGCCCGGTTAGGAGTCACAATCGCGTTGCCGCTGTAGTAGTACGCTCTTTTCTGAAAGGTTTGAAGGTCGTAAGGTCCGGAAATACCGCAGACGATAACCCGTTCCACAGATTGGTTGTGCAAAGCAAAAAGTGTTTCGAAAAGCGCACAGTAGTGGAGCGCATACAATCCAGGTGACGCCAAGGGATCGAGCCCATCGAAGATGTTCGGGCTATCGACGATTCGAGTCGCTCTTCGTTGGATGCGGTCCAGAGGGAGAAGCTGGTACTGAAGTGCCCCTGCATAGAGACTAGAACAGTATTCCATATGCGGCCGGACTTGCGTCTTGTAGAGCTGAAGGCAGTGGGCCCAAGTAAAAGACTGCCTCGATTTGTTCAGTACACCGAGCTTCTTCGTGACCAATTTGACCTTACCCTCTAAGTGACCCCGAAACTGGACTTCGCTCGATATGTCGGTGCCTAGGATTCCGATACTGGCTGAGGCAGTTAGGGAGGTGCTCTCCAAACCGAGGTGATACGACAAATGGTATCTTCTTTGCGGTGAACGCACAGACCTGTATCTTTTTTGGGTTAGAGTGGACTGGATTTAGTCGGCCCCAATCTGAAATCTCCGTTAAGGAAGTTTAAATTTCAGACACAAGTTTGTTTCGACTTTCGATGACATTTTCTCGAGAAATATTGGGGCGGCATGTGTTAAGTGCATCTCTCGTACTATCATCTGTATAGCAATGGATGCTATTAGTTTGCAACATGTCATTGATATGCAGAAAAACAGTGTTGGTGGTAGCACACAGCCATGCTCCGACTTTAAATCCGTAAATACCTGCAAAGGTATTTACGGATTTAAAGTCGGAGCATGCACCGTCGACAACGACCCTAACGCTTCGGTCCACAAAAAAAAAGGTGACCCAGTTACACAATTTCACGGGAGGCCCATTGGAAGGGAGATTCGAGAAAAGCGCCTTATGCCAGACCCGATCGAAGGCTTTCCCTATGTTTAAACAAACCGCACAAGCCTCTCCCTTAGTCTCGATCGCCTGTGCCCAACGGTGTGTTGGAAGGACGAAGATCAGCGATTTCAGCGGAAAACATGTTTTTAACCCATCGTCAAAGCTTTCAATACTATTATCTGGCTTCGTTTTTGGGAACTCATGGTTCGAAGTTATACTGTGTGACGGAGGCTACACTGTTGGCAGGATGGTCGCCATTTAACGATTGGTCTGTGATATAATACTATGTTGAATTTCTGCTAAGCTGATCAAAGTAATAAGCTAGCATTATATTAATAATAAATTAATATTATAATTGTATCACCTACATTGCCATGTTGTGTACACATATTTAGGAGCATAGCTAAGATCGAAACTGTTTGTGTTAGCTATCTATAAGACTAAGCTTTGTGTTATGTTCTGTTTTGTGAGCCTCAATAAATAAATAAATTTAAATTATTCATGGAGAAACTAAGACTCAAAGATGTTAGTAACAATTTGAACTTACAGCTATATTATTACGTTTCATAAATTATACGTGGTTGGAGGACTTTTTCTATGTATGGGACATTTTTCAAAACTGCTTATGTATAATACATTTTTTAATCGAGTTTGTCAAAGTGGTTGCGGATTCGCTTTTAACGAATTCTCCAAACTATGAATGATGATATTGTGTACTTTAAAGAAGTACGCATCGTTATAATAGAATAAGCATAAAATGCAAATATAATTTAAGAATAATAAAAACAAATCATAAACAAGAACGTAGTCATTTTTATTATTTTTAACAACCATAGACTATAGTATATAGCCTATTTAAACAAATAGCCATTTTCGTTGTCTTTTATAATAATATTTAGGAGCTTAGTCTTATTGCTTAATACATTATGTTAAAATATCAGTATTTACACGAGCGTGAGTAATCGATATATTGTGTATATTAATTGAGAAAAAATTCGATACTAACTTAAACTAAGTGTTAGGGTGTGTTTTCCTAGTTCTATTTATTTCGGCCAAAAAAAGGGAAGTATTCGAATCAAGTATCTCTTGCTGCAAAACAATTATCATTATAATCGTATCTACTAAGCTAGGTACTATCTTACTGGGCAGTGGGAATGTCAGACTTCACGAATATTTGCGAATTTAGAAAAGTGTTTAAGCTTAATAGATACTTTAGAATTTACAAGCTGTCATAGCCTAACCTAAATGTGTAAGCCCGATCTATGTTTTATGCAGTTTTATGAAATACATCAACCATAGACAAGGCAGAATTTTAGAACATTAGAAAGCAAAGGAGTTGTCCAAAAATGTTTTCTTTTGCAGAGTTTGCTCTAATTTTTGAAGACAATTTCAATACCCGCAATTTTATATTACTTTGTTATTATTAGGTTGAATTTGTACAAAACTTTTGCTATCCGTGCCTGCAGAGTCTGAACTTTTTCTGGTCTGTTATCAATGTTATCATATCATTGGGAATATTTATTTAACGAGTATGAAATTACGAAATGTGATATTAGTGATAAATGGTCTACAAAAACAAATACTTATTTACAGCTACAAAATTATAGATCTACGGATATTGCTCACATACAATATTTTGAAACTATGACTATGATAAATCGTCAGAAGAGATGACTAAGATTATTATGTGTTGCCATCTACGAATAAACATGAGGTCATTATTAAATTAATTTCTAATCACATATTTTTGCTGTTTTCTATCCGTGTAATTTGATCTATGATGGATATTACTCGTAAAAAAAACAATATTCTTACAAAAGTGGACATCTCCTTTCTCGTAAGACTAGATAACTATTTTATTTTCTACTTTGGTTTTAAAATATCTAAAAATAACTTCTTATTTGTAATCTATTAAAGCACAATATAAAATTGGTAAGCTCCTTCAGATACTTCTGTTCACAACGAACTATGTGCTCAGAAGAAAACTAATTACCAACTGGGACTGGAAATCTACATTATTAGATTTATTATTCATAACATTGAGCTCGAGCATTTTTTTTTAGCATGTCAATTTTTAATTTATTAATAACTACTTGTGTGTTAGGATAGTTACAGAGCAATGCCTATGGTATGTATAAATGTCGTGATCTTCGAAAACATGTATTAAACAATTATTTAAATTTATGGAAATTATTGTGATAATAGTGTTTGTAAACAACACTAAACTGCCTAAAGAATTAGGCATTGCTTTGAAACTAGCTTCAAAGTAAGTTTTTATTAGAATATAATTGTAAGTAGGTATAAACATACTTATGTATTTTATTTAATACAAATATCTATTTATTCATGAGATTCGTGTAGACAAGCTTAAAGCACCGCTGGATACAAACTTATTAAAGATTAAAGTCTAAATATCAGCAATATTGTATTTTGTACTTGTCAGACTTGGAATGGTAAACCTAATGCTTATAAAATTAAATTACATAAATTTTACTATTTTAAAGTTCAGTGGTTAGTTCGTCTTGAGGCCTTCTAGTCATTTCAAAGAACTCATCTTCCAGCCAAACACTTTCTCTTCTTACAATCGGTCTTCTCTCCCACGGGTCAGAGAGGACGATGGTTTCTCTTTCCCTCTCCACTTGTGAATAACTGGGAGGCCTGCCAGCGTCACTCCACTCACTTTCTATTTCCTTGTCTATGATATTGCTGTCATAAGAGGTGGGGGAGTAGGAGGGAGGTTTGAATGTTGAAAACGATTGTTGAGTTGTCTCCGAGTCCGAGCCTTGACTTGATGGGACAGGGAGAAAATTAACTAGTTGACCTTCTTGTTGAGAGCTGACAGTCGTTCGGCTGTAACGCTTAAGAATTCTGTAACAAAAATAAAATTCAATATTTGTAGTTAATATTCTGACAGAAAACCATTTGATTTCAATTATAGCGGTAGGTACAGTTTGCAAAAATAATTTCAAAATATAATCCAAGTAAGAGATACGAAACACATCATAGGTTACCATGTGCATATCCTATAGCTAGTTACTTATTTCATTGAAGTAAATATTACCCATTTTTTTTATTGTAATTTTATATAATATGTTGACCACAGGTAGCCATGCATTGGTGCAAAAGACCTAATGTACAAGGCCTCTGGTAAATGTATTATTCTTGTCAGACCACTATTTAACACATTTACTACCGGCTACATTTTGTTGGCTTGTCTATTTAAGTCACTATAGTTATAATAAGTCAGGAAATACTTTGATATTTAACCAAAATTAAAATTCAAAGGTTCGAACTGTAATCTGTTACATTGGTGACAGGTAAACTGTTTTTTTCTCTCTCTTAATTAAATAAAGTTATGTATCTCTTATTCAGTTGTGGATATCAACAATATAATAGAAATGATTTTTGTTTTCGACATTGATAAACAAACCGTAACTACCTCTCTGCCCAACTGGCCAATCGCGGCCACTCGTCCGGTACTACAGGCACCTGCTGCTTGTTCAATAGTATGAGTAATTTAGCCAAATCACTCAAGATGCAACTGAAATAAAATTAAACATTGATTTAACAAATTTACCACTAAACATCCGTGAACAAATAGTCAAACAGCAAAGAATAGTGGACGTTACGAAAATTCAACATAAATGAGATTTTATTTCTTAACTTTTATAATACTACGACCGGATATCGCAGTGGTTTGTGTAAGGGACTGCTATTCCAAGTATAATAAGTATTTTATAAGTTAGTTTACAATAAAAAGTATATATGTTTTATATCAGTTGTCTAGTAGCCAAAGTACAAGCTCTGCTTATTTTGCGACTAGATGGCGTTGTGTAAAATTGTTAAAAAAAAAAAAAATTTAAACAATCAGTGGTCAATTAGTTACGAGCTGAGATATGCGTTGTCAAAACAAAACACATTTCGTCGTTGTAGGTATAGTTGTATTTTTTACCACGAAATTGGGTTGCACCTGGAACTAGGGAACTAAAGAATCTGAGTACGATGTTAATTAAACTTAAGGCATAATTTAAAATCACATAAAAGGGTACAGTAGTTTTGTAGAAAATATCTCGGCGACTGCACCAGTTTCCTCTTGTTATAATATGTCGTGTCACATTAGAAATCATTTTAGAAATTTGAAAATTTAGGGTACAATATCAGTATCCTGCTATTGTACAATAATATCCAAATTGCGATCAGCGTATTAAATGAACCCACACCATCTTATCTAGCTAACGTAAACAAACATGTTGTGTCTCAACACAGTTTGAAGTGTTTTTTGTAGGCAGTTTCAACACAACACACGTTCACTGTGTTATTAGAACACGCCTGCATCTTGTTTACTTCTCGTCTTTGGTTCATACAGATTTTGGTTAAATGAAAAAAGTTGTTTAGAATAAATATATGCCTAATAAGCATCTGTTTGTTATACCTACGTATTTTCTCTTTTTATTGTATGTACCTATATATCATCATCAACAGCCATTACTAGTCCACTGCTGAACATAGGCCTCTCCTTAGAAAGGAGGGTTTGGCCTACTATACCACGCTGGCCAGACGGGTTGGTATAGGGTTTGTTTCAAGTTTTCCTTCTTTTTGCAGTGCTGTTGTCCTGCGTAGTTTATTCCCTTAGTCGCCTCTTACGACACCCACGGGATGAATAGGGGTGATGACATTCCGTATTCTTAATCCGTCACCACACGGACGGTGTATATATATATATATATATATATATATTTTTTACTAAGATTTAAGATAAACTTGGTTTTCGTACGTTATCGTAAAGAACTCAAATTTTATTTTTTTCAAATTCAAACTGCTTTAGTAGTTTTTACGTACATACATGTCATGACTAGGGTTTGATGACATGTTTGGCGATCATATTTAAACCAATCCAATTTGTTTAACTTTAAAAAATAAAATGTTCTCATTTCAAGTTTTAGTCCGGCTTTTTTATATCTTTTTTCAACGAGTTTTAGCTTATCATTAAAAAAAATTAAAGAGCCGGAAATTGTTAATTAACGTTTTAGAGTAATCATTTAAATGGCATTGAGTCGATTTAGACCGATGCGATGGACCCATAAGGCCGGTTTATGAGCAGACAGAAAATAAAAATAGCCTACATTACATACCTGGTATTTATACTAGAAAATTCAACAGCATTCATGAAAGTTTACAAAGAACAATCCAAAAATATTTTTTTGAGAATTATTCAAAAAAATATTTTAATACAAACCTGTAAGCCATAGCAGCATCATTGTTTCCGAGTTGATAGAGTTCCCGTACTTGATGTCTCGTGTGATTCAGTATCGCCAGCAGCGTGTATGCGTGTGGCTGCAATGTTTACAATGTGTGCAATGTTATCTTTAGCTGCTTAAGTAATCCTAAACTAGAGCGTACCGTGAAATGTTACAAGAAAGATGTAGGTGGTGATGGTTATGCCACCGCGTGAGATCTCATGTGGGCGTTGTAAAATATCATGAGTTATTATATTTCTTAACATTTGAACTAACTGGATACAGTCTCGATATGAAGTTATTCCATTAAAATGTTGTGCACATATTGCTCCGTTAACCAATAGAGTTGCCATATCCGGAGTGTTACAATTTATTTTGTAAAGATATTGCACTTACTAAAATAAAATAGGTTAAATTAAATTAATTTAAAATCTAAAATTACCTGCAAATGATCCGTTTACGAGTAAGTGATAAAAAGGTCGGTTAGATAAACACAATAAAAAATTAACGTAGTTAGATAAATATACCTGCTGTAGTCCCATTACTTGTCTATTATTGTAAAACAATTATCATTTGTTTGAGTATTTTGCTAATTACTTTGAAATTAACACAGCAACCAATTGATTGGTTTGGTGAATTTCATGTTGCCGTATGTATCAAAAAATTTACGGTTATATAGTATTGCACGTACCCGTAAACAATCCAATTGTTTATGGAATTCTCTCAGCCGCGTGTCTTCATCTTGGTTTGGTTGTGGCAGGGGCTGCGGCTGCGCGCGCTTGCTTCGGCATCGCGCGTACGCAGCTGCTGCAACTACCAGCACGATACAGACTACCACACCGCATATACCACCGACTATCACCTGTAAAATATTAAGGACTTTATGCTTTCGTTATTTCGGTGTTGATACTTGAACACAAAAGAACAGAGCTCCACGTGTTTTTTTTTACTGTTTTTGCTCAGAAGAATCAGCGACCGAACGTTAAAAACCTTTGTAGTTGTAGTCGAAACTGGTAATTCCGGTAAACGGCTTTTAATGTGTTTTGTGTTTATAAACTAATTTAAGAATACGCTCTAATTATTATTAGTGGTGGCCAGTCACTTATGTTTAGCTAGAAAACTTCGTTACAATTTGGCAGTAAGCACAGATTTCGCAACCTACATACCACTTAAACTGTATATCTATCCGGAACTAAGTTGATAGTCTAAATAGTCATGAGAGCAGCGATGCGAGAGCAGTAACTGGCAATACGGCTGTAATTGAACTATAAACAAAGTTATTTTGTAGTAAAATATGCCATTACGTCTATAGTAGCTTTACGCAATACAAAGCAACTAATTGACATGTTTTATGTTGTCGTTTCATTGTCCAATACTTTCCTGTAGCATTAGGGTTTGTTGTTTTTCTTTGAAGGTTTAAAGCGGTTCAATAGGACTATCGTTTTTTATAAGTGAATGACAAATAAGACTAAGTTTTAGTTGTCCTTTAAAATATTTTTTTAAAACAGTGGGTGCAGTATAAAGTAGGTATCGGTAGAGGTTCAGTAGCACTTGATCGGCCGTCTTTCGGTCTGTCTGTCAAGATCCGTTTTTCTTCTTATGTTAAAGGTGCCTTAAAGCTTTAAAGAAAAACAAGTTTCAAAGTCAGCGTAATCAAAAGATCATTAAAGAGAATCATTAAAATTGCCAAAAAAAGCCCGACATCCGTCATTTGTTGATATATCACTCAAACTTTTGCGCTCATAAAGGTGACTGTTCGGTATATCGACGTTAGGAATAATATTTTTTGAAATGCATTTCGACGCCTTGAAAGTGCGAGTCTTATGTACCTAATAATAATTTATTTGTTTCTCATCACATCATCACACAGTATCATAGCTTAATATAACATAAGTATGAAAACAATAAATTTGTGAGAGACTGGTGCCCGAGATAGGTAGGTAGGTATAGGAATACTGTACTGTGTTACATGTCGCCAGGCCCCCGGTACTTAAAGATGACCTTGTGATAGTTCACACGCTAATACAAAGTGTAATGAGCATAAACAATATAAAACTTAAAATAAGAAATAAAAATTACAAATTATTATAAAAGAGAACACTAGATATCCATATGCATTAACTGATATGTGTTCGTGTGAGATTTATTTATTTATTGAGACTTCTTGCAAACATATTGCATAAGGCGGACTTAATGCCACAGCCATTTTCTTCCAGTCAAACATTTGGGTGTTGGAAAGCTGTGTGTGGCAGGTGTTTATTTGGGACAGGTATGGATGCGACTGAATTAAAGAATGTTACAAAAGGCGAAAAAGTCTTATAGATATATAGGTACTAGGTATGCATACATATAGTTTATACATATAAATATCAAAATTATATATAATACATTTATAATAAAGATACTCTTAAAGTGTTATTCTGATGACTCCGTCAACAATTCTCTATAGAGGTTATGTAATTTAAACTTAAAAGTGGAGCGGTTAATGGACATCGGTTAGTGGACATTTTTAGTGGAAGTGTGTTCCAAAGGGTAACAGCTTGAACAGGGAAGGAAGAATGGACCATACTGAAAATATGTGAAGGACAAAGAAGGAGAAGATTGTTAGAAGGGCGAAGAGTTCTGTTGTGGTTAGAGTCTAGTATAGGAAATTTTTAAGGCGGTAGAATCCTCAAAAAATATTCGTAACCTTCTGACTAACGTAACTGACGACGACTGACTTACTTGAGATTGCCAGTTCAGAGTCGCATCGATGTGCAGACCGAGATTCTTGACCGATACTAATAGGCAAAATAGTGTCATTAAAGATGATTTCAGTGATACTATCAGGATCAATTCCGCTTGTCATTATAGGACTCCCTATGATGATCGCTTGGCATATCGATGGGTTCACCGTTAAACTGAATCTGCTGGACCAGTTTTTTATGGTCTCTAAGGCTTGATTAACTTCTACTATTTACAGCTTAGCTTAGCTCTTGGATGTGAATAAATCTGCAGATAGTCTGCATACAAGTGATATGAACACACGAAGTTCATGGGTTATGAGATCGATAAATAAAGAAAAGAGAAGAGGATAAAGAATATCACCTTGTGAAACACTAGAGTCGAGTTCGGCCCACATCGATGAAGATTCATTGGTTCAGACGGATTGCTGGCGTCTTCAAAGATAGGACGAAAACCATTCCAGTGCATCATCGGAATTCATGAAGTGGGTAAGTATTGCTAGTAGGATATCGTGACTGACAGAATTGAAGGCGTTCGAGAAGTTAATTAGGGCTAGTACAGTTATTTTGCCTTCCTCCACCGCCGCCTTGATGTCGATAGTTACTTTAAGCAAAGCTGTCTCTGTACTGTGTCCAGGTCGGAATCCTAACTGATATGGAATGAGCAAATTATTCTCGTTTGAAAGTTGCTTCTGTACGCAGGCTTCTAAGACTTTGGAGAGAAACGGAAGTATGGATATTGGACGAAAGTGAATAGGGAGAGAGACTTTGGCTAATTTACGTAGGCAAGAGGACGGCAGGCCGCCAGAGAGTGGGAACGTCTGGTGGCAGACTGGTAACTGCGATTAGGGACATGTTTTCGACCTGATTGCACAATATTGCGATCTGGCCTCAAGACTTAGTAGATAGGCGTAGGGAAGCCTTTGCATTCCCTCGGGATAGAGAGGAGGTCCTGAAATCACATGGTCGGGGTCCTCCCTAGAGTAGAGCCTGAGGCCGGCCACACAATACTTCTCCTGCTCCTGCGTCCTCTAGGAGTCGGTGATCCGTACTTTTTGCGTACCAAAATTTATCTTCACATCAATCATTCATCAATGATTGACGTGAAGATAAATTTTGGTACGTACAAATTTTCACGAAAATCTACGTAAAATCTGGGTAGGTACGGAACCCTCAGCGCACGAGTTCGACTCGTGCCTGACCGGTTTTTTTTATCGGGGACGCAAATCCCTTCGGATCACCGACTCCTAGAGGACGCAGGAGCAAGAGAAGTATTGTGTGGTGTTTTCAATAAAAACCACCCCGACGGCCGGCCTCAGGCTCTACTCTAGGGACCATAGACCTCAGTATTTAGTATAAATTTAAACTTGCTAGGTCTACCCGTGCCTGAGAAAATCGGAGGTGACACACGCACAGACGGGCAAGAAAGTGATCTTATAAATTTTTACCTTTTGAGGTACGGAACCCTAAAAAGGGTAATACAATCTTCTTAGGTACTTAAAAAAGGCATATACAATGTAATGGGACGGACGAAGGTCTAACTTATAATAGATACATAAGATAGTATTTACAGCCGTTGCAAACATGTGTTTTACAATGACGTCACACTGTCGAGTCTATAACTGTGACCTACAGTGCACCGGGTGTGATAAAATGGTGTATTTTGCTATTTACATTTCATAAAATACAGCTGACAATACCATTGGCTATTTCGTTAACTAGAAAGATTTCTTGTAATGGACAGATGTAACATTTTTTATTAGATTCTTAACCAATAAATTTACGATATTTTTTGACGCTTCTATTGTCACAGGGTAAAATATGGTAAATTTCCATTCTACCCGTCATTCATTACTCTTGACTTATTCTTGAATTGGTTAAAAGAATGCTGGCTTGTGGGCATTAATAGCGACGCACGCTCGATCGCACGAAGATGAACTACACGATATTTGTGATAGGTATACTTACATGTATAAACATATATTTGTACTTATATCGCGACCTTATGTAAACATTAATTAATTACCTAGCATTATATTCATAGACAATAGTTAATCAGAAGGGCTACTAGATAGTCGGTTATTGATTCCTTATGTTTCATTAGCATGGCCTGTAACCTTTTTATACGAGATACTTGCGTGTGTCCTAAATTTCTACTATTACTTTGTCGAGGGAAATTGGAGAAAGAGTCGAGAGTGAGTTAATTACTCATTTGCAATAAATAATCTAACCTAATATTAAAATAAAATCAATTTTTCAAGATCACAACAACATGATGAGAAAGTCTAAAACATTTACGAATTATGTACTAAAGTGACCGCTTCCATAATTATAACTTTAAAAAAGTTAGATAATTATAATTGTTGAAGATTACCGATTTTTTAACTATTTATTGACAAATAGATGTATATATTATCATGCATATTCATTTTTCTTTTAATAAAATGAGAATATTTGTATCTGGAATTACAATACAAAGTAACCAGAAATAGTTATGAGAAATATTTTAAAAATATTAGAAAAAGCAAATAAATACAAAAGACTCGTATGTATTTGAGCAAATATAGCTAGAAATATATATTTCACATCCATGATTAAATTTACCTGCAATCAAAATCGTGGAGAAAGCGTAACTTTCTCTGTAGTACAACATATTACTTTATATGTACAGTTTCTATTAACTTAATAGTATTTCGATTTCCATCTTTTATATGTCCGTCATAAAACTGTGAGTTGAAACTGTTGAATCATGATTTAGATTTCTGATCACGTTTGGTGCACATCAAAAAGTTATTACCAAACCCCATTGAAGAGTTTCTTTGTTTAAATACTTGCTAAGACGATAAGTTTTAACTTTTCTGTACCAAAGAAAGCTTGAAATTGTCCAAAATTATTCACCAAAAAAGGTCCTTTTTTTGCAATTGTTTTACTCATGAACGTTAATAAATCCTTTTAAAAAAGGAGGAGGTTTTGGAATCATTGTAACCATTTTTTTACTATTCCTGAAAGACGGCTTCAGCTACTTCGACTTTTCTATTTCGTTATAGAGAGTATATCAAAGATCTGATGATGAGATCCTGGAGAATTCAAAGAAATTTTTCAAATATAAAGAAATAGTATAGGCAAATCTTTAGCGATA